ACGAAATTCCCCGCGGCTTTTTTCGCACGCTGTTCCCATACGGCACTCTCTCTACATTTCCCGCTTATATTTTCCGGAGCCTCATCGTTCCCTGTTGCCTTTATTCTTATACCTTAACAAGCGTGCTTTTGGCGTTTTCCCGTCAGCAGGTTTCCTACACGCGCAATCTTGCACTTCTGCGGTTCGTGAATTTTCTTGTCCTGATAGTTTTTTATCGCCGACGAGAGGATTCAATATCCCCCTTGAACTATGTATATCTGCTTACACGAAGTTGCTGCGCGCGCAGATGTTTCGTGTTGCGAAGGCAGTTTACCGCGAGCCAAATGAAGCTTATTTTTTAAAGAAAATCCACCGAAACCAGTCGACTAAGAAGGGTATACATTTGCGCAATACCCGATTTTCCTCGTGTTGGCCAACAAACCATCATAAAGCGGACTCATTTAGATACCGTTTACCCGCCCTCCCCTTAAAAAAAAAAAACATTTGGAAGCGACCCCTGTTGAAAAGGTCGCTGTTTCCACTCCTAGCGAATACAAAGGATGCACTGGTGTAACGAATACAAAAGAGCAAAAATAATGACGGATCGTGGTATATGCGCAAATTCAATAGATAGATAGATAGATAGATAGATAGATAGATAGATAGATAGATAGATAGATAGATAGATAGATAGATAGATAGATAGATAGATAGATAGATAGATAGATAGATAGATAGATAGATAGATAGATAGATAGATAGATAGATAGATTTACAAATATTATTGACTAACGTAAATTGATTTGGTGTGAAGAGGGCAATCTAAAAGCAGAGACACACCATGTCTCGTATCAATTATCCACAAAATAACGCAACCGCCCCGTACACCAAACTGCTAGCACTGTGTGCTTATAAGTGCGCCTTCGACCTAAATATAAATTAGCGCAAACAAAAGAAACTAAAGGGTGTGCTGTGCTTTGTGTGTCTGCCATTTTTGCGGCTCTCAATGGAAATGGTGATGAAATTTGAAAATGTTGGCAGTTTTCGGGAAAATAACGGCAAATTTTCGAAGGCTTGCTCTTTCTCACGTCGCGGTTCCCTGCGTCACTGTTACGAAAATATTACAGCAAGGTACATGTGTACATAGTATGCATCATCATCATCTTCGTCATCATCGTCATCATCATCATCATCCTGACAATGGCCCCAGTAGAGCACAAAACCCCATTTTCATTGTACCTCCAATCAACTCGGTAATAAATGTGGTTAATACCCGCAAACTTCATCTGCGCACCTAACGTTCTGTCTCTCCTTAACGCACTTGCCTTCTCTTTATTGACCAGCGGTTGTCTTGCCTGCGCGCCACATGCCCTGCCCATGTCCGTTTCTTCTTCTTGATTTGGACTAAGATGTCCTTGACGCCAGTTTGCTGCTTGACCCATTCTACTATATATATTTATATATCATATGTGGTTGAGGTAACACTTATCATTTTTTGGATGTGCATTGGGCAGCAAATAGAAACGCCACGTTCAGGTGAGGGTTTCGCGCATTTTATACTAACAGCACAAAGCGATCAAGGCCGAACTCAAATCGGGCCCTTTGGCGGCACTTCAGGTGACGTCACGGCGGATCTGAAGCCAGGAATTCTTTTTAGAGTGGAAAGGAGGTTCAGACACCCGATGAAGGCCTTGAAAGACATGTATTTTTATTATTCTCGGTAAAACACCTTCCACCCTCTGAAATTCGGGGAGCGGGGTGGGCCCCTATGGCACACCCTTCTCGACCTCCCCTCCCCCCTGATTACGAGCCTGCGTCACGACCATCTTTTTCAACTGTAGCCCATTTTCTTTCCTGGGAAACTGTCACAGCTTCCCCTGCAACGTTTGATTAAAAAGGGCCACATGTGTTTACTAATGCTACGTGTTAAACAAAGTTATTGTATGAAAGTGGTGATAAATTTTCGTAGCTTTCTGCAACCTCACTTTTGAAAGTTCTTGAGCTCCCTTTCACAGCAGCCGTCGGCATCGATTCACTCGCTCCGTACGTGTACACTACTGTTCTTTTATATAATTTTCTATTGTTCGGATGAAAGAACTGTTCCCGATGACGTCTCAAAGGTTTTACAACAGCTGCTAGGGCGATGCTGTGGCTATAGTTGCCGCGATAGCCGGTGGTATTGCTATTGCTGTGCTGCCGTGCGCCCCAGATGTGAGACTTGTGTGATGTTTTGACGATGGATGATGAGAAGGGTCGCAGGAACGAAATGCGGTAGCGGTTTATGCACGGCTGACTGGTTACTCACTGGTGAGATAAGCTGAGCATTCTCGGTATTTGCTAGAGAGTTAAAAAAGTTTTAAAAGCGGACATTAAATGTTGACGTATCTGAGAGCCTAATTTCCCTCTTTAATAGAGACATTTGATCTATTTCCAATAATATCAGGATGATGACGAAGTCGTGTTGTATGGGCTGGTGATATCACATTGGGTTTGAGAAGTCACACAGGTTATCACCAGTGTACAGCCATGTTGATGTGTGGATCTCGTGGCGTGATTGTTGGGTTGTCTGCTTCAGTGTTTGTGTTTGTGTGCATGACTGTGTGTGTGTTACTCACTGATCCATTTTCAGGTCACTCACACAGATCAAAGTCATTCGTTCACCCACTTCACTCATTATTATTGTTCTCATCAACATCGGGTCTTACAATAAAAACGAGCTCTTAAGTTTGTACTTACTTTCACTTCACCCAAGTCACTCACCAGCGCGTGCGCGAGTGAGTGATATGGGTGAAGATTAGTCATTCTTATACAATCCCATTGCAGGTGGGAGATTGTATAATCCTGACCGTCAATTTCCATGTGAACACATCTTACAGTAAATCACTTGAATGTCCTCTTCAAGCACCACGCCGAAATACAAAATATCAGACTGCATGTGAGCTTCGTTTATAAAGAACTATATTTCTAGTAAAACTAATGTTACGTGAAAAAGAACGCTATTGGTAAGAGACGAAAGAACAGTCCTTCTTCTTTAGCCTTCCGAAAACCAAAAACTGCTTATGAGAGCATGTTTTTCAAGTTTCATCTTACCCTACTTTTATGTCAGCAACTTTCTACCTTACGTTAGTAGCAAGGTTAGGGGTCAACGGCTGCATATCAATGTTTGTGGGGAGCTAAATTCTTGTTTCTTAAATCAATGAATACTTTTATCACTAAGCATAATTGTGTAAGGTGTATTATTGCATTGATGTGCATCCTAAGTTTCACAAGATCTCGGCTTATTGGAATCAAGATTCACGTATATAGAAACACAACAGCACAGATAATTTTTTTCTTGAAATCGCTCGGCAAGAATACAATCACAGGGAGAGAGATATACAGAAAAATAGATGAAAAGGAAAGGCAAGAAGGTTAACCTGGTACCAGTAACCAGTTTGCCAACCTGCACAGGAGTGAAGAAATAGGACTGGGGAAAGGACAGAGAGATAGATAGAGGTCGAATAACAATGAAAAAATTGCACGTTGACCTGTGGGAACACTATCCATTGTGCAAAATATTGTTCTGATTTTCAGAGCCAGTCTATTGCAGTAACTTCTCCTACGAACATTTTGATGGGGCCGGAAGATTGCAGGCCGCAGTTTCGGTCTTTTTCCCCACTACACTCACAGACGCGTGCAGTATGAGTTGCGCCACGGTGCCTGGGCTCAAAATGGCGCCATCACTACAAATCAGCACCTACACAGAAAAAAAAGTTTAACTCTCTCACTTAGCGGCTCTTCCTGAACCAATTCAACTTTTGTTGGTGTCATCGTTCAGACATCGGGTCACCTAAACCACAGCCAGTATGTACTCATATTGAGCGCGATTTTATCTGTTACGACGTCACGGTACCCTAATGGTCCCCTCAATGACTGTGCCCTTGCGCTGCTGAGCTCGAGGTCACGGGTTTAGTGTCGGTAATGTTTACAACACTGCATGGACGGCAAAATTCAGTAATGCTAACGTATTTTGATGTACACACATTTTAATAGTACCCAGATGGCCGAAAATCAACCCAGAGTTGCGCACCAGGGCGAACATGAAAATTGGATTATTAACCTGGTGTTTCAAATAGCGTAAACTGGCGTTATCATATCATGTCGTAGCAGCTTTTCTATTGGAAAGGCTCTGTGTTAACGTTTTATGTAAGACATCATCCACAATGCCATCGCTTATTACGCCGCTCAATGTGGAAGCATAACAGACCACCCAGTGCCTGAACAATATGCTTTCACGAGATGTCTTGCTTTCAAGTTACCTCCTTGTGTGGTGTCATCCTGTCATGACAAAGACACTACTTGGGAAGTGAAGCCGAAACTGGGGCCGAATTTTCAGCATCTCTTTTCATTTGTAAACTATTTCTCTATTGCCAAGCCGCCTTTGCCAATTGCATGTCCCGCATCATGATTGGCCAAAATTTTCTCTTGCGAACACCCGTACCATAGGAGCATTCTTGAATCAGGGCTCTGATTGGCTGCTAAATCGAAAGTAATAAACTTCTTAAGCCACTCTGATAGTTGCCGGTATATACATTTTTTTTCTCAAGTCTCTAAAGGTATAACGAACTTGCGTACAGCAAAAAAAAAAAAAATAGTTGTTGCGTGTACGAATACAACCAATGAGCGAAGCTCCTTATTAGAAATGGGACACAAACAACTATGTGCCTGATCTCTCCACTCACTTTCATGAAGGCCCTGCTCCTCTTATATGGTTTTTGTATCCTCAATGCGGCAAGGAGCTTTGACGGCGATGGTGGCGACGGCAACGTTGAGGTGCGGGCCCATGGAACTTCGTTCCCTAATTAAAAGAAAAGGTGAAACGAGCAAAACGTTTATTGAGATTCGGGTAGTTACAGCCACTTTTGTGCTCATTGTCGTGACAAAAAACACTCTTTTAGGCTATCACGAGGAAAAGTGGGCACGTGAATGATGTAGTTCGAAATTTCGAAAGACGAAGTTACGAATATCTTTCTAAATTCCAGGGCCGCTGCCGGCGACAAGTAATGGCTCCGATCGGACACAATTTGGCCTTCGGTGTTTCTCTACTGTTTTCATGCTGCTGCGTCGCCAAGGCGGTGGTCACGTTCTCGCTGGACGGGCAGTGGAGAGCCGTGAACACTAACAAGTGTACGTATGCCGTGTGACCTCATTTCGTCTTTCTTCTTCGTCACGCACTGTTATTAGCGCGCTTCTGAAAGTATTAAATGGCGTTTTCTCTAAAGAGGGCAAGGTAATGAAGCTCAAAAGTATAGAGTGTAGGTTTCAAAAAAACTATGGGAGTTTCGCACTATGAGCGGTGCCCAAAGGCTGAAGAAAGACCAAAGTTGGCAGCCCTATCATGTTTCTATTTTTTTACTTTCTGTCTGTTTCTTTTTTCTCCATTTGTACTACTTCGCCTCAATCAGAATGTGACCGCCATGGCTGGGATCGAAACTATGACCTTCGGTTCGGCAGGCGAGTACCACGACCGCTACACCACCGCGGCAGATACTCAGTGAAGTTTGCTTTAACGCTGACACCTGTTGTAGTCGGTAGTGGAGCTTGCCAAATTTCTATGTAATCACACGGGATGTAATCACACAAGAGTTGCACATTAGTTTGGAGATTACATTGTTTAACTAGTCACCTGATTTTTATACAACTTTTCTTTATTTTACAGCCATAAAAATTGCTGCCACCGTTCCTGGAGGTATATACACAGACCTGAAGAGGAGTGGCATCATTGGCGAGCCTTACTATGGCTTTAACGACGAGCGGTACGCATGGGTCGGCTACGAGAACTGGACATTCGCAAGGCGTATTGATGGTATGCACCTTCAGGTTGCTTTATTTTTTCATCATTATCATCACCACCATCATAATCATCATTATCATCATTTATTAACCCTCAAGGACGCCAAATAGGGCCTTACTTAAAAGAGGTTGGTGGGGTTACAGAGTCTCAATGAGGCATAGCTAGGCAAATGGTTACAACAAATACACAACAGCGTTACAGAAAGCACGGAGCACGCAAGAATAATTATTTCACGACCAGTGTTCGCTAAGAAGAGGCGCAGAATACAAAGATACAAGGGACCGAAAATAAATGTATTAACAACAAAAAGAAAAAATGAAACAGACGAAAAGAAGTCAAAAAGAAACTACACTTGATTATACAAGTCTTGGAGGTGCACGAAACATAATGAGTACAATGTTTTTACTATACAACGGTGAAATAACGGGAAAAATTGCATGAATAGAAAGAGGCTCATTATTAATATTCATTTATTTATTTAGTCATGTCACACAGGTCCCGTTAATTAGGGAGGCGATCGCCGGGCTAATTCCAAGAGCCGAAGTATCGGCCCCCCGAACCGCACCACGAAAGCGTGGACAATTTAGAAGTGGTCCTTATTGGTGCGCCAGCAGACGCCGGCTGTGGCCCAAAGAACAAGTCAGAGCCGAGAGTTGATAAACAAACAAAATTATATTCTCAATAATGGCAGATCAGAAAAACAATACACAAATATGCTCACTCCACAATAGCTGAGTACAATATGTCACCGATCAATCAACGCACTACACAGTACAATTAGCCACACTCGAACAACGGACACAGACAACAGTACACACTACAATGCAGTCGCATGCATTGAACAACGAAGACCCTTAAAGACTAAAGAGATAGAAAACCTATTCAGTCCAAAGTCCTTGGAACAAAAGTCTGAATGATGCTCTTCCGAGAATCACTCGCTCAAAGTCCAGCGTTGTTGCCGTTCCGCTGCCCCGAAGTTTCTCTTCCAGGAAACCTCGCGTCTTCAATTGGCCACTCTCCAAGCTTTAAACTTCTTCGCCGGAAACACGTCGGCTTCGCACACGCAGCTGTTGCCACGCGTCTTCGCTCGATAGCGGTAAACACACACTCTTGCCTGTAGCTCGAGTCGTCACCCCTCAGGTGGAAGTCATCTTCTCCTGCTTTGTCTCTACGGACAAAACCTTCGCCGACTACACGGCGGAATCCCTTCGCGCTCTGGCGCTAACTTCCGTCTTCTCCTGCTCTCTCGTCTCGGCCGCTCGATTAAATACCTTCCGCGCGAGATTCCAGAAGGTTCTCGTCATTTCGTCGGCGCGATACGCAGCGAAGGCTGGGGAGAGGGCGAGATGGTTCGAATGCCCTCCGCGTCGGATGACTCAACTCGGCATGACCACGCCTATTTCCTTCTAGAAATTTCCAGCGCTTGCCCGGCCGCCGCTGTGGGGTGAGGAGGTTCATCGGCGAAGCCACGCTTCCGAGGGGAGAGCGTCGCGCGCCCGGGGAGCCTTTAGATGTTTGTTTTCTTTCCTTTTTTTTCGCTGGCCTCGCGGCGTCACTTCGGCGCGTTATCGCAAGAATTTGGCGGCGCGCCCATTTTGAGCGCTCGTTCTGTGACAAGTCAATACTGTCGATTTCTATGCGAAGTCGTAGGCAGGGGTGGGTTCGATATACGTCTGTGCGTACATGTAATATTTCATGTTGAGATGCAAGAACACAACAAAAGACGCTTCTAATACAGTACGTAGTGAGAAAAATTCAGAAGAGTTTTAAAACGCAAACATTGAAAACGCGAGTCAATGCAACGCTTTTTTTACATAATGAGCAAGTTTTGCCTAAAAAAACACTAGTAACCAATACATTGGCACAATGCGCAAAAATGGCGACAAAATAACATACAAACGAGCTAGCGCTTAACTTAGTAAAGCGGTACAACTCAAGCACACACGGTAGAGATTAGACGCATTGCTAAAGATAATAACAAAAAAATAACGAATGGCTGGCAGATTTCCTATGGCATTCATTAATGGAAACAGATGAATGTCATTCAAGAAAGAGAACACCGTCTTTGTTAAATGAAAATCATTTAACAAAGAGCGTACTTATTGACTGCTTGGATTTTTTATCATATATTTGACTTATGAGTGAACAAAACTCGCATCACATTAGTTTCGTTGGCGCCAATAACTGTTGTTACTGAACAGCAAGGCTTCAACTTAGGGCACTTCGCGCAATGTTGAAATGCTGAGCGAAATGCACAATGAACTAAGGACCTTCAGTTTTTTAAGTTCCCGATCCTCATCCTCATATTTCTCATCCTCATCCTCGTTTCCCGATGGTCATCTTCATATTCCATTATACCACTGTGCGAAGAAAGCTCGCGCTTTCTGATGGCCACCAGCGATACTCGATTTCAAGAACTTGTTCATGGCAAATCGTCCTGCTCATTACTGTGCTATCGTTAGAGAAGAACGTAAAAAAATTGTGAACGTTTCTACTCCGTGAAGGTACACAACCACGTGTACTAAACGTGAAGTACACGAGAAGGTGTTTACAACAGTACACAACAATGTACATAAGTTGTGTACTGCTGTCATCTGTGTTGCGCACTTCACGTACACAACGCAGATGACACGAAATGCCGAACCATGGCTGATCAGTGATAATACACCACGCAACAAATTTTGAAACTCTTGCCTAGAAAGTATCGTTTTGAATTTGGCGCGTACGGCTTTAAAATTTACCGCTTGAGCAGCATAGTCCTTGCGTATCCTTGCATCATTTTCTGTTTCGATCGCCATATGTGTGGTCTTGTCTGGTTTGCCCCGCGTGCTTATTATTTAGTGAGGGGTCTTAATTGGTGTTTGCCCCCCATGTGTTTCCTTCTTCCTTCCTATAGAAAACTGGTGATAATAAGTGATGGGATTTGGCCAGTTTGTGCGGCGCATACATGTGTACTGACACACGAGAAAGAAGTGCTTGGTACCCTAGTATTATGAACTTTTGGTGTAGAACACTGTTTGAACTCTACACAGAGCAGTGTTTGCGCTACATACCCAGACCCTGAAAGCGTCTTATTGTGTTCTGCAGATCTATCGCAATAGGTTCACCTCATGGAAACTTATTTCTCTGATAGAGTCTCACTGTGTTCACGGAGAATCTGGCATCATGCTCTATTAAATGGCGGGCTTCAAAAAAAAAATTTCACAGATGAATAAGAGAAACGTCACTGATCCTCTTATCTAGCAATCCGTATAACAAGGAAGTGAAACATATCTTCACACAAGTAGTTCAGCGTTCATTGTGCATTGTTTTAACAACAGTAACAAATTACTAAATCACGTGAAGAACGGCAAGTAGCTCGAAACTTGTAGCGCACACCTCATGCAGAAAGCACGCACGAAATCTCCGTAAAGAAGACGAGTGCGAAATAACAGCCGTCACAGTTCGACTCTTAAAGCACGCTGTTAACACAGAAGGAAAGACGCATGAAACGAGCTCACAAGCTTATACAGGACAAGCGCAAACAGCTGTCACAATGCTTAATTCTTTGTGTGTCAGCAGCGCGCTCCTTTCGTACATGCGGCCGCGGCAGCGAGCGAAGTGACCTTCGTCGCGTCCCGAATCAAGAGTCTGATAAGCGCGTGCGCAGGAGAGACCACGCTTGGCTGAGGCTACGATCTTTACAGCGTGCCCAACGCGAGCCCGTCACGCCATCTTGGTACTGATAACGAAAACGCACTGCAGTTTCGCAGCTCTAAGGAATGCCAAACGGTGTATGGTGTATATAAATGGCTTGCCGTTAGCATCCTCGACAACGTGAACTCCGTGGCATAGTGGTTCGCGCTACGAGCTGTGAATCGAGAGGTTGCTCGTTCGTTGCCGCGCAATAGATATTTTTTCTATCGTTTTTTTCTTTGAATTTTTTTAGCATATAGCCTACAATCATATCCATGATGGAAATGCGTCAGCGGAAGTCATGGTGGACCCCGGCACAAAACACTTTCGTGTTAAAAATCTGCGCATATCATGTATATTCTACGGTCGATTTGTGGCTATATAACGTACAGTCTGAATCACACCTCTCCAGAGTGACCAAATACGTGTTACTGGATGAATGCCCCATCTGTAGCTGCTACTTCGCGCTAGCTACAAACTTCATTTTGTGATTTAATTATAGCATGGGGACATAGCATGTGATATTATTGGGTCGTATTGATGTGGTGTCAGCCTTTGCACATTTGTGCGAGGGAAAAAAACCGGAATTGAAGCTACCGGCTGCCCTATAGAGCCATATGTCATTCAGGCTGTACGTGAACACGCCTCTATAGCGTGCTGCGATTCCTGGAGCCTAAAAATGCAAGCGCTGTGACGCATATCAGCACTGGAATAAGGCTCCACTGCAGTTACATTAGATCAGCAGCTGTTATCATTCTGTGAACAATGATATAACTGAAAGAGGTACAAATACTCCTGCAATAGCAAGCAAAGTATGTGAGAAACAGTAGTATTACAAGAAGTAAATCAATGTATTGTATGCTTGCTTACTTTTTGTTACGCTCAGTGAATATTTCTTCTCTCTTCCTCCTGACAGTACCTGATGCGTTATTCAAACAAGAGCGCCTGTCCCTTGTGGCTCACGGCATCGACACTGTGTGCAGGGTAAAGCTGAACGGCGTCGTTTTGTTCGACGCTGAGAACATGTACGTTCGGTACACAGCCGACGTCAAGGATATTCTTCATGTAGGTGCACTTTGATCATCACACAACTTCTCTCGGTATTTATTCTTATATATCGCGCAAAGTTTTTTTTGAAAGGCTGAACAATTCTATCGCCGAGGGGATAGCCTGCATACGAACCGGAAGTAACGTCGATTTCATGCTTAGATATCAGTCAGGCTTTTATGATGCATTGCATATTGTACTGTTTTCAAATTAGTTTTTCCTGATGTGAGAAAATGTTGTGACTCTTCGATGGTTCAAGTGTATAACTCACAGTGATATATATATATATATATATATATATATATATCACGGCTCTAGGCCGAAACATCGAAATAAACCACATTGTGACGGCTCACGGTTAAAGGAAGGATACTTATGTCGCACCTCCGTCACGCTTCCTGTCTTCTTCTATCGTGCAGCGTCAAAGAAATATCATCAAGGTGAGCTGCGAGTCCCCGGTGCTGTACGCCCTACGCAAGCACGAGGAGCAGGTGCGCTCCTCGTACCCAGTGTACCCGTTGTGTCCTCCGTCGGTGCAGAATGGCCAGTGCCACGTCAACTACATTCGCAAGATGCCATGCTCCTTCAGCTGGGACTGGGGACCGTCTTTTCCCTCTACCGGAATCTGGTCGGTATGCTAAAACAACGCCCAACCATTGCTGCCAGTTACTTTTTTTGTGTCAGTTCAGCTTCGCTCAGTACCTGAGCCATGCACCCACAAATGTTGCAGAATACATCGCATCTTCCTACAATAATAAACCCCTTCAGTGATAATAAAACAGATTGGGGCCATGCAAAAAAAAAAACAGTTTAGCACTTTTTGATGATAATGATGCCGACGTACCAATGTTAAATATTCCAGGTCTCATAGAACATTGTGTTTAGTACATATTTTGGAAAATTGTCTGCGTATTTACCAGCATGGTGATTCCATGCCGTATAAAAATTAACTGACATTTCCCGAATGAAATAAAAGAAGCCTCGTATGCTGACCCACCGATTTCATATGGCGGGAGGCCTATGGCTCTCAGAAATATCTGTCCCTCAGGACCTAAATAAAAATCTTGTCGTGTCATGTCATGTTATCTTACGGGCTTGAATATTTTTATCTTAATTGTGGACGGTCATGTACATTAGTCAATATCTGTGACCATAAGTCCCAGAAACGCTAAATTGTATTTGGCATGGCCCCGTTATGTTTTGATGTTACAGAAGCGGATAGTTTAGGAAGAAAATAGTCACCGCTTTGCCGGAAAGGCGAAGCAATGAACGCGCTAACAACAAATTGAAAGGTCACGCGCAGAATGGAAAGCAGATTGAAACATGCCCCGCGTTCCTCACGCACAAATGACGCACAAAACATACTCACAGGTACAAAAGCACGTGAATAAGTGCCTCATTTGTTACTTTGCTGTGTCTGAAAAGCGCGCGCTTTTCGCAAACGGAAACTGTAATGATTGCAGTGACCTTTGTGCCCCCGGTAACTACAGCATAATCATTCTATGTAGGTAAAGCCCGAGGCCAACCAAGACTACGACCTTCCCCTCCTCACCGCCGCGAGATAAAGGCGCGTGAGGGAAGCCGGGCAAAGTACGCGTAGCAAATTAGAGCGGGCACACTCATTGCGCCATCTTGCTGGTCATGCTGAAAACACAATTCCCTCTCTCGAGATGCTTGTGAGCAGCGGTAAGTGGTAGACATAGGTAGCTTGCCGTTTGAGCGGTGAAGGATGTGCTCCGGGGTGGCTCAGTGGTTAAATCCTCGTTTACACGACCCAGAGGTCTCTCGTTCGATTCCACGCGCCATAGTGCTTTTTCTGGATTTTTTTTCTTCCTTGCTTTTTCATACATTTAGATACGTATACATATACGGTGCATGACATCGACGCCCACGTCGACATCGACGTCGACACCGACGCCGGCGGCAAAATCCAGCCGAGAGTGTCCATATAATTGCTACCGCAATAAAAGTGGCATTATTTCTTGGAGCCCTTGGAGGGAATTGTTCAGCTTTCGTGTTGGGCGCGCAATTCTAGCGCAGCGCGAGAAAAAAATGGGGGGGGGGGGGGGCAGTTCTTTTAAAGATTTTAGACTTGGCGTGTGCGTACACATAAACGCACACATACAAACGCACGCGGAAACGTACCACGAAGTATAGGTGACACTTTTTCCTTCACTCCCCAGAAAAACTTGGCTACGCTCCGGTTGTGTGCTGAGCTTTGCGCCTCCTATATATTTTTTTAAATCTTAACTAGACCTACTATGACGTTCTGCTTATTGCTTACATTACTTTCACTTCGGCTAATGCGCCCTGGCGTAATTTTCCTTTCCCGGAAGATGTACTTTCGTCGATATTTATACCAGAGCACCTTATGTTGCTGAGATATATAATTTGGTTTCTGTGAAGAAAGCAGCGAGCCGTCTAAACTTTCTAGTTATTAACGGGAGGACAATGATGAACTCAGCTCACAAAGCTAAGCACGTTTGGACTCACTTTGGCTGGCAGTTGTTTTTGACTTATAAAACGTGGGGGAACTGCTATTCTAATACTTATTACGATGGAACACATACCAGGAAGTGGAAGGCAAAGTGGAATAGTTGCGCAGAGAAGAGAAAAATGAGGCAAATATGGTTTAATCATAGTGCTATATATATATATATATATATATATATATATATATATATAATAGAGAAAGAGGGAAAAAGACTGAAAAGAAAAGAACAAAAAAGAGAAAAAGAAAAGAAAGAAAAAAAAGAATATAAGGTGGACTCCCCCCCGGGCGCCCCCTTCCACTCTTCCTTCCACTTCCCCCTCCATCTCTCTCCCCTTTCTCTCTTTCACCTTTCTGATTTGTGCGGGGAAAGGTGAAAGGGAAAAAAGGCAGAGAGATGGAGGGGGAAGTGGAAGGAATAGTGGAAGGGGGTGCCCGGGGGGAGTCCACCTTATATTCTTCTTTTTCTTTTCTTATTTTTTGTTTCTTTTGTTTCTTTTTTTCAGTCTTTTTTTCCTCTTTCCTTCTGATTTGAGATTGTATAAAACCAGAGCACCAACAAACTGTACCTTCAATCCTGATGAGCAGACTCTAGGCCGAAAACGTCGAAATAAACCACGTTGTGACCGCTCACGGAGCATCTACCTGACTATATGCAACGCTACGGCACTAGCAAATTAGAGCGGGCACACTCATTGCGCCATCTTGCTGGTCATGCTGAAAACACAATTCCCTCTCTCGAGATGCTTGTGAGCAGCGGTAAGTGGTAGACATAGGTAGCTTGCCGTTTCAGCGGTGAAGGATGTGCTCCGGGGTGGCTCAGTGGTTAAAGCCTCGTTTACACGACGAAGAGGTCTCGCGGTCGATTCCGCGCGCCATAGTGCGTTTTTCTGGCATTTTTTTTTCTTCCTTGCTTTTTCATACATTTAGATACGTATACATATACGGTGCATGACATCGACGCCCACGTCGACGTCGACACCGACGCCGGCGGCAAAATCCAGCCGAGAGTGTCCATATAATTGCTACCGCAATAAAAGGGGCATTATTTCTTGGAGCCCTTGGGAGGGAATTGTTCAGCTTTCGTGTTGGGCGCGCAATTCTAGCGCAGCGCGAGAAAAAAATGGGGGGGGGGGGGGGCAGTTCTTTTAAAGATTTTAGACTTGGCGTGTGCGTACACATAAACGCACACATACAAACGCACGCGGAAACGTACCACGAAGTATAGGTGACACTTTTTCCTTCACTCCCCAGAAAAACTTGGCTACGCTCCGGTTGTGTGCTGAGCTTTGCGCCTCCTATATATTTTTTTTAAATCTTAACTAGACCTACTATGACGTTCTGCTTATTGCTTACATTACTTTCACTTCGGCTAATGCGCCCTGGCGTAATTTTCCTTTCCCGGAAGATGTACTTTCGTCGATATTTATACCAGAGCACCTTATGTTGCTGAGATATATAATTTGGTTTCTGTGAAGAAAGCAGCGAGCCGTGTAAACTTTCTAGTTATTAACGGGAGGAAAATTATGAACTCAGCTCACAAAGGTAAGCACTTTTGGACTCACTTTGGCTGGCAGTTGTTTTTGACTTATAAAACGTGGGGAACTGCTATTCTAATACTTATTACGATGGAACACATACCAGGAAGTGGAAGGCAAAGTGGAATAGTTGCGCAGAGAAGAGAAGAATGAGGGCAAATATGGTTTAATCATAGTGCTATATATATATATATATATATATATATATATATATATATATATATATATATATCACGCTTAGGTTTTCTCGAGAAATAGATAACCGGAAATCGGTAGATGAAACCTGATTTCACACGTAGTAATCGCCTGCATGATGAGAAAGCTTTCCAGAGTGGTTTTGAGAATGTTCATTCTAGGGGCAGTAATCGGTGAAGAAATTCTGCAAGAGAAATGCGTTTTAAATTCCAACTCATGTCAAGGAATGATTTGTTTGCGCGTGCAAGACCCTGACTGCAACACGTGTTCATTGGTATATTTGGCGTTGCAACGTTGATTGCGTTTTTTCTACAGGAAACCAATTGAAATTCAAGGATATAGTGGAGTTAAAATCAAGGACATATCAGTGGCGCCCTTCCTTAAAGGTAAACTTTCGTCATTATTCTTTAGTGGCTGATTAGCTCAAGCATGCCGGCGCATAGAAGCTTACTGGTACTACGTTTAAATGTGATCAAGCGTATCAGTTACTCAAGTCAGACTAAGTCTGGCTTAACTACCACTTAATTTAAAGCAGATTTCTCAAACTTACCCCAGCTAGCGTGCCGAAGCGATGAAAATTTAGCCCTGCAAGGAGAGAGATAGTGAAAAAGGTAAAGAGGGAGAGGGTAAAGAATATGTCAGCTAATATCCTAGTCACACAGGCAGACGGAACCGCTCCTAATGCAACCGCGGTTCGCCTATGTTACACGTTAGACGATACCGCTGTCGTGCCTCTAATCGTGGTTGTATGAAATAGAGCTTGGCAACCTCTGTTTGGCAGCTAATCATGAAGGTGGCTTTTTCAACTTTGACAGAGGACACTTCTGTGCTGGGTAACGTCGGCGAATCGCCATTGGCACTAACCGTGGTTCAACGCGGTTAACCGTTGTTGATCGCCACCAAGGTTAACTTGCCGTTGTAACAAGAGCACAATGATGCCATTTGAAGGAACGCATTTCCCATTGGACACATATGGTATATTTTCAATTAGTATTAATTTCGCATCAGAATTCGAGAAAAATACCTGAACTAATCTCCAAAAGAACTGCAATCTGGACGCCGTTTTCTAAATGTGGATTTTTTCGTTATGCACCCATCTTTCAACGCTTGAAGGCCGCGTGGCGTGCCTCACGAAAAATGTATACGTGAAACCAGTTCTGTCTCTGTCGAAGTGCAGAGACAGAACTGGTCTCTTTCACAAACATTTCATTCTGTCTGAAGCTGTGGGCAGTAAGCGAAACGTTCACGAGTGGTATGCGGCCCGCAGGCCACGTGTGTGTGACCCATGACTTAAAGAGGGCCGACGAATAGTTGCAGACACGTGCTAACACGACAACATGGGCGATACATCATTGTAATCTGCTACTCGTAAACTTATGGACATTCTCTTTCGGAATAAGCACGCACCCGGAAGGCCTCAGAACGCAGAAGAAACGTGTACCCAAACACCCGACAAATGAACACCCAATATGGACACCCCAAAAACGTATACCGAATAAGGAACAAGATTTCGTAACCTCATGTCATAGCGGTCGATCATCTCGATTCTACTTCGGAAAATTCCATTTTACTTATAGTATCCCCCGAAATGAGTTTCGCTTTATCAAGAATTTAACTGAGTTTACAAATGCGCGTTAAGCCACTAACAGTTGCAAAACATTTTTCAAAGACATATTTTGTTGTATAAAAAAAGCGCAGCTTTTTGCCAATGTGACAGCCAACTTGCTTCTGCGAAAGCTTCAAGCCAATCTTCCTTTTCCTTCTGAAACTCGGAGCTTGTTAGTTGAATGCATCGGCTTGTTGTCAGGCGGGCTTTAAGTGCTGATTGCTTGAGGCTATACGCACATATTCATGACAACAAAAGATACTCGCCCCCTGAGCTACGGAGATTCACTCGTCCAGGACTACACATCTTGACTCCATGCAGTTCGAGTCGTTTCGGTATACTCGCGAGCTTTGGTACAGTGCCCCATGTCGCACTAATTTTTAAGGATGTCCACGGCGTAGCCACTTTGACATCTCTGTCTCGAGCGACAATAATTCAAAATACGGCGTTGGCGCAATTATAAAAGCAGATTGATACTTAAAGAGTAAATATTGGAGAAATAGAACTTCGATATTTTTATTTGCGCTCGTACGACGAAGTAAAACAAGCTATACAAAGACAGGGTGCGCAAACCCTGACCCAAGAAGGAAGTCGACACACCACAAATGCCTCGTGTTGTCGGACATGATAACAGCGAGCATAGCTAGTTGGTACGTATTCATTCTATTCAAAAAATACAGGACGTGGCAAACGCGGACCCAAGAAGAAAGTCTTGACACAACAAACGCCAAGCAAGATGCATGCGTTTGCCCGACTTGTCTGTTTAAAAAAGAATGAATACGTAATGCTACCTAAGTTCTCTCTTATTGCAAAAAACTGTTTCTAATTTCAATCTTCTCTGAAGCCACGTTCTAAGCTCTGACGCTTGTGTTTTCTTCTGTGCGCTCATTTCAGATCGTCTCAGCAAACCGCAGAAATGGATACTAAACGTGACTGTATTTTACGATTCGGCCATGAGCGAGACAAGTAATGGCAGTGCATGGATTGGCTTGGACGAAGCAGCCCTTTTAAGCCAGCCGGTGACCCTAAAGACACACACGGCTCGAGATGCGAGGCTGGACTTTTCGATTGTGATACCCGACGTAAGTGTTGCCAGTTTGTCGTCATGAAAGTTTAACACGGTGCGTATTCTATTTGCTCACATTTATCGTACGAATTGCCAAATGTCATCAGTTCCCTTTGCGCACATTTCAGTAAATCTGTGTCCCAGCGAACAATCCGTGGAAAATTCTTACTACACGGGTAGGCGAGAAGGCCATTTCAAATCTCGACAAGTAAAAGTGGCAACCTTCACAACTTGTCTTGCGGGACCGAGTTAGAAAGGTTGGCCTCGCTTCAAGGATTCTGAACTTTGTGCACCCTTTTTTACATTGATTTACTAACGTACTTTTGTCCCTGTTCTACAGTTGGTATTACTTCAATTTTGTAGATGCACTTTGCATTTCGATATATTAATGAAAACAAACGTAGAGTGGGCGTCATGTTTTACTTCAAACTGTTTATGTTCCGATGTTTTAACGCGTGTGTCTTTGAAGGCTTTGAAAAACACCAGTTTTTTGTCGTTAATTCTCGGTAAAACGCACATTTTCATCCAAACTTTAGGAAAAGGGGGCCATAGGCCCCCACCACTTGGCAATGGACCGTTCATATTCACAGCTTGATTGTAGCACAGACATTTCAGGCGACTGTATAGACGATTTTCCGCAGCGGCGCACGAATGCTACTATGTGTGATTGCGTGACAACAACCGGCGTTTTCCCAGGCAGTTACTTCCGGTAGAGCGTATACTGGAACAGGGGAGAGTGCCCGGGACGGCCGTAGCACCAATGTACAGAAAGTGAAGCCCAAGCACGGCATATCCACTCGCGGTGCTGCGGTCGGTAGTCTACAATGTGTCGTCATTTTAAGAGCTGCGCACGGCTTCGCCAAAACGACCCAGAGGGAGATTGTCCATCTCCCTCTCAAAAGACCCTAATTTGAATCGCAGCTGTGGACAGTGGATTTTTTTTATCCTTAGTTTCACTTGTGCGGTTGTATTGGTTTACTTTTTTTTTAATCTCGCCTTAGTTGCTACATATTGTTACGAAAAGTTGCGCAAAGTATGAAGTAAACAAGAAGTATGACAGTGAGCCCACTGGGAAGGCAACTATGTTACGCAAAATTAGTCATAGTTGATTCGGCATGCGAAGGCAAAGTTTTTATCAATACACTACATGCACGTTCTGCCGGTGCTTGAATTTGGATGCATACTATACGCTGGTGCTCCTACTTATAAGTTTCGCCCGCTTGTAATGCTTGAGAGGCAAGCCTTGCGTCTGTGTTTAGGTCTTCCTGACTTTGTAACAATTAAAGTCTTGTATATGGAAGCTAGACTCCCATCACTTTATTCACGTTTCAAATTGTTGGCGGTGCAATCATTTTTAAAGTTCTATGAATCCCCACCAAGGCGTTCCGAAACAGTTTTTATCTCCCAGCCTGAGTTGTTCCTTAGAGAATATTGACCAATTTTTCACACGCCTCAAGTTCTACAAATACGGAGCTTTCTTGGCAACTTAAATGTCCAAATAAGTGTCGTATCTCCGATCAGTGATAGCAACAGCTCTATCGAAATACAGTTTGACGAAACTTTTCCAAAACAAGTGAAACTAATGTCAGACCGCACTTTAAAGTCTATTGAGTGATTATCTGTTTCATTCATCAATAAGGACAGTCGTTGCGACAGGTGCTTCGCAAAGTGAAGAAAAATGTGGAATTGGTATATTCGCACCTATTCTAGATTGCTCATTTTCTCTACGCATTCCAGATTTTGTGCCCATTTTTGTAGCAGAGGTTTTTGCAATAATTTTGGCTTTCCGCAAATTAACTGCACCTACTAGTTCGTCAATAATTTTAGCTGATTCACTGTTGGTGTGTTTTTCTGTCACTGCAAATGACAATTCCCACATGCTGGGTACCTTTAAATCATCAATTGCACCGTATATACAGCTGGTTAAATTAGATTGGGTACTAGGGCATAAGGGAATTTTCCTCAATGAAATGGCAGATGCATTAGCTAAGTCATCATTATTCGGCCTAGTTATTCACATACTTCCAGCATCTAAATTCGTTATAGGGGCTAGATTTAGGAAGAAAATGATGTTAAAAGAATTTTCTTTGCCATCCATAATAAGCACATTGAAATTTAAAAACCTAACAGTAAAATATGTGACACACGTTCAGTTGAAGCCACAATCACAAGGCTGAGGTGACACACTGTATATCTCAATTTTTATTTACGTAGAGCTGGTCTGGCTGCTTCCCTTTATAGTTGGTTTTTTGTGAAGTCCCTGGGACATCAGTACACTATCTGATACAATGTAAAAAAATACGCTGCATTGCAAAAAATCACATTAGATGCCGTCTTTCGTCTCGTAGGATTGGAGTTGGCCTTTCTAAATGTACTTTCTTTGGGGGCTTTGTCCCTAGGGTTCACTGAAGGGAAAGTTGCCAATACCTTGCAAGAGTTAGCTTTTTTTTTCAAATTGCTTTATTCATTGGTTTACTTATTGTTGTTGGTGAAACCATATGCTCCATTTTATACATCCGTTATTTCTAATTATCCATTTCTTATTTATTTTTGCCCTTTTTTTCAATATTTCAAAAACCATTAGCTGAGAAATTAACAGTATTTCGTCAGATGTACCCAGTTCATGGCCAATCCCCCAGCGTGGGTGTATGCCACAGTTTCCAGCACTTCCTTCCTTCCTTCCTACTTGACCGGCAGCTCCGCAGTACCCTCGCTGTCGAATTTCTTTTTTACTTCATATTTCGCGTGACTCATCATAACTCATCATAGCCATAGTCTTTAAATGACCACTCGCACAGCTCGTGCTCACAGCTTGAGGCGCGGGCGGGAAAGAGAACGTGTTACGGTTTCGGCCAGAGAGGAAGCCGCTGCCCCATTTCGTCTTTCGCTTCACCTTGTAAAGTGGCGGCGACGACGGCATGGTGACTTCAGCCAACGTCCCGTCTCTCGCATTGGCTGCAACATCTTGCGTTCTTTATGTTGCTTTCCGAAACGAACAAGACTTGCAAAGCCATCGATACAGCATTCGCAAGGCTTCGTTTTTAAGCATGTTGTTCTGCTGCTTTACTCCCTGCGTCATTTTTTCCCATACGCCCCGCAACAATCAAAGAAAACACTTATGGATGAACACTCCAAATGATGTGATTTAATTGATCACTTCCAATGTTTTTTTTTCCATTGGGGCTACATGTGACGCTACAGCACTGGGTTTTAGCCACAGGAGCATATGCAATGTCGTATGCGATTTACTTCGCGAGACAAAACAATTTGAATGCTAATGTTATAAAATAGAGCTTGCATACTTTTTTTATAAATAAAGCCAATTATTTATTTTGAGAACGATCTATTGCTATACATTTTGAGATTAAAAACAAATTGATTTTTATACAAGGCACTGCCAATTTCATGGCTGATCCCCCATGGTGTGTCGCGCCAGTCAGTCAACGAATGTCTTAGCTCGATCCTATTGGGTGCGAATAGTGCTGCTGGGCGGCTAGTTGTGATTACGGTAATATGCTACGTAACTCAATTTGTCCCTTAACTGATGGTGTTATCAACTCAGAAAAGCAATGCTGGACCTCGCATTTCATTCCCCAAAACTGTGAAGGGTAGGCGGTGACCTTATTATTAAGGTCCACTAAAAAGTTCTGTCAGCCTTGAGCAGAATTTAAATGCCTTACACACGTTTTTTTTCTTATACCTTCTTTAGCAGCTGGAACACTACGTAAGATGATTCCACCTGCAGTGGTAGTGTCTTATACCAATTCAAGATGCAGCAGCAGAACGCGAGACGCCAAAGGGAGTGGAAACCAAACACGTCGCACAGCCATGATTTACTTATTTCACTGCCCAATAAAGCAAGAATGAGCCGAGAAACTGTAACAGGTTGTTCCCACAGGGCATGTGTGTAGCTGTTAGTGCAATCGACTGCGCAGCAGTTTATTATTCTGATAAACAGTGTGCTAGCGGGCTTTGGGAGAGCGTTTTGTTCTGCTTGACCTCTCGACGACTGTCTTCTGTGACAGCCACGCAGCGGTCGCAGTTCATGGAGTGCATGCGCATAAATGGGAAGCTACGCCGTATACTCACCTTACAGGGTGCCAGCACAAACGAATAATCTACCAAGCTCAGCGATGCTTGCTGGAAGGCATAGTAAGACTACTACGTGTTTGTTGCACAGAGCCACAAATGAATCCATCAATACTTCTCATAACGAAAGCTTTTTACTTGCAAAAAAATTCATCCTGGACCGGTAATCGAACCCGGTACCAACACGTTACCTGGGATGGTAACTGTACCAATTCAGATAACCGGGAAACCAAGAGGACTAACCAGGAATTGACCAAAAGACTTTAGCCTCTTGGTTATCTCCTAGAAGAGCTCTCTGTTTCGTCCTGGTTAAGCCTCCAACTTTGGTTCCCCAAACCAGAATAAATTTTCAGCAACTAAAGAGCTTTCTTTTTCGAAAATGCGTATGGATTACTTGATGGCTTTCTGCTAGAAACGGGTGGTTGTTTCTTAGTGCATTTTGTAACCCTTTTGCCACTTTGCGGGATTCCGCTAAACCCATTTGCAATTTCAAAACTTTCTAAAACTTAGCTTTACTTGCGAGTTAGCGATAACTTTTTTAGAAAACAGCAAACAAAAAGGCACAATTAAGCACACAGAAAATGACGCAAACACAATCACTGTGTTCAAATCATCCTATGTGCGTGATTATATCCTTTTATGCGCTGCTTCATAGAAAATCAAGGCTCAGCAACTAGGCCATCAGTAAAGCATTAGGCTTCTCTTGTTTCATTCTGCAACTGTGAACCCGCAAGAATAGGTCACGGGTTCGATTCCGGCCATGGTGGTAGATCTTTGATGGAAGTGAAATTATACACGCGCACTGTGCTATGTTAGTTCACATTAAAGAAGACCAAATTATTTATATTTACAGAGCCATTCACTACGGCGTCTCACATATTCAAATCGCGGTCTTAGGCCGTTAAACCCCATATATTACACTAATTATTTCGCAAGAATGACTGAAAACGTAGCTGGTTAGGTGGGGACCCAACTATCAAAATCGGCAGGCGTGAAATAAGTTTCATAGGTGTCACGTCGTGCTTGCTACTATGTAGATAACTATGTCTCTCTACTTCCTTTTACGCAGCTGCTCGCGTTTTCAGTTGTTCGGTCACGTTTGCGTTCACCCGACTTCTTTCTTGTTTCTGTGTTTCCAATTCTACCTTAATCTAGCCTACGAAACCACTGGTACGACAGCACGTTCTGTTGAGCATCCCATTTATGTTTGAGCGTTCGCGCACATAATGTGTGATGCTGTATGACTACCTACTTGCGTTACCCAGAGCTTGGTATATTCATGGAGTGATTTATTTTTCCTTGAACGTTAATCCTTCCACCAACGCAGTTTGCTTGTGAGGCAATCCGCCAGTGTTGCACTGCATGCTACATCTGGCCGCAAAGTGCAGTTACCTATACCTTGCGCGGGGTGCCTTATTTCGCAAGAGTGCGCTCAGAATTTTTTAAAAACCTTCATCGCACGTAAACGACCCCACATTTATGCAACAAGAGAAGTTTAAGATGCCACAGATGCGTTTAGTTCACTGCTGGTCATCGGAGAGTGTTCAGTGTGCATGATGATTCGTTTTTAGTAGTTACGTCACCGCAAATTTTGCAGCTGCCACACACCCATTCTGATTGAGTAAACCTGAAACCAACTGTGTAATGGTGTAAGGAATCATGGTTTCGGAATAAAAGCATGTTTAATGTCATTGTGCCACTCTATTTCATTGGAGTACTCTCCAGCTGCCTAGGTTTTCCTTTGTCAAATCTGGCGCATTGTTATATACCTTGCAGCAATTCGCTGAAATATATTTCAACGTTCTGATCTGCGTTTTTATAGTGTGCTAAGACGCTAAAGTAACACAACAGCTTTTCGCTCTTGTTATCTAAAGATTACATTATGTGCTAGATTTATCGCAAGCGCTGTACTTCTCCTACCTTCCGTAGCCATCGTTTCAACCTGCTAGTTTCCCGCACAATGACCAAAAAGATTTGGAAAATAAACCATACATCTAGCGGGCGATGTTTCAAGATTTATTTACACATCTGCTTGTCTTATATTCATTTCCAGAGACCAAATAGGATTAGCGTCACAAAAATAGAGGCCAATTTGAATGTAGCCGATGTATTGAATTCGCATTCTAAATATAACACTTATTTTAACGTAAAGTCTCCTGGCTCGAGGATTTGTTCTAGCTTGATTAGTAACTTTTTTTATTGAACTATTATTCATTATTTCAAGGCTGCGCGTTTGTGTAAACTAATCTCTTCTTTGAACATACAGCGTTTGCATTTTCATTTCTTTTTGCAGGAATTGAAAATTGAACAATGGTGGCCATCTGGCTATGGTGACCAGAAATTGTATAACCTAAATGTGACAATCTTCGCCAACGGAGAAGCCGCAACAAAGACCGCGAGGTTTGGCTTTAGAACAGTAGAGATAAACCAAGACTATACGGGTGAGCTATCCACTGGTGTTATGAAAGTAGGTTGTTAATTATTTCTGCAATAACTAAAGGGCTTGCCACATTAACCTCAACACTGGGAATAAATTTTGCCCCGCCGCGGTGGTCTAGTGGCTAAGGTACTCGGCTCCTGACTCATCAGGTCGCGGGATCGAATCCTTGCTGCAGCGGCTGCATTTTCGACGAAGGTGGAAAGGCTCTAGGCCCGTGTGGTTAGGTTTGGGTGCACGTTAAACAACCGCAGGTGGCCGAAATTTCTGGAGCTTTCCACTATGGTGTGTTTCATAATCACGTGGTGGTTTTGGGACCTTAGATTTCACATATCAATGGGAATAATTTTTTTCTTAAGAATAATTTTGGTAGCTTTCCTGACAACTTCTTTTGAATATTGGCACATAATCTTGTAACCAGAATGTTTAAAACATATAATTTCTTTTGTCAAATTATCAAGCAGCGACGCATTTTGTGAAGCTATCATACGTGTTTTCTAATTGTTAGTGTTCGAGAATTTCTTTTTACTTATTGTGTTTTTTGAACAAGCACTTCTGTTATTACATGGCATTGAAAGTGACTACCATCTGTAACTATGAATACCATAATACCTGCCAACTGTTACAATGCATGTATAAACATCAGTGTTGTATAAACATGTTGTTTGTCTTGCCACAGGTACTGTGACTGATGGAACAGAATTTTTTTTCGAGATCAACGGAGTCCCTATCTATGCCAAGGGTAGCAACTGGATACCAGCGGACATCTTTCCCGAAAGGGCAACAAACGAATACGTTCGTGATTTACTTCTTTCCGCAAAGGTAATCTTCAACGACTCTTTACCGTGCGTCACTAAATTACTGCAAAACCTTCGTGTTGAAATCATGACCGAGGTGTTTCCAGTGAAATCTTTCGACGGCCATTGTGTATACACAAAGAACCACGTTAGTCGCTAGCTCGCTTTAAACCGCATAGCTTGACAAGATCGCAGTCGCCATCGTAGGGCATGTTGTGGGGATTGTATCAGAGTCATCTGAAGAACGGCACTTTTTCCAATTTAGGAATTATAACATCCTGTCACAAACATTGTTGCCAGGCATAAGAGTTTACACCAGTTTGGCTACATTTACGTCCATGGCGGCAGACAAAACGCCTTGTTTACTAGGCTGCTTTTTTTCAGGTTTCTTATTTCCTCAATTTGCACCAGATTACTGATATGTTGTGAAGTAGCAGCTGGCGCTTGCCTTCGGAAATGCTGTATCAAAACATGGTTTCCAATGACTTCTTCCAGCTGCCAAAATCGAATCGGGTCCTTAGTTTCCACAAAAAACAAAGTACTGTTGAATGTGTGGCTGGGACTGAGGGGTGGAAGGGGGAAAGAACTATCGCATCGAGCCTAATTTTTGCAGGTCACTTTACTTGAAAGTGAAGAGGACAATCGAAACCACGCCACGCCAAGGACGCTTTGTGTTTATCAGCATTAGAAAAAGTCCAATCAAGTAGTTGGAATTAGGCATGGGTTTTAATTTGGGGATACTCACTGCTCGGAGTTCGTTACGACACAGGAAACAGCTGCAAAAGCCACTGTGATGACTGTGAATGACCAGCACACTCACGCACTGGTCATTTTTATTGTCGCCACAGAGACAGGGCTTCAAGTCTTCCTAAGAAAACTCTGTTAACCAGGGTTGCAGTTGACATCACCCTGTCTGGCATCAAAGATTTCAGCTTAATTGACAGCAAGGCTACTTTCTGACTATATTGATCTTGTATTTCGGCGCGTTTATTTGACAATGCTCCGCAATATTTCAAGATGAAACAGCAAGGAAGTTTAGGAATAGCAATTGTTTGCAAGTTTTTTTTTAGTAACGTTGGCCTGTGCGCATACAAGCCCCGAACGAGCGTCGTCTTTCCGCCTGAAAAGACGGAAGAATTTGCGCATGTTAGGAAAACGCGCGTCTATCTAGAACACGCTAGATAGGAAAACGCGCGTCTATCAAGCTGTTAGGAAAACGCGCGTCTATCTAGCTGACGCTAGATACCAATGCTAAAACACAGCGTGTGATATTAATATCCGAAACAAAATGAAGCAAAACTGTTCATCTTCGACGAGATTCTGCTACTTAATGCTGGACTGGTATTACTGCAACCGTGTGCACCAATTTCGGTCCACGGCTTCAAGAAAAAACAGCTTCAACGTTTAACGTTCCTTCTTAATTGCTGGTACAAAATTATTTTCTCAGAACTCTATATGTTGTAGACAAACTGAGGTGCACCTAATTATAATTAAGTTATTTGAATCAAACCTGCAGCTCTGAGAACAAGCAAGGGTGAAAAATTGTTGGACTGATTACACTTTGTTTTTGCTTATTCCAAACTATATTATTTGCTATTGAATATAACAATCCAATATATATATATATGCTACACGCATGGCGCCAAAATAAATGGCATGCCTATCTTTCTATCTTTCCATCTCTTGCTTCAGTTTTGCGTCCTTTGCAAGTCTGCTCAACGACGACCCTGATAGTCGTTTGTTCATGTGTGTGAACTGATACAAAACTGCCAGCAAGGTCACAAAGTTCGGAGAAACGAAGTAACCTTACATAATGGTGATAGAAAGGTTGTCCGGTATATCAAATCAAACTTTGTTTGAGTGAACACGTTTTTGGAAGTTGAAATACTAGTGTCAATAAGTAAAACTTGCTATAGGTAGAACTCACGCAAATGAGAAGATTAAAGCTTTTATACATCCATCAGTAAGCCGATAAATGGAATCGTAAAATGAGACCTGCAGTTACATACGAGCTTCCGTCAAAATTAAACACGATCGGCCAAGCTAAAATCCTACGAGACATGAGTAGGCTAGAGACAATAAACTTGAAAAGAAACAAAAACTGGAAAACAATCCCTCTAGAAGACAAGTATGCAACAGCTAGATGTCATGCCAACGTGGCATAATCAACAGCTGAAACTATTATGCGCATTATTCGGAGGTATCGGTTTTTCGCGAGGAACTCTTTTTCGGAGCGCAGTATGACTGTCTTCCGTGCGGTAACAGATGCCTGACTTCAGCAGGGAAGCACATACCAGGTTTCATTTGTACGCTTGGGCGTTTTTTTTTTTTTATTGCAGGAGGCGAACATGAATATGCTTCGCGTGTGGGGCGGTGGCGTGTACGAGACGGACTACTTTTATGACCTGGCCGACGAGCTGGGAATTCTCATCTGGCAAGACATGATGTTTGCCGTCAGCCTCTACCCTGTGGGCACTGACTTTCTTCAGAACGTGGCTACCGAAGTACGGCAGCAGGTCAGACGCAGCCACTCATGTTATTGCAACATAAAAAATGACGTATTTTGTGCATGCGTGCGTGTGCATGCATATGTGTGTTAAAAAATGAACGAAGAATGAGCAATTATTATTTTAGAGTATATACGCATAATACACATACGTATATACGTTTATACATGTTCCTAAGTCTGTGCGCATATGGTTGTGGAAAGAGGAAGTGAATCTGACGAAGCAAGTGATCTCAGTATTTTTCTCAGGTGCTGTTACATGCTTAGAAAGAAAAATTATGGAGACAAACAAATAGTGCGGTCGTCCACTTTCTATTCAAAATACTTTGCCGAGCCGTTATCTTTTATCGACGACTGGACTCATGGATAACTGCATGTTATAGTTAGTTACAAATTTTCCACGTAACTTTAGGCTCAATAAGTTGTTTTTGCGCATCTTTGCGTGTTCACTAATTATGCGACGTATTATTTCTTCGCACGAACATCTAGAGGTGTGTTGTGGCTGCTGGCATTGTATGATTCATATGGCCATATCACCAATCCTACAGTGTAACCAACACATAATACCTTGGGCAAAAGTAAGGCACTTACTTGGCGTGAAATTACTGGACTCATACTTGAATCTTTCTTTTTTTTTATGTGCGACTCGCTATATGTTGCTCACGAATGCAACCACTCATAGGAGGACCTCCAACGCCTGCCGGGTATAAAATGGAGCCGAGAAACCTTCATATGCCATGTGTAGCACACAGACCATGTAGCCAACGAAGGCGTGTACGAGAAAAAAAATTTATTTGTCTGAAAATTATATAAAAAAATTGGGAGGAAAATAGTTAAACAGGTGCGACAATAAAATAATTGCCGTCGGCGGGACGCATACCCACAGTTAAGCGTTACACCTGTAACTTTCATGTTACAGGTCAGGTCAAGTTTCAGTAGCGAGAGTTCAGTGTAACGCCGCACGTTGCGTAACACATGCTCCGGCGTCAACTTCTAATTTTAATAAATTGATTTACTTAGTCATTTGCACTGAAAAATAATCCTTGTAATCTGACAATAAATGCTGAACGTTCCTACTTTTGCACCATTAGGAACCCGTGAACTTGAAATATATTTTATCTTTATCCTAAACCTTTTACAAATTGACTGACACCGTTGTAAACGTAATCAGTTTATGTATGTTTAATAGACTATTTTCCTAATCCGCATGTGCGCTTCTCTGCGACGCATATTTGCCCTAATGATTGTGGTACTGATCTTGCTCCAAGTGGAGAAGAGGTCATAGCAGCCCGTGTAGGGGCTTGTTATAATCCAGGTGTATATCAAGACAGCCGAGTTTACAATTTCCACACCATTGCGCAAGCAAACTGGGCTTGAATATGGTGTTTTTAGTAAGTGGCCAGCTGTCATTAGTAACAAAATCTTCATAGCAGGAAAACCAGCTTTACGACCATTATAAAGGTCTATTTATGTATATGCTGCAGTCATGGCCTTATCGGGCATATATCTTGCCCACTATCCGTCCAAGCTATTCTGAAGCATGCGACCCTGAAGATCACCACGTAGCTTCACATCATAGATTCGCGAAACTTGCCTTACATTCTGGCCATATGTTTCTTTCTTCTTTTCATGTACGCACTTCACTGTACAGAAGCGAAACAAATGTGCTCTAGAAAAAGAAAATCAAACAAAACAAATTAGTTGTTTGTCCCCGGTTACGTAATACTGATGACCACATTCAAGCCACTCTGTCACGTGACAGTCGTACTACTCATTGCCTAATTGACAGCAGGGAGTTGCCTCTCTTTTCTACTGCACCGGTGGTGGTTGTACATGGCAGAGGCTGGCAAGCGGTCAAGTTAAGGAGGGCGTACCGAAGCAAGAGGGTGTGTTTCACACTCTATGCTCCTTTTTCTTTTTTGACAGGTACGGCGTCTGCACCGACACCCATCGATCATCGCCTGGGCGGCCAATAATGAAAACGAGCAGGCTATCGCTTCTGCGTGGTGGTACGTACAATATCGAAGTCACTCATGTAAGAGTTCCTCTTCCATCTGCCCAGCAAACTCACGTAACAGTGAATTACGAAGTTCAATCTCGAATACATCTTTAGTGCTTCGCCGGCTAGAATTCATCTTCCTTTGGTCCATCAGCCAGAAAGTTCTTTGCTCTATTTAAATGTTGCAAATAACTCTCTAATAGATATCACCTAAATGCACGAGTTCATACACTACAGATCACACAATTCGCTTGTCACATTTATGAGAAAAAATTCTTCACTCTAACTACAAAAATTCGACACTATATCTTTACAACGAACAGCATCATAGCATCATGGCATGACTGAATACCTTAGTGTGAGGGCCCTATAATATATCAACTGTGAAGTGCGCGTTGATGGCGTTTACACGCAAACCAATGACGCCATACCCTGTTTACATCAATGGGCAGAGTGTCAAATATGCACGGACGCATCGTTTCCTGGGCATAATTATCGACAGAAGTCTTTCGTGGAGCCCACATTGCGCGTACTTGAAGAAGAGACTGCTATCTATTGTGCATATCATGAAATTCTTGTGCGGGAAAGCATGGGGAACTTCTGTGGCCTCCATGCTACAGCTGTACAGGGCCCTATTTCTGGGTCTATTGCGCTACAGCTTGCCGGTACTGACTAACACTTGCAAATCGAATACTCATTCACTGGAGAGTTTGCAGGGTCAGGCACTGCGTATCTGCCTAGGACTGCCCCGATGCGCTTCTACTTATGCCACAATCATGCTTGCCAAAGACCATCCGGTCAGAACATATATAGTTGTGGATTGCCTCAGAGCGCACATTAGACATGCTAGCCGTGTCCCCGACCACCACTTGGCCCTTCTACCTTCCGGAAGACCACGTGCTACGTTTTCAGACGTCATAGCCAAGCACCTAAACAGCATTCCATCAGGATATACGCCAGCTGCGAGAACGGCATGCCCTTTGTAGTGCCGCGACCAGCCGCAGGTACGTCTAGAAATTCCGGGAATCAAAGAGAAAAGCAGTCACTCCAGAGTAGCATTGAAGCAAGCAACACTGCTATTATTACATGAGTTGTACTTAGACCGAACGCAGATATACACTGATGGGTCCGTCTCATCCAGCAGCTCATCAGGTGCCGCTGTAATTTCGGCTGCAGAAATGACAATCAAGTTTAAGTTGTCGCATATGACTCCATCTACGGCATCAGAGCTTGCTGCTATAAGGGCTGCTTTACAATATCTCGTTCAAGAACGTCCAGGAAAATGGGTCATATTCTGTGATTCGAAGGCAGCGCTTCAGAGTTTACAGTTTGCCATGCGTAGGAGGAGCCATGACCAACTGGTACAAGAAATAAGACATTGCCATCATGAAGCTCTAGCACGAGGGCATGATATTATATATCAATGGCTGCCTGGACATATTGGTATTACCGGAAATCAATTAGCCGATGATGCAGCCCGCTCAGCCCATGAAGAAACCCGTGTAGTCCCGATTCCTCTATCGAGGAATGATGCAGCAAGACAACTTTACCTGCTGGCTCGAGATCTCACACGCACGTTCTGGTCGTCTACCAGCTTCCAAAGGTGTCAATTTTATGAACTGGATCCTTCGCTCAAGCTAAAGCTACCATCACACCTTTCCCGCTCCGATGCGACACTGTTATGCCGCCTTTGGTTGGGTGTTGCATTCACAAAGGCGTACTCCTTTCGCATTGGTATGGCAGACACTCCTACATGTGACTACTGCGGAGATGAAGAGACCATCGAACACGTCCTGTGCAGCTGCGCTTGCTACGACACACAGCGATGCCAGCTCCGGATGGTTTTGAATCGACTTGACCCCGGACCTTTTTGTGTGCAGAAGATACTAGGACCTTGGGCATATGCCTCAGTTGCGCAGAAAGCAACTAAAGCACTGCTACTTTACCTTAAGTCAACAAACCCGAGCGACCACCTGTAAACTGTGTGTGCTCCCCGAGTGTGCTCGTGATTGTGTGTACCTTCTCATCTTTCTGCAACCTCTTTTCTCCCCTTTATCTCCTCCCCAGTGCAGGGTAGCAAACCGGATGTGCGTCTGGTTAACCTCCCTGCCTTTCCTTGCATCTTTATTTCTCTCTCTCTCTCTCTTAGTGTGAGCCTCAGGTGAGTAATACATTTCGCTGCATAAAAGCGAGAACGTTTGTCATAGTTCATTTTCACTGACTTTGCCTTTTCTACAACTAAAGTAGTCGTTTTTATTTTATCTTGCTTTTTGTTTTTTTTCTTGCAATTTCGGATCTATTTCATTCATGGGACTGGCCTATACATATGTCTAGATTAGCTCTGGTGAGTGTTCAAACGAACTAGCGTATTTCGCCTAAAAGTTGTTTAATTTCCTGATTGCAACGGTGACTTCAACAGGGACATAGTGGCTATGGCTTTGTGTCGCTCACATCGAGTAATCAATACCGGCCATTGCGGCTGCATTTCAAATAGGTCAAACTCAATGAAAGTCTTGCGTCTATTTAGACTTTCGCGTTTAAATCCGAATGGGTGAAAAATAACCCCGGATGTCCCTCCACTATGTGTGTCATAGTAAGATCGGGCTATTGGCGACCTAAGGGGACACTAAAAGTAAATAATGATTCAACGTTGATTGCTGAAATAGCATCCCAGAAACTTTCGCCCCGTGGAAATTGTTTTTTTTAATAAGGCCACGTTTTAGGGCCTCCTGACGTAGCAGTTGCCTTGATCAACGTAACCTGCCTTAACAGCGCGGCTGCCGACGCGGGTAGCAGGAGATCGAAAGTGGTGGGAGCCACTGTGGCAACAACGGACATTAAAGCTTGCCGCGATGGATGTCATCGGTTATCTTAACAAGGAGAGCTCGACTCGCGACGCTAGCGCAGAAGCGCGACATGCATTCAGCCACTTCGAGAGTATTTGTTCGTTTTGCGGCAGCGGAATGTCACGTCGGTTTCCTGGTTGCAGCCCAGGCGGCAGGTATGCGGGAACGTCACATGCAAGCGGCATTTTGTCGAACTTTCCGTCACAGCGTCTTTCGTGAGCGAGCAAAGCACACGCCGCAGTACACGTTACCGAAACTGCCAGTGATGCGTGACCGCTTGTGCGGAGCGCGTGTTCGACGAAAACGAAACTTTTGAACCGCTTGCGCCATTTCTCACGGTAACGGCAAGCGGTTCTTTTTTTTTCGTGAATAAAACCAAGATGGACATGCAACATTCTGTTAAGTATTGTAAATATAGGCCGCGAGCTTAGTTATGAGTTGCTCCCCCAGACTCGCTCGGAATCAGATCGAGCCGTGAGTCTGAGACTGAGTGAGTTCGAGTGAGTCCGGTGGAGGAAAAATTTCGTGAGCGCGATTCCGAGTCGGTTCTAAGTGCAGAATATACTTCATGAGTGAGTCTAAGTGACCTGCACAGTTTTTGCCGACATATGGTTGCAATGCTTGGAAGGTTCTTTTTTTTTATTTTAACTGGTTTGATTACTGGCGAATATTTTTAATTATGCCTTTTCACGTCATTGGGATCATTCCAAAATGTTTCCCTCTGGGCGCATGTGGCGTCCTACATTCATCTTAATTTCTCAATTAGTAGAAAACTGCTGTTGATAATAATTGATTTATTTATGACTAATATGGAGCAGTTCTAATTCAATTAGGGTGATATACCCGTGTTCAATATTGTTGATACTATTTGGGTACTGTTGTCCAAGTACATTTATTGGATGAAACGTGACCTCACTTTCGGTATCATTTGCTTTCAAAGCGTTTACTGCCGACACCACACCAAATTGAGTTATTTCTTTTTTTCTGTTTTAGTTCGGGCTTAAAAATGTATTTAAATGACTAACCATAGCTGCTGGCCGAGAAGCTGGCAGTTAACTAAGCTTATCAATTTACCTTTATTATCTGTGCAGGCCTCAGACGCTCCTAAGAATATTCCAGTATCGAAAAGATTATCGGACACTCTACATCGACACCATGATGCCTGTCATTCAGAAGGAAGATGAATCGCGCCCTTTCCTCTCGTCAAGCCCAAGCAACGGGAGAATGACATCGAATAAAACCTGGATATCGTCGAGCCCGAACAGCTTGTATAACGGTGACAGTGAGTACACTTATTGCATTGCTTTACAAACGCGATCAACTGTGCAGTAATCATTAAAGTTTTAGCGCGATTAAGTTAATAGGAATTCACACTTGGGGAAACTGGATGATCATCCCTCTACTCAGGAAAACGTTCTGGGTGCATGGTCTCGCAGTACATCAGCCCACAAAACCACGTCAGCCCTTATACAATTCTTGACGGCAGCGTCACGGAGCGACCATTTGTGAAACCGTGCACTGCGTGTGGTGTCCTATGTGCATCTCCTTTTCTCTCATTTGCTCCCCTATTCCCCTCTCCCCACCTGTAGGGTAGCAAACTGGACGTGGTCTAGTTAGGCTCCCTACATTTCTTATATTTTCTTTCTCTCTCTTTCTCTCACACACACTTGGAAATGTTTACCCTTCATGATATTTTCTGAAGAATGACGATCGCGCCTGCCCCGTCCACATTAATTCGTCTGTGGTGAGAAAGAAGAGGAATTTCAGTGCCTTGGGAAGTGTCGATAGATGTGGACGCCGAGATAACAACGGGCTTGTGGGAACACCTCTGAGTTCCGGTGCAGACACGCTGCAGTGAACTCACTGCCCCTCTCTCTTTCCCCTTTCCTTTCTCTTTTCGCATCTCTTTACTCACCTTCTCCAGTTCACCAGGGTTCGGTGGCCAACCAGAAGTCTTTCTGGTTAACCTCCCTGCCTTCTGCCTGTCTGTTCTTCTGTTTCCTTCCTTCCTTCCTTCCTTCCTTCCTTCCTTCCTTCCTTTCTTCCTTCTTTCCTTCCCTGTTGTAAACATCGTAAAGTACACCCATTCCTAAGTATGCATTGTGCGTGCTATAGATGCAGTGCTGATTTGTGGCTTCGCACCAGCAGACACAGCTGGGCTAAGTATTTAGAGGAAAGAAACATTTGTTCACAGAAACGGTTGTTCACTAATAGGCAGGTAGGGCCCTCTCACCAGGACGAAAATTTTCAATTTTGCACGCGTATAATAGACGGACACGCATGAACACACATATGAGCATACATATAGTGTAGTTGTGCTCTCCTCTTTTCCTGTAAAAAATTGTGGCTATGCTCATGCTCACTTGGTTTAGTTATCTGATCTTCCAAGCATGCAATTACGCGTTTTAATTTGTGAAGCACGTCGCACATATTTATGCTTCTCTGGTGGAAGACCGAAGCGTCTTATCATTAATATTTTTGGCGAAAGTAAGTTGTAGGTTAAATCACTCGAAAAGCAGTCGAATGTTGGACACATGATGTTGTGGTCAAACCGTCTAACAACCACAGGTCACACGTATACGTGGAATCACAGTTAGTGTATTGAAGCAGTTACAGGTAGAAGTAAACCTTACTTACATTTGTAGAGCACATTATTTATGAACATGCTGGAAGCTCCTAAAAATATCGCAAATGCACTGCATTATTATTAACGAGCACCATCGTTATATTCATTACCTCATCCCATGTATCTGTATTGTCCTTTCTATACCAGTGCACTACTACAATTACCTGTCCAATGCGTGGGATCCCTTGACGTTCCCGATCTCAAGATTTGTGTCCGAGCACGGCTTGCAGTCGTACCCTTCGAGAGACACCCTGCTGCCTGTCATGCCGAGCTCCATGATCAAGTACCCGTTCCCCATCCTTTTGAGCCGCAGGCAGCACCAGCGCTTAGGTAAGTGCCAAGAGCTATAGCTACGTATAGATGTTTGTCATTCAGCCCGGCCTGCCTGGTTTGGGCGCGCGCGGCGGCGTTTCTCCGGCCGTTCACTTCGGCGCGCGCCCCATCAAAAAAAATGTAATTGGAGAAGTTCCTCCGCGCACCGCGACGCGGCGCTCTTCTCCTATTCCTGGTGGAAGCGAACCAGAAAATCGACTTGTAAATACTTGGAAAACAGCAGGGGGCCAAACCAAAAAGAATTATTGGTCAAGAAGAAGGTGAAGGAAGCTGAGACCGATATGTGGAGAATTGGCATAGTTAAGAAGCCCGCACAAGAGATCTATCGAACATTTAAGCAGGAAATTGCCAAGAAAAGGATCTATGATAATACTCGGGGTAGTTCTTTACTGTTTGAGGCCAGGACGGGAGTATTGCGAACCAAGACATATCGGGACAAATACGAAGGGGTAGAGACGGTATGCAGTACGTGTGGAGAGGAAGAAGAAACTGCCGAACACTTGATAATGTTCTGTAAAGGGCTTCACCCTATAGTTCAGGATGATGGCGCAGAGTTTTTCAAAGCACTGGGGCTTAGGGACAGTGAGGGCAAAATAGACTTTAAGTGGGTAGAATTGACTAGAAGGAGGTTATCTGATTGGTGGCTAAAGTCAAGGCACGAGTGAAAATTAAACCCTTCACTGCAAAGTACGAATCCTCAACCTCACTATTTAAGGGGAAAAATAAATCTAATTTTTGGTTCATTAAGTATTACGGCTTGGTGGCGCTAGCCACCACCCGATCTAAAGGGTACAGCCATATCCCTCTATCCATCCATCTGCAGACGACGCCGAGGGCACCGCGCCGTGAACATGCTTGGAGAAATGCACATTGGAAGTCGGTCACGGGGTGACTGGAATAAATGTAACGCTAATATGTATTCTTAATCGGATTTGACACAGTGAGTGCTGTTCTCTGTAGCATGGCATGATCGAGACAGAGCTAGGCAGCGTGAGGCGACTTCGTGTGGCGCAGCTTCTTCGCAATTTCGCATATATGACACACGTATTAAGCTGACGGACTACATGATCTGCCACGCTTTTCATTTTTTGTTTTAGTGATCTTTTCTTCCACTGCCGCCTGAATCGGTGCGTGTCAATTTAGATAGCTTTGCTGTGCAAGGAATACATTTTATCGTTGTCGACCCTGCTTATATAGCTTTGTTACGCAGTGCAACTCTGTCGTATCTGCATCACATTGCTGGAAAACTATAACCTAGTGCTGGTAATGCTACAGTCGTTTTCTGCACGATGATAGGCGAAATTTGCTTGTGGGCGCGACACTTAGACCTTTCAAGTTCCCACGGCAGAACAGTGTTGCGGATGCGACTTTCTTATCTAAGCGCAGGCCGCATGTAGGTGACTAATGAACATGAAAATGATGGGCGATGCTAATCGCCTGCGAATTATAGGGTGCCAGGGATCGGTCACACCATTACCAAAGTACTTTCTTTCGCTTAGGTGAATCTTGTCGTTTCAAAGCGCGCCATCGTTAAATAGCTTTTTTAGAAGAAATTATGTCGTCGGCATCTCTGTGTGAGTGGAAAAGCTGCAAAAGCTGCGTTGGCCGTGAGCGAAAATTCGAGGTAGATGCAATGAAGAAGGTGTTTGCACATTGGTTTTTCTTATGGTAAAGTGTGGGTCTCCACTGAGACGTGAAGGCTTCGTGCTAGCGATTGGGGAGGCGATTGTGTGTGTCTTCTTTTACGCGTGAATGTTTATATGTGTATGAGTGTGTATGTGCGCGGCGCCGTGTGTGTGCGTGTGTTCGTCCGTGAGTGAGTGTGTGCGAATATGTGCGTGTGACAACGCGCGCTCGTCTGCCTGTGTGGGCGCAAACGTGTGTGTGGTCGAGTGCGTGTGTATGTGTGCGTTCTTTTGAGCGTGAGTGTGAGTGGATGGGTGTCTGTGAATGAGCGTGCATGTGCGCGCGCGCTCGTCAGTCTGTTGCGCGCGCTTGTGTGTGTGGGCGAGTGCACGTGCTCTCACGTGTGTGTTCTTTTGTGCGTGCGAATGTGTGTATGTGTGCGCTCTTTCCTGAGCTAGTGTGCGCCAATGTGTGTATATGTGAGCGCGCTCGTCTGTCTGTGTGCGTATGTCCGTTTTTGTGTGTTTTTGTGCGTCTTTTCTGTGCTTGTTCTATTCTGGAAAACTGGCTGACGGATGTGTTCGCTTCGATCACTATCATCACGACAGCAGATGGGGCACGAAAAAAAAGAATTATTCTATTCGTTTAATTGAGGTGGTTGAGGGGCTAGGAAAGATAAGGTGTGCAGCTAACCAACGGTCTGCGGCTTCTATAAAGCAACATCTTCAAGTACCGCAAGCCATCCCGCGAAGACAGCAAGTGAAAGGATGGATTAGACGGATGGATTGATATGGCTGTACCCTTTAGATCGGGCAGTGGTCAACGCCACCAAGCCGTAATGCTTAGCGAACCACAAACTAGATTTATTTCTTTTTTTCTTTAAATAGTGAGATTGAGGACTCGTTCTTTGCAGTGAAGGGTTTAATTTTCACTCGTGCCTTGACTTTAGCCACCAATCAGATAACCTCCTTCTAGTTAATTCTACCCGCCTAAATTCTATTTTGCCCTCCCTGTCCCTAAACCCCAGTGCTTTGAAAAACTCTGCGCCATCATCCTGAACTTTAGGGTGAAGCCCTTGTTCGGCAGTTTCCTCTTCCTGTGTTCGGCAGTTTCCTCTTCCTCTCCACACGCACTGCATACCGTGTCTACCCCTTCGTATTTGGCCCGATATGTCTTGGTTCGCAATACTCCCGTCCTGTCCTCAAACACTGGAGAACTACCCCGAGTATTATCATAGATCCTTTCCTTGGATATTTCCTGCTTGAAAGTTCGATAGATCTCTAATGCGGACTTCTTAATCATGCCAATTCTCCACATATCGGTCTCAGCTTCCTTCACCTTTCTAACTTATAATTCTTTTCGGTTTGGCCCCCTGCTTTTTTCTAAGTATTTACCAGTCAATTTTCTGGTTCGCTTCCTCCATTTTGTATCGACATTCATTATGTACAAGTAGCTGAATACCTTTCTAGCCCAAAGCTCTTCTCCCATTTCTCTCAATCACTTCTCAAATTTTATCTTGCTGCTAGCTTCCCTGCCCTCAAATGATGTTCATGCCATATCACTTTGTATTCCCTGATTTGGTATATTCCCGTGAGTTCCTAACGCCGGCCTACCTATTTCACGTTGCTTAATTTCTAATTTTTCTTGAACTTCTGATCTCACGCACAAGACCGCATTGCCGAACGTCAAACCAAAAACCATGACCCCTTTCCAAATTCCTCTCACAACATCATACCTTTTGTAATTGCACAGGGCCCTGTTTTTCATCACCGCTGCATTCCAGTTACGTTTAGTTCTCACGTATATTTCGTGTTCCCTTAGGTACTCGGCACCATTGCTTATTTATACGTCCAGATATTTGTATTTATCTGTTATCTCTAGCGTGACCTCCTGTATTCTAAGCTCACTACCCTCGTTATCAATAAAAATCATGACTGCTGATTTTTCCTTTCTGAATATGAAATCTAACCTATCTCCCTCATTACCGCATATGTCCATCAATCTCTGCAAATCTTCTTTGTTGTCAGCCATTAGCACTATATCATCTGCGTACATCAATCCTGGTAGCGCCTGTTCAGTGAGTATTCCTTGTTTGACGAAAGAGAGGACGAAAGAGAGGTTGAAGCCCAGTCCACTTACCTCTAATTTGGCCTCTAATCCTTGCAGGTAGATCATGAATAACAAGGGTGACAGAGGACACCCCTGCCTAAGCCCCCCTTTTACCTCTGCAGGCTTAGATAAGTTTTTTTCCCACTTTATAACGGCCTTGTTACCTTTATAGATGTCCTTTAAAAGATTAGTGACTACATCTTCCACACCTAGTGTTTCCAGTATTCCCCACAAATCATGTTCAACCACGCTATCGCACGCTCCCTTGATATCCAAAAATGCCATCCACAGGGGCCTGTGTTCCTTTTCTGCTATTTCGATGCACTGCGTCAGTGAGAACAGATTTTCTTCCAACCTCCTGTGTTTCCGAAACCCATTCTGCAGTTTCCCCAGCACCACCTCATCCTCTATCCATGCCTGCACTCTTTCCTTTATATTCTGCATCGCCAGCATGTAGACCACTGATGTCACTGTTCTAGGACGGTAGTTGCTTACGTCAGCTTTGTCCCCTTTTCCTTTATAGATCGTGCTCATCCTGCTAAGTTTCCATCCATCGGGGACTTCACCAACGATTATTATTTTGCTCACTTCCTCTCTCAAAGCCTGTTTAGACTTCGGACCTAATGTCTTTGCCAGCATAACTGGAATGCCATCTGGGCCTGTTGATGTACTACTAGGAACCCTCTTTTCAGCCCTTTCTCACTCTCATTGCGAAAATTGAGACATTGCACCACTTGATTCATCCTTGTCAATTGTGGTGCATAAAGCACTTCTTTGTTTAAATCGTTCTGCTACCCTTGTTCTTACATATTCAATAGCTTCGTCCCATTTTAGACTAACACCTTGAGCTGTAGTTATAAATCTCTGCTCGAGGCTCGTCTCAATTGTCAGGGAGTTAAGATAGTTTCGAAATTTCGCAGCTGCCTTTCTATCTTTTTTTATGTACTTCTGCCAGCCACTGAGCTCCCTTTCTTCTAATCTTTTCATTGATCAGAAGGGGTGGCTCCCTTCTACAGCTTAGTAAGATTTCCCGTTTTCTTTCAACATCATGTGTTGGTTCACCCCGCTGCTTAGCATGTCTGTGTTTTCTAGAGGCTTCCTGATGTTTTGCTATGGCTCTCTTAACTTACTGATTCCACCAACTCCTGGGTTCGTGTCTTCTTTTCCGGGGTGACTTGTCACGCGTCTTAGCAAGCTCTAGCTCAAAGAGTCTAATTAGATTCGTGTATGTCCCCACTGTCTTATTATCCTCCGTGATTACTTTCTCAATTTCTTTAGTAGCTATTTCAATTTGCCTTTCTGGATAAAAATTTTCGCGTTGTTGCTCATCTTGTCTCCTTCCACTTTCACTGCTCTTCCAAAACTTAGCTTGATACGTTTGTGATCACTACCCAGACTTCTGGAGCCACTTTCATCTATGTGCATTCCCCTGAGCTTATCATACATCCTATGTGACATCAGTGCGTAATCTATCGTCGACTGCAGCCTTCCTACCTCCCATGTTATTTGCCCTTCACACTTCTCGGTACTGTTCCAAATGATCAAATCATGCCTTTCACACATATCCATGATCATTTTGCCTGTTGGGTCGGTATATCTATCGATATCTTCTATTGGCGCATTCATATCTCCTAGTATAATTATCTCGCACTCTCCTCCTAACTCCCTCAATGTCCTTTGATATACACTCTATCATTGACTGGTTTTCCTCTCTGGCCTTTGCTCCTGTTCACAAGTACACCAAACCAAGGAGTGCATTTGCCCTGCCACTATCTCTTTTAGCCATAAATGTTCCTTGCACTCCTGCTTGACCCTTTACCAGTCTGCACTTTTATGAATGAATGCCCCAATACCATCCCCCTTTCTGCTGCCTTTTGTTCTATTACAATATTTCCATGCGCAGTCCGCATTGTTAGGAGGTTGTTCCATGTCCCTAAGATGTGTTTCTACAAAACCGTATACCATCGGCCTCTCCTCCCTTAGCTTTTCTTCTATCTCTTCCCACTTCAACCTGTTCCTGCCACCCTGCATGTTAATATACCTTATGTCTGAATTGGCTCGGCACTCGTGGCTACGTCTATTTCTGCCCCGGACTCTACCTATCTTAGATACTGGTGCCACTTTGGAATCGTATCTGTTCATACCACCTGTAAAAGAGTCCCCCTGGCTGTTTTCCTTGTTACCAGCTATCCTGCACCCCGAAGGCCCGCGTGCCCCCCCCCCCCCCAAAAAAGCTACTGCGCGTCCTGCAAGTCGTCAACCACCTCATGACCTAGCCGCCCATCGAAGTGAATTCTGTCTCGTTGAAAACCACCCCACCTATGCACCTCTCTGTTTATTTCGACCCCCTCAAAGCCTTTCTCTCGACTCATCCGCCATATATCTCTTGGTTTGCGTTGGCAACCGCTCTTTGCAGGTGGCCGCCACGCACTGGTACCTCCGGTATTGTGCAACACACTACCTGTACCTGAGGAGAAGTGGTGCGCATGTCATCAACCCCTTTCGCCAGTGTGGTCGCTAGCCCTGCCGTATCTTTGCACTCGCTTTGCACTAATTTTGCACTCGCTTGCCTCATGGCTGCTTCCAGCTTGCGTCCTGGGCACGTTCCTACTGCAACCCCCTTGTCACCCCTTACCCCCCCCCCCTTCGATTGCTTCTGCGCATCGATTTAAATTCGAGTCTCCGGCGATTATCACATGCTGTGACTTTTCAGCTGGAGCACCCTGTACCTGGGGCTTACATGAACCTGTGACGTCGGCTGCTTTGTCCCCTCCCAGCCCCACCACTACTTACTTCGCTGAAGATGGGCCTTGCGACAATTGAACCAGCTGAACCTGTTTTTTTTTCAAACTTGCTTGCTCTTTCTTCTCCACTGTTCTGGTTACCGGTGCCCTACTGTTCTCTCCGTCGGCCGCTCCTTTGTTCACCTTGGCTAGTGCTTCCTCGGCAGACTTAAGCCTTTCTCCCATTGCCCTCGTTTTTTCTCACTCCGTCACCAACGCAGCCTCCAGCTTGGTGATTCTCAACAGCAGTTCACTCTGGGCAACCATCGTTTTCTTCATTTTTTATTCAACCTCACATTGCCTACACTTCGCGTCAGTCTCCTCTCCATTTCTTTCTGCACTTGGGTCCATTTTCAAACTCACCTCGCCTCCTGAACATTTTAGGCCTTTTTAACCATGTCTTTATGAATCCAATTGTCCTTATGACTTGTCTCACTCGAAAATTACAAAACACGATCCCTGCCCTACGAAAAAGAGAAAGTCTAAGCTCTACTACAAAAACTTGCGTGTTGAATGTACGTGCACCTCCCCCACTGGTTGGCCCAAAAAAACACAAAGAAACAAACACACACACGCACAAACTAGTAAATACCTGGTGACTGACCCCCGGAAAAGCTGTACAATGTATTAAGTGCTACAAAGATTTTAGCTGCCGCATTATTAATGATAAAGGCAAGCTCAAAACACGCAAAACCACTTATCTTCGCAGTCAATCGGGAGTGCTATATAAACACGTCTATCCAGCGTGCCAGTCCGAACTGGCACGATAGAAAGTGTAGTAGGCGCGCGCCGCCATGCCGTGAACAAATCGGCCTCGCCCCCTTTTGTAATTACGCCTCTTCTGTCCGAATGAGACAGCCGGAGGAACACCGCCGCACGCGCCCGATTCAGGCGGTCGTGCATTCACCTTATCGGCCACGAGGGTCTCCACTTGAGAGGCCAGAGCTACGATTGCTTTGGCGTCACAGATAGGATGCGTAGTTGTGGAAAACGGCAGCTTTGCTTTCGCGACACCACTTGCATCGTCCCCATGGCTGCACTAGATCCTAGTCGCGATATTACGATGCAAATTAGACGTGGTAGTGCCACCGGGGGCACCTATTCATAGTTTTCTTGCCCATATTATCAGGTCTTACCACTTCTTTAAACACTGAGCTTCAAAAAAAAAAAAGGAATACACGCACGGTGCCCTGTGTCCACAGAAAAAGCGCAGAAAATGCGGTGTTCTAGCAGACAAAGTCAACCCGGCATCCTAAGAGTGACGTCATCACGTAGGTGGCGCCACGGTATGCCCTCGAGACAAATACTTTTTAAAGGCGATAGTGTACCTTCTGATAGACGGTTGCTAGATTGCAAGCGTTGTACCTCAGCGAATTTCCAGGTACCTCATTTACCAGCTCCTAACGTCAAAACTGAAAGCACGTATTCAAGTTGTTTTTTTTTTTCCGGAGTAAGGAAAATCTCTCTCTAGTTTTGCAGATGACGGGAACGTGGCTAAAGTTTAGGGGAACCTCTTATAATATTGAAGTAGCTCAAAAGAACGTTTATTCAAATATATTTTGTCAAATAGAGGAAGAAAAGTGTAGAAAATCAGCGGGTTATATTATAAACCTCTTCTTGCCCGCCGATGGTACTAAGGCACATAGGTAAACAAAACTGGATGTCAACAAGGGCGCGTGTTGGTAAACAGTGCAAGGAAACGCATACATTTTTGTCTGTCTGTTTGTCACGTGATTCAGCCACCCCGCCAAAGTTTAAGCACTTGCTAAACGACCAGTCATCTTGAACTGGTAGCTGCATTCATACTCGTGAACACTATCGATCAAAAAGCAAAAAATGCGCGCATCTGAGGTGCATTATCAAAGCGTACGTAGCAGGTGGTAGATTTCTTTACTAAAATTACGTAAATACGTAATTCTAAAGACTCCATTATATTTTAGGATTCGTTGAAAATTCGATGTTATGCAAGAAACAAGGCTGGCAAAAGATTATCGCCATTTGACGACATAATCAGCGAAGCATGCATATAAGCTGTCAATATTATTTTTACGCTTCAGTCATTCCTGCTGGTTCACATTTTTTTTCTAGTCCATGATTATTGCAGTATCTAAAGTTCAACGCGTCCAACATTGGCTAATCGCACAATCAACTTTTGTTATGATAGATATTTGGTGTATTGCTTGCTATTCCACGTTCTCAACTTTTGCCCATTTCAGGAGACATATATGTGAAACACGCCATTTCGGATCACTTTAAATTTACTGGCCTCTATCTCACCTTCTGGATCCAAAATTCAAGCAAGGCATACGACATGGTATCATATTTGAGCCAGGTGAGCCAATTTTTGTACACTGTTAGAGAAACTGGCTCCTAAGTCAACCGTGTTTATTTTTAATATTGTAGCCTCTGAAAATGTGTTCAAGAGAATTAACCTTCTGCTGTGTTCAAAATGAGCGAATAATTTCTACATTCTTAATGTTACAAATTTTGTTTATTTTATATCCCACCCGCGAGGAACCAAGGTTCAGAAAAAAAGTACCTGTGTAGCACTCGTTTCTAAGCCATCATCATAGGAATTTTCTTTCATGCAAGGAAATCGTGCAAAATCATCAATGACCTTACCGTCACTGTTTTTACAAACGGAAACCATAAGTCTTGCAGCTTCGCACTGCAAATTTCGCTCATTTTTTTAAAATGAAGATTCGTAAAAGAGCGATAAGATATAAAATAAATAGTAATCAGGCACCAATGACACCGATTGATTAGATCAGGGGTCGTTGATATATCAGCTGAGATGAGGATGATCTCCATTTTCGTTGATCATTCACAGCTAAACAGACATGAGAGGAATGGCGGCCAATCTCACAATCAAGTCAAGCCCAACTAAGGGTTTAACAAACAGGAGTTGACTAAAATGAATGACCACGCAGATCAACCAAGCGATGGGCATGCGGAACGCCGCCCAGACGCTTCGACGCTGGAGAAGTTTCATAGGTCCTGAGGGTCAAGGCCACAACATGGGATTTCTGTATTGGCAGCTGAACGACATATGGCAGGCACCGTCGTGGGCTTCCATAGGTGAGAACCTCGAACATTCACGCATCTGCAATCCCGCGTTTTCACTACCACTACCCGAAAAACATATGTGGCGCGAATACGCTTTTCCAGAATGAGATTGTTCATAGTTCGCAGCGGAAAAGCGAACGAGTTCAAGACACGCAGAAGTGACTACTTTAGTGATGAACACGACTATGCAGTGCAGAGGCCGAGGCTCGTATTTGATGCTGTAATGCTCAGCGTGTCGGCACGCTGAACTTCACCTTTCAAAGCCTTTACGTACGTGGCAGAAATACATGGGCGTTGCGTATTGTAGCGTTTATAAGTTTAGCGAGTGTGCAGTGTCACAAAATTTACCGCAGCCCTCACTTATTTCTCATGGCGACATGGTATGGGCAGCAATCTCTCGTTTCACTTGAACTGTGACGTTGTTTGGACATTTCGAAGTAAAATAAAAAAGCGAACTCGCACGCGTGCATTATTCACGCGAACGCATTCGAGCCAATTTTAACTCGCTGAATCTAGGTGAATAAAGATCTTCGATCATGAGCAGGTGTTACAGCAGGAACACTTCACCTCCTATATTTTGGTTGAAAGTTTGCTTTACTTCTAGGAGCGTGATCATTTGTTTGATTCAAGGACGCTACGATGGCCTATCAAAAGCTGCAGAATGTCTGACGCCTGCAGAATGTCTGCAGAATGTCTGAAACTGGAATTCAAGAGAACATTAGCATTAGTACGGGGTCCCCACAATGTGAAGCCCTTCAAGAGAGTACTTGCTAACAATGGCTCAGCCTAGCGAATTGAGAATATTTAGTTGTTTTGTGAGTTCTCGTGGAAAATTTGGTCAAAAGAGTTTTCACTTGTAATGTATACAGGGAAGTGATTCACCGTTTATGGCGTACCAAATTTTAATAATTATTCTATCTACAAAGTATCATTTCAATGAAATAAAAGAAGCGGAATTAAATTAGCAGCATGAAAGAGTCGCTCATCAAGTTGAAAAGATTAGCAAGAAGGGTATAGTGTAGAGAAATAATGCGAGATGTCTGCCTACGCCCTTACATAATGCCGCCAAACGCGAGTAAGTTTGCGAAATTCTGTTAAAAGCTTATTTCCCAAGGTGACCTAATGGCCCTGTCCCTAATGGGAGTATCGCGAAACCTTTTTTATGACGGCTTGTGAAAGGTTATAGCTTCCAAGAAATGTAATATGCACATATTTTAACTGCCTAGACACTCTGCCTTGATGACCATTAAGTGAGAATGTTGAAGTTGGTTTTCACCATTTTAATAAGCTCACTTGTATAAATGAGCTTTTGACACAGCTATACCTTGACACTTATAGAAATGATAAAATCATGGGGCACATCGCAAAAGAGTTTAGTCATAAGATAATGGTTCTAAAGTCCATCTCCAACCCGTAATACTTTGCTTTAGCTATTGTCTGACGAGTGCACTTTAAAAGAAACGACGCCTTCGCCTGCACAAGATTTCCTGCTTTTATTTTTATTTTTTTGAGGACACGCAAGGGGCGTTACATAAGAAAGGTGTCTGTTGCACAAACCTATGTGATTGTCCCAATAATCAGTGAAAATGTATATTTGACATGCCCTGCGTGAAAGCTGATTGGCAGGTGACAGTGTAGCCGACAATATGTTATCCAACGACGCTGCCTGTCGTGTTAACGTACGCATACGTTAACGCATCAGATTTCATGTAAGAAAACATCGGGGCAGCTATGCACTAGGACAACACCAGTACGTATCTTACATCTATGATCTCGCACCTTATTCAACCAGACATATACGAGAGAAATAAATGCAAGAACTGCGCTTCTAAGACCACTTGGGAGCACATGCTACGGGAATGTTGAGGGATAATGAACAGTATTGATGCAGCCCGTAGTTATTGATTTGCGCGCACTGGGGGTGTCTGCGTTGTACAGATCTGCTCTTGAAGGTCAAATTAGGGCTGTCCATGCCATCCGAGAAAGCCTTCAGGAGTCAAGAACTCCTTGCCATCCCCTAAGCGGTGCCTTTCACCCTTCCCCAAAACGAACAGTATCTTTTAAAGTTCTTTGTAAGTATGTAGGCACTAGTGTAGTGATGCCTCAGAAAATACCGGACCTGGAAGCTTTATTGTGACATTGAACGGATTTTTTCGTGTAAATTATGTTTGTAAATTTCAACTCGATGACATGTGTGTTGAAGATAAATGTGATTTGCGTACTTTTGTTCCAATTTTTCTCAACCCGAAAGTGTTTATGTGGAGTCTAACGCGGCTTCACTGCCATATTTCCGTAATGGATGCCCAGTTGTCAAACATGTACGAGAAGTTAGCAAAAAGAACTGAAGAAAAAGTTCTGTCGGTGAGTGTCGAACCTTCACGCTCAAGCTCTGCAATGTGCGGCGCGAAACTATACTACGCCATAGAGCGTACGTTGTCCGGCTTGTTAACGTCGAGCTATTTACATACGTCGTATACCGTTGTTGACAGTACTCGTAGTTCAGCAACTTCAGCGCGTCTTCGTCATCGGAAGCGAGATGGCGCGAAGAGTGCGCGCTGGGCGCGCGTTCGCACGCGCTTATCTCGTGATTCGGGTGTTATGTACCTCTTGTGCTTTTACCGAAAGCTTGCCTTGAAGTTAACAGGGTTAAAAAAAAAAGCACGAAGGTCACTTCCCTCGCAGCCGCGGCCGCGCTTATGAAAGGAGGGCGATGTCCACACACAAAAAATTAGTAATTGTCACAGTTTTAGCGCTCATCCTGCGTATACTCGTGCGTTCGTGTCATGCATTCGTGTCGTGTATCTTTCTGTTTCAGCAGCCTATTTTAAGTGTCGAATTCACAGTTGTTTGTTTGCTCTCATACGGTGTATGCTCGTTTCGTGCGTGCTTTCTGCTTGAGATGCGCGCTGCAAATTTAAGAATGCGCGCTGAAAGTTTCTGTGGCATTCATCCTTTCACCCTTGTGGCAAAGCAATGCCAAATAAATACTCGGCGACCTCTGAGAAGACAAGCTTCACTTTGATTGTGATACCAATTCCTAAAAAACAGGGATCAGTCGCATTTTTTTTTAATTTTTTGTCAGCTCAGCGCATTTTTTTTACTGTTTTCTGCAACCATCTGCTCGACTTCGTATGAGTGCCATTGTCCATGGTGTCACGACTCGCCACCGACTCTCAACCACAACTCAAGGAGTGGCAGTATACGGCCAAATAACCTAATTTTTTGACAGCAAGGGGAGGCACTTCTTACTGGTTCTGCAAGTCACGGAGTTGAATACCGGTCGCGGCAGCTGCATTATTGGAGTCGAAAATTCTTGAGTCTTATGTGCTTATTATATGATGAATTTGGGGTGTTATGCCATTTAATAATAATAATAATAATAATAATAATAATAATAATAATAATAATGTATCTCAGCAAGCACAGCTAAACAGTTGTGCTGAGATACAATTGGTGTGATGACTTTAAAGTGCCATATTTACCGTGTCGAACCTTAAGAAAAAAAAGCATTTTATAGCAACCTGGTTTTCTGCCCGATATGGAGAAGCGTGTAGAAGTGTATGTATTCTGAAAATTTGCAATCAACTACCTGAAGAGCTTTTTTTTTTACCTAGTTCAAAAAAAGAATTGAAGAAATTACTCTCTGAGCTGTAGAACATATGGTCTACCTGTATTCACGTGGTCTACCTTTGTTCTTCTTTTTATTTACTGCCTGTAAAAAGCAATAGTGTCAATCATTAGTCTGTCCATTGCCGAAAAAGCAACGATAGTTTGTATGACCTTGTAAGTACATCGCTGTAACCGACACTGTCGGGCCTAGGCGCACAAGTCCTTGGGACTTAGACAGGCCCGTTTTTTTTTTTGTAATTCTTATGGATGGTGGATAGTCTTATGTTCCTTATGAATGTGTACAATAAATTATTATTATTATTATTATTATTATTATTATTATTATTATTATTATTATTATTATTATTATTATTATTATTATTATTATTATTATTATTATTATTATTATTATTATTATTATTATTATTATTATTATTATTATTATTATTATTATTATTATTATTATTCGGACCCGGAGGATAATAATAGGTTCGGACACGGAGGTTCAACTAGCGTTGCTAGGCCACCTTCAGTTAAAGGGGCCCTGAAACACTTTTTCAAGAAACCATAGAATGAATTCACTTGAACAGCTTATTGTATCACGAATTCAACGACGCAAAAATTTGAAGAATCCATCCTATGCGAGTGGAGTTACAAAGATTTGTCGCATGCTGCAATTGCCTTATCTCTTCTCTCGTACCGACGAAAGCGCTAGAAGCTAAGCAGGGTGGGATGGCAGGGCCATAGGAAAATGTCACGTACGCCTTCCGACCTTGAGCACTTTTTTCTTTTTTTCTTTGATTGTGCAGCTTCCTCAGCGTGATCGCGCACGCACGCGTGGACAAGTAGCGGCCTCCCGTGGCGATCTCTGTTATGGGCGAGCACGCCATGTTCAAATCAGCCAATGGCTGGTAGATGGGTCGCTGACGTGTGATTTTTGGGCACATAACATGGTTAGTTGAAAGAAAAAAAAGCAATTTTTAGCTGACCTTGATAATTTATCTTGTATTTCAAGCCGCGTGCTGTGCTATATTATTTGGCTCGCGTGTTGTCGGGAGGCTCTGCTACCGATCGGCAGCTTTTTCTGACCATACTCACAAAGTGTTGCAGTGCCCCTTTAAGGGCACAAGCCATGGTGTAGCCTTGGGCATGGTAGTCCTCCCATTTAGTTTCTAAACCCTTTCCTTATCCTTCAATATGAATGATTTCTCTTCCTTTTCTCTGCGAGCAAAATTAACTCACGTCTGGTAACAGCTTCTCTAGCACTTTATAGCAGCATCTTACAAAACTTTTTCCTGAAATATGCGACGTGGCGTTTGGGATATTTCAAGAGCCCTCTCTCTCTAACTTCGTTTTCAGAATATGGTGGCCGGTGGAAGATGGTGCATTACTTCGCGAAGAGGTTCTTTAGTCCCGTCATAGTGGTTCCCTTCATTTCCCACGGGAACAGTCAACTGAAGGTGTTCGTCGTCAACGACAAGCTGGAACCCGTGGACGGAGCAGTTCTTTCAATAACTCAATACATGTGGACCTCTTTCACGCCGGTTGCTACAACCACGATTAACGTTACGCTGGCAAGTGTCACTGTACTTTCTTATCGTGTTCGAAGATAGGGTGATTCTTTGCGCAGTGCATGTGCCTTCAAAGTAAGCTCATATGCTGGTAGAAACAGATATATGTAGCTAGGAGTCTCGTGTATTTGTCGCTTCCGCAAGTTTTGAAATCACAAGGTAATGACTGCATGCGCTACCACGCATCTTTTCTTCAAGTTCGCATGCTTTGGGCGTAATCTAACCTACACGTAGTTAGTTAATTGCTTTACAACCACTTATCAGTTTGTTTCGTTAAAATGGGAACTCTGGAAAGAAAGCAACTCAGGATTCACCGTTGCTGTGCACATGGTGGTTGAGCCATCAGAAAAGCATAAGCAGAGTCCCGGCCTTTTGTTGCCGACGTCGTACGAACGAACTTTTTTGCGTGGAAAGGGCAACGTGGTTTCATGTGTAAAGGGCAAACTGAATGGCGTTGGTTACAACTTCAGGAGTCACGAAAGGCCCTTCTCAGATTATCTAAACACAGGAGCTGATCGCCACCGCAACTAATAGAATCGTACGGTTCATGCTAGGAAATGCCCTGCAAAAGCCGTCCGGCTCATGGCGTCAATCTGGAGTGCTGGCCTTTGAGGAAGAAACGCCACACACACACTTTTGAAGTTGTACCCGACAGTAGAGAAATATTTGAAGGAAGTTTCATCGATGGCTTGGAAGAGCTATCGCTCAAGCACCTCGAAGACATTGTGTTTCGATCATGATATGCTATGAGGTGACAAATGCCTCAGTAACACTGTCCACCTGCTTGTACCTTTTACTGTCTTATGCGTGGATGCATGCCAACTTGTCCTTTCATAACACTTCCTCAACATCGCAAAAATCCCTAAGAGCTTGATTCGTCCAAATAAGAACAATCATTGGCATATTTCAGTACAAAGTAGGGCACTAATTTAAGCGGAAAATTACGGCGTTGCTACTATGGCGCCACGTAAGTGCTGTCAATACAAACGCAAATAAGTTAAAGCTTAGCTCATTTTTTATCTCTTTTGTCTTCCTTCTTTGTTTTTCACTCAGGCTGCAGCCGCGTCGACGGACGTGTACTCGAACAAGATGCAGTACGAATGGAAGCAGGACGTGTGCGATTCTGTCAACTGCTTTCTTTGGTTCACGCTCACCGACCCTCACAGTCAATCTGCGCTGGCGCCCGACAATTTCCTACTGCTGGAAGAGCCCAAAAACCTTGTGCTACCGCAAGCTTCAATATATGTAAGAAACATGGCTTTACTGATACTTTTCTCGCGATGAGCTTAATGAGAGCATAACTATTGTTTATTAGAGGTGGTTTTTGAGCTAGTTACATGTTATTTTAAAAATCACAGCATATCCACGGAGTGAATGATGATGAGAGGGCGAAGCACCTGTCCATCCGTCTGCCTGTCCGTCTGTCTGTCTGTCTGTCTGTCTGTCTGTCCGTCCGTCCGTCCGTCCGTCCGTCCGTCCGTCCGTCCGTCCGTCCGTCCGTCGGTCGGTCGGTCTGTCTGTCTGTCTGTCTGTCTGTCTGTCTGTCCGTCTGTCTGTTCGTCTGTTCGTCTGTCGGTCTGTCTGTCGGTCTGTCTGTCTGTCTGTCTGTCTATCTGTCTGTCTGTCTGTCTGTCTGTCTGTCTGTCTGTCTGTCTGTCTGTCTGTCTGTCTGTCTGTCCGTCCGTCTGTCTGTCTGTCTGTGGATATGTTGTGCTCGCTACGCCGGAGAGGTAAACTGCCCTAGACAGCAAGGAGCTTCGCCCTTGAAAGTTACCGCATATATAAGTGAATGATGACGAGTTGGTGAAGTGCCGGGCACCATTCAGGTAACATTGAATGCCCCGTACATTGCTTACTGGAATATGTAAATGAGTGACAACACGTGTGTACAGTATAGAAAATGTTGTTTTATTGGTCGTATATGGCATTCAGCTGCGAACTTCGTTTTACACGTAGAGTTAACCAAGTAACCCACTGCGATCACCATTGCCGGCAAACTCTTGCTGCAGCACAGCAACGGCGTTGGTCCGAAACAGTTTGTTTTGAATTTTGGAGATTTTCGTCAAGTGGTTGTCACACCACACGTGATCGCATACCTTGCAGCAGGGCCCAAACCTCCGGTTAAAGAAATCGCGCTTGAAGCGATCATCGGTGTCATGAACCTCAGGTGGCGAAATCTTCCAGCGTTTTCCCAGCCGCTTCCCGCGCTCTCGCCACTTCCGGGTCCGCTTGACTGCGTCGTCATGTCGCGGCGGCTTTGCGCGTCCTCAGCTCCACTCACGTCTTCCATTCTTTGTCGTCGCCCCGCCGCGGTGGTCTAGTGGCTAAGGTACTCGGCTGCTGACCCGCAGGTCGCGGGTTTGAATCCCGGCTGCAGCGGCTGCATTTCCGATGGAGGCGGAAATGTCGAGGCCCGTGTGCTCAGATTTGGGTGCACGTTAAAGAACCCCAGGTGGTCGAAATTTTCGGAGCCCTCCACTACGGCGTCTCTCATAATCGTATGGTGGTTTTAAGACGTTAAACCCTACATATCAATCAAATCTTTGTCGTCCTCCAAAGCGGGTGCGCCGTTATCGATCCGTGGCCAAAGAGAGAAACGCACTGAGTGGCAGGAGTAAGCCCTTGGGCGGGAGTGAGGCTGCGCCCCCCCTCGCGGACTCCGATCAAACTAGGGCGACGACGTATGGAGGACACGGCTTCACTCTAAGAGATTCGCCTTAGAACGGAATCTAAGGAGCTACAAAAAAAAAGACTGAAGCTTACAATAAACGTGTAAAGCAGAAGCTGGTTTATCCTAGCGGCTTAACATGGCCTTGGCGGATGACAAGTGTTTCCATGGCATAGACAAAGTAGAGTCGAACCACAGCCTGCCAGCGAACATGCAATGATGTCTGAAATGCAGTGGTAGAACTGGCGTGCAAAGCTGGCTGTGGCACCCCCAGTAGAAGCACGGGCATTTCTTCGCTCGTACACGGCTCGCGTGGTGGGCCCGCTGGGCGCCGCTGCTGTGCGTCGTAGGCGTTGCTGGCCCCGCCGCGGTGGTCTAGTGGCTAAGGTACTCGGCTGCTGACCCGCAGGTCGCGGGATCAAATCCCGGCTGCGGCGGCTGCATTTCCGATGGAGGCATAATGTTGTAGGACCGTGTGCTCAGCTTTGGGTGCACCAGGTGGGCGAAATTTCCGATGCCCTCCACTACGGCGTCTCTCATAATCATATGGTCGTTTTGGGACGTTAAACCCCACATATCAATCGTAGGCGTTGCTTATAAGCAACGGCTCTCAGGGTTTTTCGGAGAAGCTCGACATTTTACCATAAGCTCTAAGAGCTTCGTTCTTAAAACTAAAATTATCTTTCCTAAATGCACCAAATATGCGATTTTAACTTCGACCTATTCTGATCAACTAAACATGGGACGAAAAAAAAAAACACCATGAAAGGAAACTTTTTTCCTTGGCCTTTTGTTGCGCCAAACAATCCTTGAACGTGCACTTGTATCAGCTAGCTTGTACTCTGTTTCATGCACCAGGTGCAACGTTGTGGAAGATATGTAAGGAGCTCGCTCAGTAAAATGTTGGAACGATCGGAATCTAAGCACGTCTTCCATTTATATTTCGTCGTTGTAAACGTGGCCTCTATGATTGACTCTAGCTTCGCGCTACCGGCACAATGAAAAAAAAAAAGTGCACACGAAATTAAGTTATCCAGGATAACTATTGACAACCAGATAACTAATGACGTTTTTTTTAAGGGACAAAGCATCTGCATTGTCAAACTGAATGCAAGATGGAAATAAATCATGTAAGGAGTGGTAAAAACAATAAGCTATTTTATAATGTGAACGCACCTAATGCAAGAAATCTTCGAGCCTTCATATTGTTGCCTTTCATTTATGGAATGAAGCGCAGTTGCTGATTTCACTGCATACATTTTCAACACTATCGTTGTTTTCATAATTCACATAGCTTCCTAAAAAGTTGAGCTATGTGGTTCCATTGGAAGTAACCAGCCATGTTTTCTCTGCAAACATTTTCAGGTTATGCAGGTGAGTGGGCCTACGTCATCTACCTCGATGCCCGGCTTCAAGGTCTTCGATGTTCAACTTCAGGCCGACAACATCGCCTTGTTTGTGTGGCTAAACGCTCATCACGTTAGCGGCCACTTCTCCGACAACGGGTTCCTGTTGAAGGACCCGAGGACTACAGTGCAATTTTACACCCGCCAGAACGTGACCGCAGCTGAGATCGAAGAGGCTCTTACGGTCAACTCACTCAAGGACTACTCGAGTGTCTAACGCTAACCAAAAGGTGTGAAGTGGGAGAGCGCATTTACTTAGCACAAATGCTGCAGCGCATGACGTACTTAATAATTAAGTTAAATCACGCCCGGAAGCTGCTACTCACCCAGTCGTGTGGAGTGTAAGTTATTGTTGTGGATAACCACTAAGGCGTATTGATAACGCGAAATTCGCGGGCATCTGCCTTTAATCCCCATCATGGCGGAGTGTTACGACGACAAACGTTTTCTCAGTCCCAACGACTTCACCGAATACTTCAGTGATGTTAAAAGGCTATTTTGAATCCGTGTTCTCTAGTTTCAAAATTTACTTCGCGTGGTCAGAGTCGTATTCCGGCAACTGCAGCATGCCTGAAAGCGTAGTTAGCGTAATTAGGCTGCGTGTCTCTGTGGACGGCTTCCACAAGTGTTAATTCAGTTACCTTTGCTGGTAAAGCTTAGGTATGCCGTCAATTGCGCCACGTTGTCTGGGAAAGTTTTGACAAAGCGCTGCACAACATTATGGATGGTCTGCAAGCTGCTTCAAGGCGAAAGAGCAAGTTCTTTTTTCGGGAGATGGTTGCGACATGCTAGAGTTGTTCTCTAGCGAGTGCTGTTCACCTGAAAGCACACTCTAAGTGCTGTAAATTCTGGTTTTGTTAAAGTTCTTGCGAACGAGCACCACATTTTAGAGAAGCTTACAACTGTGCTAACCATTCTTTCTTATAAAGTTTGAACAACGTTATCGATTTCTTCACAATAAATAAAAGAACTTCATTACACATTTGCCTTGTGCTACACTAATAATAATTAGCAATTCGAAACTTTCACGACCTATAGGTGACGTGACTATACATTCAAGATGGTGGTCGTTGAGATGATCGCCCCGAAAGAGACGGCACCAAAAAGTACACTTTTGGCGAAGAGTGCAATTCTTAGCGCTTTGGTGACCCTTGAATTCATGTTTTTGAGAAAGTAGGGGAGTGCTAACATACTATATTAGGTCAATAAATTCCGGGTAGCATATTGGAAAGATGAATATGCGCAAAATTGCTATACTCGGCGACAGCTTTTCTTGACATTGGAGCGAAGGCTACGGAGGCGGGGCCTCCGCACATTTGTGTTACTACGCAAATAGTCCGGCAGCTTGCAGCCGATTTCGGTTCCAGTTTCGGTTTTCGCTTGCTCGCTGCGCTAGTGTGTTTATTATAGCAAAATGTATGCATGCAACATGGGAACATCAGAGTTAAACTTTGATGAGAGTGCATACATGCAGCTAGTTACTGTGCTGTTTATATACTGGTACATATAAAATTTTCCGTTGTTCAGAACGTTTTCCCAGCATTATTCAGCCTTTATAACAGTGATGTTTAGGTTCCGTGTTCTGCCCAGTATATACGGGTACGCGCCACACGTGATCGAATGTTAACGTTTACGGTATTGAGCCCCGGTACAGGCGAAACGGAAGGCCGGTTGCGGCACGATCCGGCCACGGGCCTGTCTTGTTTCAGTTTTGCTGTATTCGGTTTACGCCCTCAAAGGCTGTCAGCAATGATCGGCACAGACTGCGCCTCAGTGTTCGAGAAGCCTCACAACTGTTGTAGATTATTGTTAAGATTGCGCGCAAGACGCGAACAGTGATGCTTATTTCAGAGCGTGTGCGGCCACCAGTGATAAGGCTGGAAAGTTCGATGGGTGATGTATAAAAGACGGCGCGTCCCAACGATCGGCAGCTTTTCCACGGCCGATGCTGTGCTCACCGCTGCAAGAGCAAGCAGCAGACGCAGCCGGCGTGCGGAAAACGTGGTGCCATCCAAGAAAAAAAAAAAGAAAAAAAAACTAGGGCGCACGATAACTTCTTTTCCATGAACAGCGTCCCATACTTGTTTTATCCTTATAATGAAGAAAGTTTTGTTTATTCGGGCCAAGTAGCTATTAGAATCAGAAAATAAAATAGGTACTATTTCCTGGCGCACGCGCATGCAGGCGCTTCGGCTCTATAGCTTCCACAGTGCTGTCAAGAAAAGCTGTCGCCGAGTGTAATAAGGCCCACACGTACGCTCTTCACATTGCTGAACGTGTGTAATCGCATGCAACGCCGGGTGTCATGTTGGAAAAGTATTATAATCGGTACAAGTTTCGCAGTATTATCAGAAGTATTTTCCAAGACGCGCTTTATTTTAACGTTTGCTTGCATTGCATTCTGCGCGAAACTTGTTCAGCTCACATAAAAGCACGAAGTAGAATAGGCAGACGGAAAAAAAATGTTTTTCAATACTGAAGCAAAAGGACCAACTGAGGTATGTCATGTTACCAGCAATGTGATTTTATGGTACTTTCTTGATTAAAAAAAAGAACAACAGAATATTAGGAAAATGAAGTTGGCAAGCAGTGAACGAAACCAGGGTCAATAAGTAATGTTAACGTTTAAGAGGTGGCGTTCACGTTACTATTCTATGTTTTGGTGTTTGAGAAATACAAAAAGTGCCGCCATATCCACGAAGTGAATGATGATGAGTGGGCGAAGCTCCGGAGGTAAACCTGGTAAACCATGAATCCTCTGTACATTTTGCCCACTCGATTTTATTACATCGCTCCCCCTAGAGTACGTCGCCGCGCTAAATCGAACGATTGCCTTCAACCAATGACACGCGCCGTATGTGACATCATTCCTATTTTATAAGATCTCGCGTCTTTCATCAACTACAAGTAGCGCTTTCTAGTTTATATAATCTTGCATCTTTTCATCATCAGCTACAAGTACCACCATCTAGTAAACACTACAAGAACTAAACGAGAGGTGGCTACATACAGGAGACGGTACCGCCATCTAGTGAACACTGCAAGAACTAAACTAGAGGTGGCTACATACAGGGGACGCACAGCCCACGCCCTAAGGAGCTTCGCCCCTAAAAGCAAGGCGTGGAGCAGAAACAACAACAACAAAACAAAAAAACAACGACGTCCGCAAGTAAGACCGGACACAAATTGCTGCAGATGTGAAAGTCATGGAGGCACTTCGCAGACACCTTAGATGCGTAATGATGCGGTGAACGTTTACAAACCGGTCCTTTCATTCTATTCCAGAGGTGGAACGCATCTCTAATTCAGTTCTGGTACTGCTTGCACAGTGATCGAATCGAGCTGATGAGATGAGCGCGAGAACGACAAACCTCGAAGTCGCTGTACTCGTGCAAAAACGGGTGCGGCCTACATTCACGGGCCTTCGTTATTTGTGCTTGGTTATTTGTAAAAAACCCATGATGGGATTTTGAGGCGCTAATTTGAACGGGAGACTTGCTTTTCCGCTGTGTGTATATATACAATGCTATATATAGGCTGTGAGCCTCAATGCTCACAGCCTATATATAGGCTGTGAGCATTGAGGCTCGCAGTAAAATCTATTAGTTTTTTTAGTTTTGTTTCTACTCCCCCTTTAACTTAAGAAACTCAAAGGGCTACGGTAATATCGAGGCCGTTCACAACGCTGAGGAACGACCACAAAGGCGTGAAAACAAGTAGCACCATCTGCTGTTTCAAAAACGTCTAAATCTTTAATAATCTCAACCGAACTTCCGGCCGCCACCGCTCAGCAGCGCCACGCTACCTGGAAGTTGCGAATACCACAAATAGGTTGATATCAAAACGAAGCGTCGTCTGCTACGGTACTTCCGGTTCGAGGCTTATTCCCTCGTTGCTTCAAGGATCCAGCTGCGCAGTGTAACAGAGGTGAGGACACGTGCAATTCTGTGGTGCGTTTGTGTCCACTTATTTAGTGATTATGTACTAGAGTTCTTTTGCGAATGCATGATACTTCGCGGATTTCAGAGAACAAAGCGAGAAGTGAGAATGGGTGAACACGAGGAATGGTGAGAGACTGGTTTTGAGCGCGTTTATGCTTTGAAACGCGCAGTAATCTTTTGCAGATTCACCTCGATTTGATATTTTCGACCAGAAATGGTGGCCACCTCAAAATCACTGACAGATATGAACACATGCTGCCAAACGTCAACGTAGGTTCACAGCATAAATACCCTTATTCTGACTGATCAAGTACGCCGATAGCATATATTTGCATAGCCTAATCTGCATCCCCTACTGCCTATTAAATATATGGAAACAGCTGGGCGTGTAAAAGGTCCATGGCACAAAACGACCACTTAGTCAAAGGCATCGCAGAACGTAAAACGATCGAGGTCTCTTTAAAAACAAAGAGTTGCACGGTATGACATCTCTATTAGGTCAGATTTGAAGCGTTAAGTGCCGATAGGCTGTGTTTTGCTCCCACATCTATATGCTGAACATGCATTGAAACATAATGTTCGTGTGTGTGAGGGAACGAAACGTCAAGTAAAGGGAGATTGAAAAAAAAAGCCACAAAACTGTGAGAGCATTTGATTTTTAGAATAAGACACTGTTTACTGTGTTCATTCATCATAACAAACTCAATATGATACTTAAATATTTCTAGGAGTGAGCAACATGAAAACAAAGGGACGGATGTTTCATGATGCTCTGATGGGCAGAAAAATATTTATATGCGAGAAAACATGTGCGAGAACACCCTTTACTTCAAAGCAACATGTATGTGTCCAGAGATACATGCCATTTGAATAAGAAATGACCGCTAGTACCATTTTAACTATCTCGTAGTGACTGCCTTTGTTATTCATCTAAGCTACATGGCACTTCAACGTATAAAGCAGCAATTTTTGATGAAAGGCATCTGCGAGCGCTAAGTGAAACACGCAGAAAGCGACGGAAATGGCAAGAATGCCCGTAGGGCAGCACGGCATCTTGAACCAGGAGTCGATGCAGACGGGTGGCGTAGCCTACAATCCTTTGCGTAGACCACGATATTGCTATCCATCTATTGCAGCTCGAAGCACGACTGTGTACGCCGACGGGAGATAACAAAGCTACGATGGCGTAGATAAAGAGTTGTTGAGATGAATGAAAGTCTATTTAGTTTAATAGTTGTTCCTAAAAGCGTGCAGTGAACGTTTACTGAAACGCAATGTACAGGACAATCGGACATAAATAAGAAGGGCATGCCACCTATCTTCATTATTTAGCTCTATACAGTGTCCCCCAAGTCGGAATTCATACATACGTTTTCGACAAACTGCCACTGAAAATGAGCGAGAAATGACTAATTTCGCACTTTAGTAATAGCAATTTGATATAGGCAAACGAGCGCCACATACAGATGGCAGTGTAGCTAATGGTGGTATGCGTTTACAGCGACATTCCAATGCGACCAACGCGCGATAGCAACTGTATTCTATACGATTGGAAAATTGTGAATCTTCAATCCATTTACCTAAATATTATGTTGGCATTTAATGCCCACTAGCAAACCAATACGTTCTTGTTATAGTTTTTAAACCCTCAAGGTCTATGAAAGCTAAGTGAGAAAGAGGGCAAATGAACATGGCACCCACCTCTGGTGAGCGACTCCACGGAGAAAAAAGGAAACCTTGCTTTGCTAACCAGAACTGGTGAAATTAATCTGCCTACATAAGCATATGTACTATGAAAAGTACTGACCGTTGGGCAAATCTATACCAATTCTTTCGTGAAAGAATTGCGCTGCGAGGGTTCGAATGCCGTTTTATAAATAATAAAGGGCTTGTGAATTTGCGCGTGAAGCGTCTTCTTTTTTCGTATCTAAATTTTTTTCAAGACTGAAATCATGCTGACCTAATGATGTATCGGTGGTGAACAATGTTCTGTGAAAAAAATTGCTACAGGACGAGTAAAGAGGTTATAGGCAATGAAGTGTCAAGCATTTTTTTTATTTAAGGATTAACTACTACGTCTTTTTTTTTTTTTGAGGGCTCTGACACTTCTGCCGGATCGATTTCTTGCTAAAAAGAGTGCGCTGACCTTGTAGCTGTTGAAGTAATGAAATTGGCTCATCCCGGAGATGATGTAATGAAAACATGACGCATACCGAAGTCAGCGTAATCCAGGGATTGCGTGGGTCACGTATGTCATGCGATGATGTTCTCTCAGTCTGGCGATCTAGCCAGTCAGACGCCGTGCCAGTTGGGCTGCAGAGCATTGTGCATGAGAGTGCGATACCATTTGCCTCATTCCTTAATTAAACAATGGCTTTGCGTTCATTTGAAACTGAGATTGCGATTGTATTTTTTACCAGCAACAACAAGATATTTTGTACATAATTTATAAGGCAAAACAAGGAGCCCTTTGGATTAGTAGTCCGCAAGAAGGTTCTGTGTATATCTCACACCGCTATGGAGTGTTTATTTAATGTGAATCACCATAGATGCTCTCGTTCAGCGGTTTAACGAGGTCACTTGTGTTTTTCAAGAACTCCGACAATAAAAGGGAAGCCCGTCTAACAACCATGTCGACACCATGTTTCAAGCCATTTAAGATTAGGACGACGCGGTACAGCAAAGCCCTTGAAGTATAAGAGCTATATCGTAAAGCCGACACATCTTTTCTGGTCCTGCATTCATAGTGTTGCACCAAAACACCACAACCATCATTCTTAGAGCCGAGAATAAGTGCTTTGCTTAAAGGAGTGTGTGATAGGTTGTTTTACGTGTAGCCTTTGAGCGCGTGTGTAGGAACAGATTGCTCAGACGGTTTTAACAACCTCATTTAGAGAAGACCAGGCTGATGATAACCTCTTACTTCTTCCGTTCTTATTCCCCGTACTGTCATTTTTGCTAGTTCCCAAAAGGGTCCTTCAAGAAGCTCCACGTCTGTGTTGGTGAAACTTCTTTTCATGTTCAAATGACACATGCTCATTAGCACATCTTTTGTGAATACCAAAATACCAAGCCAAAGGAACCAGTGTCATGTATTCATGTTTCTTCGTTATGTTAACATAACAATAGCAATAAAACGTATTCGGAAACCGTTAGTAGAGTAAAGCTCTGAAGCTCTGAGAGCTCGAGGGGAAACGTCTGTTGCCCGCAAGGCCCCTGCTCTTCGTTGCTTATCGATAACCAAGATATAGTTGGGCACCACCTGTGTTTAACCTCACCCAACGACACATGCGCAGAGGAGCAGCCGTCACATCTACCGGGGGGGGGGGGGGGGGCACAGTCTGATTCAAACGCTAGTTTCTGGCGTTGGAGTTGTGACATTCTCGCATAATTTGTGACAGGATGTCACTCTGCCTCCGACACCCACCCATGGTGGTCTAGTGGCTAAGGCACTCGGCTGCTGACCCGCAGTTCGCACGATTGCTTCCCGGCTGCGGCGGCTGCATCTTCGATTGGGCGAAAATGCTTGAAGCCCGTGTTCTGAGATTTAAGTGCATGAAGGTCGAAATTTTCAGAGCCCTCCACTACAGCGTCTTTCGTAATTATATGGTAGTTTCGGGACTGTAAACCACGACAATTAACTGCACTGCCTACGACAAAGAAAGACCAATAGCATCATCAAAGAAGGCCTCGACAATACTCTAAGATCGACCGGTTTTGCTGTTTCTTAAGCTTTACATGGCTATAGTGTATTATCCTTTTTTTAACCTTTTCATTTCTTTTTGTCACCTTCTGCTGCTCTATTCATTTACAACCTACCGTAGTGGGTTGTGCCATTTCGCTCGAGGTCTAAAAATGTGTGCCCCGCTGTCAACGAAGGTATGATATTTCTCCTCCTCAGTATCGCTTTTTTGTATTGCTGCGTATCTCCTGTCAAGACGTACGCTGAATTCCCACTCGACGGCCTGTGGAGAGCGTACAACCGGAATAGATGTAAGTCTCCTTTCTCGCGGTATCAAGGGTGAAGCACCCCAGGCTCGCACAATGCCAGACCGGTGTTGTCGAGGCTCACCTCACCATGATCCCTAGTCGAAGCGCAGGTGCAAAACATCTGTGCGCAATACCGTTTACAGAGTGTACATAGCGCGCATATAGTTTTAAAAAGAGGACACAGCACCGCGAAAAAAACCAGCATTTAACCACTCTATCAATCAAAGCATCTGAAAAAGCAAAAAAGTTCAAGATCAAAATAGAAGGTTCCTGAACATAATAGAAGGTAACGACGTGAAGCGGCAAATCGATCACGTCAACGAAAGGTAAACGAACCAAACATCTGTAAACAACAAATTGTTTATCAAAAGGCTGTTAAGCAACCTAAACCAAATAAAGGGCCATAACAGCGTACAAAGAGCGACATTCAACTACCCATCAATCAAAGAATATTACAAAACGGAAAGTTAACGAGAACAGGATAAACGGCTATTAACCAGAACAAAACCGAAGGCCACCACTCATGATACAATTCACACTACGTCATTAAAGCAGTGGAATCAAAGGACATTAAAGAACATTAATGCAGTCAAACGGCGTTACACAATAGTATCGTTTCTGTTCGGGACAGTGTCAGTAAAGAGGTCCACGGGACGGCGTTCAGATCTCTCATAGTAGAGTACTCAGTACTCTAAACCGTTAACCACTTTTTCTAAACCCACATGTAGAATGTTAAAATATCCTGGGATGGCTTTAAGCTCTCTTTAAGAGTAACTACAGTAAATAGTACTATAAATCGTTACCCACTTTTCTAAACACATGAACGTATCTCCAGAAAATTCTTTTATGTTCCTGCCGGAAACAAAAACTATCACGACGAATTTTGCAGTACGTTCTTGCGTTACCATTCTGGTTTATTAGCCGACTGTTTTTGTCGTCAGTTGTAAATGTGGGATAAAAAAATTCTCGATTTGATAGATTCTTTACACTGAGACAAAGTTAGCTGATCGTGAAGCTTTACGCGAGACTTAGCAACAAACTTAATTTTTTTTTTGTCAGGACGCACCAGTCACTTGTCTTCCCGAAAACATTGAGTATAGCAATGTACGCAGAATAAGAACGCTTATTGTCCCACCGCGGTGATATAGTGGCTAAGGTACTCGGCTGCTGACCCACAGGTCGCGGGATCAAAACCCAGCTGCAGCGGCTGCATTTTCGATGGAAAAGAAAATGATGAAGGCCCGTGTGCTCAGCTTTAGGTGCCCGTTGAAAACCCCAGGTGGTCTAAATTACTGGAGCCCTCCACTATGGCGTCTCTCATAATCATATGGGGGTTTTAGGACGTTATACCCTACATATCATATGAAGGGCGATTATGAAAAAGTGAGCTCCGATTTTATACTTTCCACAACCACCGAAATTCAGAATAAAGCCTATACCATGGTTTAACAAAACTTGTTATGCGTTGAGATGGTACATATAGATATTGGGAACATCAATGCAAACAAAAATGGACATTGAGATGTAACGCTTTAATTTCGGCGCCTTAATGTTCTCAACAGCCTACGGGGCTTTTATGATTTCGCAAGAAAATAAACAAGCCGGGCCTCTATTTGCTTTCAAGAAATATTGGTATTCGAATTTTGTGTGTTATTAGAGTTAGGTTTAATTAGCCGATTAATATTGGTGAAATAATTTATTTGTGACTCAAAATCTATAGTGCGTCTTGTGCATGCTCTTTTTTTAGCGATTCAAGTTCGAGCCACTGTTCCTGGTGGCATATACACGGACCTAATGAGTAGTGGCATAATTAGTGAACCGTACTACGGTTTCAACGACGTGAACTACGAGTGGGTCGCCCTGGAAGACTGGACGTTTTACAGATCGTTTGTAGGTATGGCTCAAACAGTTCTTGCTCAAATTGAGCGCATCGGAGCTGATGTAGAAGATACTCAACGAATATATTTTCTGCACCATCTTCTTGCACGCAGCTCCGAAAGACCTTCTGGGACAGCGAGAGATAATTCTCGTTGCTCATGGGATCGACACTGCGTGTGAGATTGTAGTAAATGGCATCCGCTTGCTCAGCGCCAGCAACATGTTCGTCAGGTACGAAATCGACGTGAAGTCCCTCCTCAAGGTAAGCTGTGCATGAAGGTAGTTTGCCTGCTTTCATACACTTTGCCGGTACTTTTTAGTTCGCAATTATGGCTTAACGTGAATGCGAAAGTTTGTGGCGGCAATTTGCAACAACGAAATACATTAAGCATTACACGATCTATAAGACGAAAACTGCCGAAACGGTTCGCTTCCTGGGCTATTTATCACGGTGAAGTGGCGGTGTTCATTCTATTCTCTTCACTGTGACAATAGGTCAAAATTTCTTGACAAAACGTGACGCAGCAGTAAAATATACTCTACGAACTTCAATTCAGCGTGTGCTGCCTATTTGTACTTTACAGACTTCATTTTATGTAAAAGATATATTCAGAAATACCGAGTACAATTTGCTCAGAAAAATGATAAACTAAATGGCTATCTTAATCAATTAGTTATTGACAAATCAGCAAAACTTAGCGTTTAGACACCTTGACGTTGTCTATACTACCCCCTACTCCTCTACATTAAGTCCAAGTCATGTCACCCAAAAGGCCAACGTTCCCGGTGGGAACTGTCACTTCTTTGTAAATGCGAATGCCCACAGTACTGATGACCCTCGTTTTGAATTTACCACCTGCGAAGATAACATAACTGCAAGAAAGAAAAGCACTGATATGATAGCTCTCCAAGTGAAGTCCAACTGTATGTACCAAATACATCAGTAGTGACACGCCAAATCAAAGCAGCTGGCTATCAAATCAGACATTATTTATGGCTGCTCTATATTGTCCCCAATGCGGATGCTACGAATGAATGTAGTTTGCTTATTTTCGTTGGAATCATGACTAAATCCTCCCTCTAAATTTTCCTTTACCCTATTGAGGCCACTCTACTCAGTTTTCACTATTTCTAGGGCTGCAAATTAACGCTCACACCTTATGCTGGGTCATTTCACAAACAGTTAGCACTGATTCCATATTTTTCATATGACCTTCTTATTTCTCTGCCCAATCGCGTATGCCTTATTATGATAGCGCTCTCAAGGGCTATAGAAGATTAGTCGCCAACAATGGCCTCCGAATATCGGTCAGCGTCACCCTTGTGGCGACCCTCATCCATGACATCGACAGCTGAGGCTAAGAAGTAAGGAAAAAAAAGAAAGTGAAATGAATGCTATTCGAAAGGCGATAGGATGTGTATGCCGACTCAATGAGAAAGCTTTCTCATCCGTCCACCAGTTCCTCTGTCACCTAGGATGAATCACTATAAAAAATAAAGGTATAAAACAAAACTGGCTTTCTTTGTGGTGCTGGGCTTTTTAACCTAACTTCAGAAAAGCAATAGAGTCTCGTGCTCCGAAAGCAGATATCAGACCAACATGGCTGCACAACCACACTCTTAAAGGGAGGGGGAGTATACATTTTAACACATCAATGCACATGAATGCTTCTTATAAGTGGTACAAAATGAACATAACGAGAACATTTTCCTTAAGGGCACTGTTGATACATTTCGTTATGGTAGAATAAATAAATGCCCTCTATATACAAATATAGGTTTGCATGTATAACTGACATGGAGCACTCCCGTGAAAAATTTATACTTTGCTCAAACGTAATCCCAAACACTCGTTTCGGTGGTTGCACGATACGTCTTCAATTTCGGCTTTTCGAGCTGCAGATTAACGTTAGCAAGAAGATGAATAGCGCTGTGCTGATGCCATCCGAAAACGAGCTTCCGCCTAAACCCGTACTAACAGAGTTCAGGACAATACCTTCGCTCACGTATTACTGAAACAACTCCCAGAGAAGATTATAAGTGCTTTTTTTTTCTTTCTCTGCATTTCGTGACATTACTGACGCCTCAGACAGACGACGACATTCAGCTTCAAAGGAAAAGCTGCACAAAAAACCAAAGCAGAGTGTATAAAAGCACAGACTCATCGTCTGCTTAGTATAAGCTGCTTAGTTAAGGCCTACCATCTGCACCGCCTATGGCCCACGCTGAACCCATCGCCTGGCTGCCTGTGGCGCGTGCACGAATGGGCTGATATGGTGCATATACTTTGGCAATGCGCAATAGATGAAGATCGGCCACGAGAAAGGATGACGTCAACTGAAGGACCCTCCGAAATGGGGTGCCTTGCTGAGCGATGGCAAGCTGCCCTTCTCAGCGAGGCCTTCGAATACGAGGTGTGGGCCGTCCAGTGGGCCAGGGCCGTCGCTGAGGACCTAGGAAGTTGTTCCTCAAACGATGTTTCTCTGGCAGCCTAGCCCCGGGCACAGCAACAACCGTTGGACAAATAAAGTTCATTCAACTCAACTAAACTTTAAGGCGTTCGCATATTGAGTGGGGAAGAAAACTGAACAGCAATTATTTAGACCTTCTTCTGGTGCTGTGAATAACGGAACATGTAGTTTTCTACGAGAAGCAGAACGCGGAAGCAGAGGTGTTTGCCTGCTTGTGAAAAACGCGGCGAAACGCGAAGGCACTTACGCGGTACCTTGTGCTTTCCAGAGGAAGAACACCATTTCCGTGCGTTGTGAGTCGCCCGTAAAGCATGCGAAACGGATGCACGATTCCCGGCGAGACGCCCACCCGGTGTATCCTCTCTGCCCACCGGCGGTGCAGAAGGGACACTGCCACGTCAACTGGATCCGCAAGATGCCATGCTCCTTCAGCTGGGACTGGGCGCCTTCCTTTCCATCTACGGGCATTTGGTAACCACATTCTCAGCCACGCGCTGCAATATCATGGTGCGGTCATAGTGTGTGAAGAGCAGCATGCTGCACACTCTAAAAAAACAAAGAGTCATTTGACCCTTTTCGGAGCCTTATCCCTTGCCACGAGTATGACTCTCTTCAAGAAGGTTTGTTGGCTCTATTGTCGATCGCGCGACTCCCAGAAGAGTGTATAACGAACCACCAAGTAGAGTTAACGGGCTTATTCAAAGGAAGTCATGTGTGCGGCAAGGCGGAATTCTCAAAAAAATAGTCACGGGACTTTTTTTTAGTGCACTTGCTGTTTCAAATGACGTCAAAGTTCCACTGAAAACAATTTCTTTACGTAAAGGAGTGTAAGCACCATGCAGTTGCCAGGAGACTCTCCGACTTATATCAGCCCAGTTTCACCAACATTAGCCGATAGAGATAGCGAAGAATGGGAGTTTTGCATTAATGAAAAGAGGAAAACACGCTTCAGGGTTCACTTTTATCAAATGCAGCCAGTGCACAGTTTAATCAAACAGGCAATTAAGCCAAGAAAAAAAGGAAAAGCTTTTCCTGGCCTAATTGTTTCTTCCACTCATTAGTCGTGTCTAGCATATAAAAACCAGTTCCTCGCAAAAAAAAAAAAAAAAACTCTTTCGTTCATTCGTGCGGATTCGGGCACTTTCACTTTGAGGGCACTGTTGCCTTTTTAGGGAAATTTCATGCCATAGTTGTATTGATCACTTGCGCCCATTTTTTCTTCTTCTATACAACAGACTAATCTTTCTGGCAATGCTGTCATGTAGGGCAACTATCAGCGCATGGTGCACGTACTCAACAGTCTTTCCTGTTGTGTCACTGTCCTTGTTTTTTCGTTGTTCATTTTGATGTGATAACGTTCATAATTTTGCGTTGTCGCATATACCAGGACAATGTTCGCTTAGGAAAAAAAGCTTTCTTAAACTCAACGGCAAGGTTACGGCTTCAGTAATTATAAAGCCCTTCACTTCAATGCACGCTAGAACCGCTCAACATTGTGCTAGGGTCACAGGTTGTAGAATCATTGTTTTGGGTAACAAAGCGCAGCTCACCTCCTGATGTTTGTTTTTTTCAGTGGATGCATAATTGAAAGAAACGAGCTACCACTGTCGACAAAACCGTCTTCTCTGAATGTATCGTCTCATAAGCTTGTGAACATTGTTTGCGTCTTGTCATACCTGTGAGTACGCGACACGTCCGCAACGTCCTGGTCGACCCATTATGAAGAATAATGATGATTCAAAACTTCTTAACCTTGTAGTGGCATAGCCAGGGGGATGCACACCATGCCCGTGACCCCCCCCGACGAAGTTCCGAGCCACACATACGGAGCAGTTCCTCAACAACGTCTGCCGTAAACTGACGGCCGCGGTCGCTTATTATGACGCGAGGAGGTCCGTGGCGCAGTATGATAGAGTGCAGGAGAAAGGAGGATACTTCGCCAGCAGTCGCAGATGGCAGGCGGCCGTTTCGCAGTAGCGGTCAGGTAATCGGCGCACACTACAATCCAACGGTTGCCTTTTGCCGAGCGTGAAAAGGGCCCACGAGGTCAATGCCAACTTGCTCAAAGGGAGTGCTGGGAGGCGTCACAGGCTGTAGAAGTCCAGCCGGAGCAGTCGTGACTGATTTGTGCGTCTGGCATTGAGTGCAACTGGCCACGTACTGCTCAACTGACTGGCGCATGCGTGGCCAGTAAAATCGCTCCTGTGTACGAAGGAGTGTTCGCGTCATTCCCAGGTGACCCGAAGTTGCGTCGTCGTGCATGGCGCGCAGAATGGAGGAACGGAGTGTGTGCGGCACCACCAGCAAGAAGCGGGAACCCGTGGCCGAGAAGGTCCTCTTGTAAAGTATCCTTCACGAACGCAAAAGCGTCCGGCCAAAGTGGACGCTCGTGCTTCAGCAAATAATGGCTCCAAGCTGACATCCTTCCGCTGTTCATTTTCAAAGGTGGTCTTGTCCGGGAATACTGGAGTCACTGACGCAATTAGGTGATCGAAATTGTCGGCATCGCAAAGTGTTGTAGTAAGCGGCATCCGCGAAAGGCAGTCAGCGTCAGCGTGCTTCCTGCCACTCTTGTATGACACCGTGAAGTCATACTCTTGCAAGCGGAGGGCCCAGCGTGCCAGGCGGCCAGATGGGTCTCGGAGGCTTACAAGCCAGCACAAGGAATGATGGTCTGTGACCACTTGGAAGGGACGACCGTACAGGTATGAACGGAATCGCTGTACAGCGAAGACGAGTGCCAAACATTCTTGCTCAGTCACTGTGTAATTCCGTTCTGGTTTACTTAAAGTTCTGCTGGCATACGCAATGACATGTTCCTTTCCACTGTGTCGTTGTACTAGAACTGCACCTATGCCAATGCCACTGGCGTCAGTATGAACTTCGGTCGGCGCCGAAGGGTCGAAGTGTCGGAGAATGGGCTGCGATGTGAGTAAGAACTTGAGTTGGTTGAAAGACGTCTCACAGTCATGTGTCCATTCAAAGCTAGTACCTTGACGTAGCAGACTGGTCAAGGGGAAGGCAACGTCGGCGAATGCGGGAATAAATCGGCGAAAGTACGAGCACAGGCCTAGGAAGCTGCGAAGCTCTTTCGTTTGAGCGAGGTGGTTTGCACGCTTTCACAGCTGCTGTCTTGCTCGGGTCAGGCCTGATCCCATCTTTGTTCACAAGGTGCCCAAGTACTAAGGTTTGTCGCTCGCCGAAATGACACTTCTTCGAATTAAGAACAAGGCCAGCGTTTTCTAATGCATTCCAGAACAATGTCCACGCGTTCGTTGTGCTCACGAAATGTGCGCCCAAAGATCACGATGTCATCTAGGTAGCACATACAGACGTTCCATTTTAGGCCACGCAGAATGGTATCCATGAACCTTTCGAATGTGGCAGGAGCATTACATAATCCAAACGGCATCACGTTAAATTCATAAAGTCCGTCTGGAGTTATGAAAGCAGTCTTTTCCTTGTCCGCTGGATGCATGGGAATCTGCCAGTAGCCTGAACGTAAATCGATAGACGAGAAGTATGACGCCGAATGGAGACAGTCCAAGGCGTCATCAATTCGTGGAAGAGGATAAACATCTTTCTTCGTGATGGAGTTCAAACGGCGATAGTCGACACAAAATCTCCAGGTACCGTCTTTCTTTTTCACAAGGATCACAGGAGCTGCCCAAGGGCTCGATGATTCTTGAATGATGCCCTTTTGGAGCATTTCACGCACTGATTGTCTATTATCTTGCGCTCGGACGGCGATACTCGGTACGGTTTTTGTCGGATTGGCTGTGCTGTTTGTGTATTTATCCTATGGCGTATACGAAATGGAGGAATGGAAGGCGTATGGTCACTCTGGGAGAAATCAAAAACTTGCAAGTACTTTAACAAAACGTCCACAAGCATTCTGCGCTTGTCGGCAGTCAGCGCCTTATCAACCATAGGTAAACTTTCGAACTGTCTGAGCAGGCGGTCACTTGTTCATCCCGTCGAACGTCACTGAGGACCAGCTACTGTTGTTGGCGAGTATTCTTTAAACGACGCTAGCTTAAGTCCTCCTGGTAGCAGCACCGGTTCGTTTGAATAATTCGTTGTCCAAAGGTCTGAACGACCTTCACTCACTGAAACTATGCTGTGGGGTACCAACGTGTTCTTCTTTATACAACTTAGATGGAAAGGCTCCACTAGCGCATCGAAACTGGTCTTATTGTCGTTAATATGCGAAGAAGCTACTGGAACGCGCACAGCACAGAAGGCCGGGATAACGGTATCTTCATAGACTCGGAGCGCACCGCTTTCCGTACCCGAATTCTCGATAAGTCCATGAGGAACAGCGTCACTTATGATAACTTCGCCATTTCGACAGTCTACAGTGGCTCCGCACATTCGCAAGAAATCTATGCCTAGAATGATGTCATGAGTGCTCCGCGGAAGAACCGTGAATTCTGTCACAAACACTTGATCACTCAGTAACACTGCCGCGGTACAAACACAATCGGACACAACGAGTTGCCGCCCACGCCACAGAACGTTATCGCTTTCTCCAACAAAAAGGTCACCTTTCTTCCCAAACGAGCTTTGAACGCAGCACTCATGATCGACCACGGCGGCTCCAGTGTCCACCAAAGCCATCGTATGTACACCATCAACAAAAACTTGCACTTTGTTTTTAAACATAAGCACCGGTGGAGGTATCTCTTCTTGCAGCGAATCACCAGCGACCTCACCCCCAGCGGCCGCGCTGCCTAGTTTTCCGGAGGCGGCGAAGGGTAGCGGCGCCTAGGAGACGGCGACCGATTGGAGCGAGGGGCTGGCGGGGGTGTCAGACTGCGGTCAGAGGCTGGAGAACGGTTTCGCAGCGGCCTTGGTGTCTCGTAAGATGCGCTTCCAGGGAACGTTGGTGCTTGTGCAAAGTCGGACAGGTGGGATCTCGGTGGCCAGTCGTACCTCGGCGGCTGCCGGTAGTTACAGTACCTGGCAATGTGGCCTTCGACGCCACAGTTGTAGCAGATGGGTAGGGGTCGCTCGCCGAACCACTGCTGAGAGCGCTGGGCTGTGTAGGGTCGCCTAACCGAACGGGGTGGAGCAGATTGCTGAACGGGAGCTGCGCGCCTCTGTGGGGCGGGGCCGGGACGAAGACGTGGTCATACCGCTGGTCAGACGCGAATGAGTCTCGGCGTGGCCACGAAGCCCTAGCTTCGCGAACGTCTGTCACACATACTGATGGTGGCAGAGGAGCGAACGGGGCCGGGTAGTAGGATGAACAGGTAGGCGTATGGCGGATGGTGTCGTGGAACAGTGTGTCTTGTCGCTGTAGTTCTTCCCGCACTATTGTCCGGATAGTAGCGGCAAGGTCGGCGGGCGGGCTCACGTCGACGCTGGCGACCGTTGTTACATTTGCCAGCCTACCAAATTCGGGGCAATACGACGGGTCTTTAGCTTCTCCAAAGTACGGCAGTGACGTTGGACGGCGGAGACGGAAGTGAGGTCTTCCCTGCCTATCAAAAAGTTGTAGACGTCCTCTGCTATACCCTTCAGAAGGTGGCCGACCATGTCCTCTTCAGTCATGTACGGGTCTATGATCTTGCAGAGCATCAGGACCTCCTCTATGTAGGTGGTACACGTTTCTCCAGGAGTCTGAGCTCTTTGAGCCAACGTGCGCTCCGCGCTCTTCTTTTTTGAATCAGAGTCGCCGAAGCATTTCTTGAGCTCTTCAGTGAAACGATCCCACGTTGTTAAGGAATCTTCGTGGTTTCGTACCACATCAGAGCTGTTTCCGTGAGAAACAGCGCGACATTTCCCAGTTGGTCGGTGGCATCCCAGCAGTTGTACCGGCTCACCCGTTTTGTACTGTGTCAGCCACGCATCCACATCTTTTCCTGCTCTTCCCGCGAACGGGCGGGTTCCATATAGTGAATCGAGGTGCAGCTGGCACTGACCTTTGTGTGGTTGAGAAGGCGTGACCTTCGCTCTCGGCCATGGCAGTTGGTGTCGGTGGCAGACCGGCAATACGACGGCTCCGGCGAAGTTCGAACAGCTGTGGCTCCGTGGTTCGTCGACGTATACTGTACCCAGCACCTTCCACCACTCTGTTACGCCTGAAGTAGGGGTACGGGGGTTTATTGAACGGAAGCTGGGATGGCGAGGCCGCACCGGATAAAACTGCCGAGGATTCTTCTTCTTCCCAAGTCCACACTTCTATTCCCTCTTATCAATCCGGCACATACACGTCGTAATAATATTTATTAATCACACTATGGTGCCTTTATGGTGTAATGGTTCCTGGGAATCGCAATTTGATCACACGGGGGAGTTTACTTTAACTCACTGGCGAATGCCAACGAATTTTGCCTTACTCCCCCTCATAGCATCACCCCGTGCATTCGCACTTAACCATGTTCACCCTCGGGGAAATGCTTGGGAGTTTTATTACTGATGATGATGATTAAAGTGTAATTAATGAATTTAAGTGTTGTTTGTCATGAAGCATTTGTACACAGATACATTATATACGAAGTATTATTTATTTACACTTCACGATTTTTGTACGATGCATTAAATGCACACATCGCGAGCGCGTCACACACACACACAAACTACACTACAGATTAGCACCTACTCGTGTTATCGTTGTAGCTCACGGTTAGTACCAGCGCTTCGTGATCCGAAAAATGTACGGTGAGCGGATCCGGCAAGACTGAGCGGACCGTACAGTTCCTACTGAACGCCAAGTCTATGAAGCCACCGTTGATCGTGGTCGGAAACTCGAGAGACAGACACGTCATCGAGTAATTGTTCAGCATGTGGTCAACCAACCAGCCATTGTCCTTTCTAACGTCCACGTTAAAGTCACCCACCACCACAATCGGAACCGAGGGACGCGCGCGCGCAGACTCACTCTCCATCGCCGCATCCATCTGCTCCAAGACGTCATCTCTCGAGCTGCAGCGAGCGAGGAGAGCGGAGGAGCGAGCGAAGGGGGAGGGGGACGCGCGCAGCGGCGTTAAAGATATAAAGCGCGTTACTGACACCGATATCAGCGTCGCGTCCGTGGCTTATTCGGTAGAGCGTCGCGCTGCGGCCCGCCAAGTCCTCTTTTTTTTAAAGATAGAGAGAAGACTGCGGATGCCGCCGACGGCGGTGGATGGTTTGGGGTCGCTTATAAAGTGTATTCACACTTAAAAAAAGACAGTACTGCTTACTTTGCTGGCAAGTGGATGTCTTGTAATGCACGAAGAGCAGAAAAACCACCGACGCCAGCGGCGTTGGTGGGTTCGTTTTGCCCTGCAAGACCGCAGCAAGCTCGGTCACCTCTTTCATGAAATACGGAAGCGAAGTAGGCACAGAGTAGGTTAAACTCCCGTTGGTTTCAACATTCAGTTACGTGCACTGCGGCATAACAAGTGAGTAGGGTTTGGCCGCCATTTTTCAAAATTCCTTGACTAGCGCTCCTATTGGTCCGCGGTCACCGATTCGGCGGCAGACGCTGCAAAAATCGGTCCGAGAGCGATCGGCGCGGAGAGGGCCCTTTCGGCGGATCTCGCCGCCACCGAAGCAGATTTGGAGCACTTTCGGCCGCCGGAATGCTCAGTGTGAACGCGGCCTTACGCGGTACCTTGTGCTTTCCAGAGGAAGAACACCATTTCTGTGCGTTGCGAGTCGCCCGTAAAGTATGCGAAACGGATGCACGATTCCCGGCGGGACGCCCACCCGGTGTATCCTCTTTGCCCACCGGCGGTGCAGAAGGGACACTGCCACGTCAACTGGATCCGCAAGATGCCGTGCTCCTTCAGCTGGGACTGGGCGCCTTCCTTCCCATCTACGGGCATTTGGTAACCCTTATTCTTAGCCCCGCGCTGCAATATAGTGGTGCGGTCTTAGCGTGGGAAGAGCAGCATGCTGCACACTCTCAAAAAAAAAAAAAATAGTCTTTTCACTCTTTTTTGAGCCTTATCCCTTGCCACGAGTATGACTCTCTTCAAGAAGGTGTGTTTGCTCTATTGTCAATCGCACGACTCCCAAAAAGGTGTATAATGAACCCCAAAGTAGAGTTAGCGGGCTTATTCAAAGGAAGTCATGTATGTGGCAAGGCGGAATTCTCAAAAAAAAATAGTCACTGGACTTTTTTTAGTGCACTTGCTGTTTCAAATGACGTCAAAGTTCCACGGAAAAAAATATATATATTTTTTTACGTGAATGAGCGCAAGCACCATACAGTTTCCAGGAGACTCGCTGACTTATATCAGCCCAGTTTCGCCAGCATTAGCCAACAGAGATAGCGAAGAACGAGAGTATTGCAATAATGAAAAAAAGAAAACACGCTTCAGTGTTCACATTTTATCAAATGCAGCCCGTGCACAGTTTAATCAGACAGGCAATTAAGCCAAGGAAAAAAGGAAAAACTTTCCCTGGCCTAATTGTTTCTTCCACTCATTAGTCGTGTCTAGCATATAAAAACCAGTTCCTCGCAAAAAAAAAAAAAAAACTCTTTCGTTCATTCGTGCGGATTCGGGCACTTTCACTTTGAGGGCACTGTTGCCTTTTTAGGGAAATTTCATGCCATAGTTGTATTGATCACTTGCGCCCATTTTTTCTTCTTCTATACAACAGACTAATCTTTCTGGCAATGCTGTCATGTAGGGCAACTATCAGCGCATGGTGCACGTACTCAACAGTCTTTCCTGTTGTGTCACTGTCCTTGTTTTTTCGTTGTTCATTTTGATGTGATAACGTTCATAATTTTGCGTTGTCGCATATACCAGGACAATGTTCGCTTAGGAAAAAAAGCTTTCTTAAACTCAACGGCAAGGTTACGGCTTCAGTAATTATAAAGCCCTTCACTTCAATGCACGCTAGAACCGCTCAACATTGTGCTAGGGTCACAGGTTGTAGAATCATTGTTTTGGGTAACAAAGCGCAGCTCACCTCCTGATGTTTGTTTTTTTCAGTGGATGCATAATTGAAAAGAAACGAGCTACCACTGTCGACAAAACCGTCTTCTCTGAATGTATCGTCTCATAAGCTTGTGAACATTGTTTGCGTCTTGTCATACCTGTGAGTACGCGACACGTCCGCAACGTCCTGGTCGACCCATTATGAAGAATAATGATGGTTAAAAAGTTTCTAACCTCGTAGTGGCATAGCCAGGGGGATACACACTATGCCCGTGACCCCCCCCCCCCCCCCCGCAAATTTTTCACATGGTATACAGAGCGGGAAATGACCATTTGCTTCACGGTCTCCTTTCAGATCGAGAAAAACATGCCCCCCCCCCCCCTCTAAAAAAAAAATTTCTGGCTACGCCCCTGTAATCTTGCACCTGAACACCATGTTAGGCCTTCCAAACAGTGTTCGTGCAGTGCAGTAGCGCGTTACTGGGCTACCACAATCACACGCATAAAAGCAGCATCCTATACCAAAATATTTTGAGTCAGTTCCAGAAAATATTCTTAAAAGAACAAGGAATGCTTATAACGAATGGTTAAAAAAGTCACAGCATATCCACGGGGTCAATAATGAGTGGGGCGAACCATCCATCCGTCCATCCGTTCTTCCGTCTGTCTGTCCATTCGTGCTTGCGTCCGTGCTTGCGTCCATCTGTCCGTCGTGTTTGCGTCCGTCCGTCCATGCTTTCGTCCATCAATCTGTCTGTGTTTCCATCGGTCCATCCATCCGTGCTTCCATCCATTCGTCCGTCCATGCTTCCATCCGCCCATGTGTTCACTCGTGCCTCTGTACGTTCGTGCATGCTTCCATCCATCTGTCTGTCCATGCGTCCGTCCTTCCGACCATGCATCCATCCATGCTTCCGTACGTTCTTCCATTCGTCTATCTGCGCGTCCGTCCGTCCCTGTGCCCGTCCTTCTGAACCTCCATGCTTCCGTTCATTCGCCTGTCCGTCTGTCCATCCGTCTGTCTTTGTCCATTCGTCCATCTGTCTGTGTCTATCCGTTCGTCCGTCCGTCGTCTGTCTGTCAGTACGTCTATTCGTCTGTCTGTATGTATGTCCGTTCATCCACCCGTCCGTCCATCCGTCCAACTATTTCGATGCTTATAGTGTAATATGAATATTCCTTTTTCCTCCCGTCAGGAAGCCTATTCGGCTCGAAGGTAGCAATGGCGTCGTCATCCGTGATGTCTTGGTGGCAACGATTCCTCAGAGTAAGTATAGTCTTAATCCTATTCCTCATGAGATTTGACTAACATAGGAAACAACATGGTATACGATGAATAAAATATAAACGCGGCGAACGTCTCTTTTATGCTGTTAGCCTCTCGTTGATTTACGGGCTTTTATCACACCAGTGAACACTTAAAACAGTGATTGATATTTGTTGTTCGTAGAGAGCGGTGGCCTCACGTTTAGTGAAAGGAAGCAAATGAGCGAAGTACCACATGGCAAAGAAAGATAGTACGCGCTACCAAGTTATAATGCAGCAGGTCTACTCAAATGCAGTGCACGCTCTTCGTATGACGTAAAATGCGCATCGCATACCAGTGTAAAGCCAGCAACATGCAACTTCTGGGCTCCTTTCAGAGAAAGAGAATGGCACCGACAGTTGGATTCTCAGCGTTACTCTTTGCTACAGGTCTTCTAGTACCAAACCACGTAATGGAACAGTCTGGATCACATTAGAGGATGCTTTTCTGGGAATGGAATCTGTTACCTTTGAGTCATCGGTGCAACGAAATAGCAAGCTCGAGCTTCTTGTTCCATTGTCATATGTAAGCTCTTTAACATCTTGTATTTTGCATTTTAGTTAGATCGTAAGAAGCAGTGCTCATTTTCATAGCGAGTTGGTCGTGTTTTCTAGCGTGCCAAAAAGAGACTACATTTGTTTGTTTGTTTGTTTTTTGCTCTGTAGCCATTTTCTAATGAGCCAGTATTCCAGAGTTCTCATATATTTATAACATTTTGTATATAAAGCAACAAAGACCTCTAGAAGCTTACTCAATCGAAAATATATCACAAATATTTCTGTAAAGCTCCGTACTTTGGCTCATCTGGGTTTTGTTTTATGCTATTGGACAATGGCATGTACATATAACAGAAGGCGTTAAAGATATACTTTCTCTTTGCTTTATTCGTACTTCAACTGGAAGATCTTGGTGCATTTTTATCAAACGTAGGGCATCACCGTTCATCGATGGTGGCCAGTTGGTTATGGTCAGCAGACTTTGTACACGCTCCAGATATCAGCTTCCGTGGATGACGATTTGTTCGAGAAGACTGCCCGTATTGGATTTCGAACGGTTCAGCTGAACGAAGACGTGATCCGTAAGTTGCTGTTTGGAAACTGTAGGAGATACATGCCACGTGAACTCTCTTGCTATGGGACTTGCTAAAGCATGAACGCTGCTTATAGACAAAGCACCCGTGACTGTCGTGAAGGTATTCTCACGGGGTCGTGACGTCTACAAAGGCTGCATTTGGTGTGTCCAAATTGAAACTCTTTATTTGGCCGAACTTTTAGCTGGGAAACCGAATGCCAAACTTCAGCAAGCATTGTACGCTGTGCACTGATACACTGATATCAGCGAACAGAGCGTCGGCCTTTGATAATTTGATAAACAATAACTGAGTTTGTTCCAGAATAAAATCAGCTGTTCGCGTTTACGCGCTGAAGCTAAACACATCCTAAAATAATCTAGACTGCTCTCAGACATTGCGGCGCGGATTTCTTAAGGCAGTATCAACAGGCTCAATTTGACCGCCACATAGAACATAGAAAGGAGCGTGCGCAGAAATATATAAAAGTACATTGGCAGGTTAACATGGAGCTTGCTTCTTTCGCGCTCGGTTGCGTTGCGTTGCGTTGCAGAGGACTTCGACGATGGGACTGCTTTCTACTTCGTGGTTAACGACATTCCCGTATACGCCAAAGGTAGCAACTGGGTGCCACCTGATATTTTTCCCGAACGAATCACGAACGACTACGTCAAGGAGTTGCTGCTCTCTGTCAAGGTAACATTGGAGATTTGGTAAAAGCTGGATTACCCGCCCGAACAAAGGGTTTGGAAAGGCAATAATATGCCATATGTGTTCATGTTTGTCTTTCTTCTGATAGTTATCGCTGTCTTTGCCAAATAAATAATGGAGACGCGTACGAGTGTGAAAGCGTAGAGGTGTTCAACGCGGAAATGACACCAGCAACTAATTGCCCCGCCGCGGTGGTCTAGTGGCTAAGGTACTCGGCTGCTGACCCGCAGGGCGCGGGTTCGAATCCCGGCTGCGGCGGCTGCATTTCCGATGGAGGCGGAAATGTTGTAGGCCCGTGTGCTCAGATTTGGGTGCACGTTAAAGAACCCCAGGTGGTCTAAATTTCCGGAGTCCTCCACTACGGCGTCTCTCATAATCATATAGTGGTTTTGGGACGTTAAACCCCACATATCAATCAATCAACACCAGCAACTAAATGTCGATGCCCGCAAGTCACCACTTTGCTTTCTTTTGTCAATATTGTTGTAATGCGCAGTGCATGCCCAATGGTGTCTGCATACATTTCTAAACTGGGTATGACGAAGTGAACAAAAATGTTCCTAGTGAAACAGAGAAAAAGAAGTCAGTTTCACAGCAAGGGCGAAGCAGTGAGTGCGATAGCAAGAAATTTGATTGTCACACGAAGAACAACAAGCAGTTCAATGCTCGTAGCGTGCCCCGCCGTGGTGGTTTAGTGGATAAGGTACTCTGCTGCCGACCCGCAGATTGCGGGATCAAATCCTGGCTGCGGCGGCTGCATTTCCGATGGAGGCGAAAATGCTCTAGGCCCGTGTGCACAGATTTGGGTGCACGTCAAAGAGCCCCGAGTGGTCGAAATTTTCGGAGCCTTTCACACACGGCATCTCTCATAATCACATGGTGTTTTTGGGACGTTAAACCTCACATATCAATCCACTGCATGATCCTTGACGATGCTCTGTCTCATAAGCAAGGTGTTACTGAGCTTTTTATTGCACGTGGCAACCTCAACCTATCTGCTTGTAAACTCAGAGTTGAAAGAATCTGACACAGTGATCTCGCTGCGTTGTTGTCAAATGATGTTGTCAAATGGCCCTGCTATGTCTGTTCTAAATAATGAATATGCGTCACTTCATCGAACTGGAATGCATTTATTGCACTTAATAGGGAAGCAACACACAATAAACAGGAAAAGTTCGTGCCAACGCCAATATTTCGCAGGAGGCGAACATGAACATGCTTCGCGTGTGGGCCGGTGGCGTATACGAAACGGACTACTTCTACAGCCTTGCCGACGAACTCGGAATCCTCATCTGGCAAGACTTTATGTTTTCTGCCAGCCTCTATCCCGCGGATCAGCCTTTTTTAGAAAGCGTCGCCATCGAAGTTCAGCAACAGGTGATCATCATATATATAAATTACATGAACTAGATGACGTGGTTTCTCGTTGGGAAAGAAATTGACATGCCGGAATGAGTGCCTTTCGTAGGATATAACTGTGATGAAATTATCTGTGGTGTTTTTAATGGGGAATTTTTCTTCTTATCTACGTTGGTTGGCCAAAATGTAGTGTCATTTCAGTAACCTTGTTCCATTGTTCGGATCGCAGAACATACAGATCACAGAATTTCGGTGCGGACTTATTCTCTATCTAGTTCGAACTGAACCTTTCACGCACAGGAATGTTTCGCTTGAAGTAATGCTGTGGACTACTGTTTTCGAGGCAGAATATCTGTGTTGGAACGAGAGTGGTCATATGCAGCTTGTCTTATTAAGTGTGAATACACTTTATAAGCGAACCCAAACCATCCACCGCCGTCGGCGGCGTCCGCAGTCTTCTCTCTATCTTTAAAAGAAAGAGGACTTGGCGGGCCGTGCCCCGCCGCGGTGGTCTAGTGGCTAAGGTACTCGGCTGCTGACCCGCAGGTTGCGGGTTCAAATCCCGGCTGCGGCGGCTGCATTTCCGATGGAGGCGGAAATGTCGAGGCCCGTGTGCTCAGATTTGGGTGCACGTTAAAGAACCCCAGGTGGTCAAAAATTTCCGGAGCCCTCCACTACGGCGTCTCTCATAATCATATGGTGGTTTTGGGACGTTAAACCCCACAAATCAATCAACTTGGCGGGCCGCAGCGCGACGCTCTACCTAATAAACCACGGACGCGACGCTGATATCGGTATCAGTAACGCACCTTATACACCCTCCCCCTTCGCTCTCTCCTCCGCTCTCCTCGCTCGCTGCAGCTGCGCACGCACCCCTCTCTCTCTCGCGCGCGCCCGCCTTCTCTCTCAGTCTCCCGTCGAGAGCGGGTCGTGAGGGGGAGTAAAGCTAAAATCCGTTGGCATTCGCCAGTGAGTTAACGTAAACTCCCCCGTGTGATCAAATTGCGATTCCCAGGAACCATTACACCATAAAGACACCATAGTGTGATTAATAAATATAATAGTGCGAATTAATAAATACCCGTCATAGCATCACCCCGTGTATTCACACTTAACCATGTTCACCCTCGGGGAAATGCTTGGGAGTTTTTTTTATTGGTGACGCGAACCTTACACGCACGTAACTTCCGGCATACCGTGCGGATATTGCCAAAATAAAGAATGAGTGCAACTCGAAGAACTATTTCACGAACAAAAAAGAAACCACGTGGGCTGTGGCACTTTCCACGGTGCAGAATAATCGTATTTCAAGGCACACGACGACCAATTGGCAATGACCAACGACGAGCAGGTTTTTGGCACGGAAAGATTTGTGAATTCTATCCAATAAATAGAGATTGACTTCTTTGGGGGCTAATTGGTTCACTCTAGCGGAATCAGATCATTATATAAGTGAAACACTTGAAAATTTCTTTTGCTTGCTGAATTTACTAATCCTGTTGTATGAAATCAACATGAAGACTCCACTATGCCAATGCAACGCTTGCTGATGAGTGTATGAACTGCTACTTCAAAGAAAATCATATATTTTTGAGCTTTTAATCTTTTTGGCTACATGTCAATTCATGAGTGTAGCTGACAAAATGTGCTGTGCCCTTTTTGTGTGTGTGTGTGTGCTCGCGCTCGTGACAGGAAGGCAAGGTTTGAAATTCGTAGTGGCTTGAACAGTATACGTATGACGTGTGATCATGTGTATGCAGAACAGACTGGCACGTGTATTAACACGAGGCTAAGGGAGCATATGACGAGTCTGAAAGGTCACCATACTACACATAGTGCACTGTTTTGTAATGAGTGCGCACGTTCGCCTTGTTTTTTCAACACTACCTTAGAATAATGGAAGCCTATCATATTGACAAGCTGAAAGAAAACTGTGCTAGCCACCCATCGGTTGCCTTGATTGAGAAAAACATTTCGCTTTTGTCGGCTGTTCAGTGAACTTGTGACCATAGGTTTTGCCATGTGCGCTGTTCAAATGTCTTTTGTGAGCTGATCGTGCAGATCCAAGGGCTATTAAGTGAATGTTTTCCAAAAATAAGCCAGTTGTTAGATTGTGCTCATTTTTGTGTCTCTTCTGTGCCTCCATGCACCTGCGCAAATATTTCAAGATAGATGTGTTCCAACTATGTCGAACCGCAGTTTTGCTTGAATAGAGGCCTCTACTGCCCTTTGCATGGGGACACACGGAAGCATAGGCAACAAACAAAAGCAAAACGGTGAATAGAAAGTGCGGATACCATTACAAAATTAGGCCATTTTTGTTTAATGTCTGCTTTATTCAGAAAGCTTAAGTGCCCCCTTCTTTAACCTTAAAATTTACGTGTTAGCCTACTTTTCAAGTGTTGAACCATCTGTGCACTTTGACACTGATATCAGGTCACTAGAAGAATCTTTTGAAGCATATTGGTCATATCTTACATTAATTTAGAGCCATTATTTCGTCTATACGTATCCTACAAAAAAGGACACAAAAAGAAACGTTTCTTCTTCTCAGGTTCGACGCCTTCAATATCACCCTTCTCTTGTTGTTTGGGCGGGTAACAACGAAAATGAAGATGCCCTTGCTTCCGGTTGGTGGTAAGAACTGTCGCTTAAAGTCATCAAAAAAGTGACAGCTTCAACTACATTTACGATTACGATGAATGGAATGAACTGGATACTCATCGTGCTTGGTAAATGTAGAGTTTAAAATGAACTATACTCTAATGCTACAGACAAGATAGTTTTTCTGCCATAAGGACTGCTTGTGAGCCTTCAATTTTCAGCTATAAACTTGGTCAGAATTCAATGTCATTCGCGACAGTGATACAATGGTTATAGTGCTCAGTTATGGTCCTAAAGGTGACGGGCTCGATCCTGACCCCTGGTGTCGCACTTCGATGGAGGCGAAGTGATAAAGGCCGTGTACTGTGCGATATGCCAACACGTTAAGCGGCACCGCATGGTCGAAAATTCTGGAGCCCTCAACTACAGCGTGCTTGATAATTATGTCACTGTTTTGTCAAGTCACACCCCACATATTGTAAGCCTTTAAAGGGCCAGTCAACAGGCTCCCACTTTTTTCACGCCCTTCAAACAAGCTCGCACATCTTTTCTACGCCTGACCAACCTCATTCGACGCGCAGTGACGTTCGCTTGGCGATCGGTGACGCTGGCTTCATTACTGTTTGTTGAGACCTGGCTTAGACCAAAGGACGAGCTGCGTGCCACGTCACGTCACCGATCGCCGAGTTGAAATCGATTGATTGATTGATATGTATGTCCCAAAACTACCGTATGATTATGAGAGATGCCGTAGTGGAGGACTCCGGAAATTTCGACTACCTGGGGTTCCTTAACGTGCACCCAAATCTGAGCACACGGGCCTACAACATTTTCGCCTCCATCGAAAAAGCAGCCGCCGCAGCCGGGACGCCGAGTTGAAGTCACTGCGCGTGGAAAGCAGTTGATAAGGCGTAGAAAAAATGCGCGAGCTTGTTTGGGGAGTGTGAAAAAAGTCGGAGCTTGTTGACTGGCCCTTTAATACCACCTGTAGCTGAATTACTGACCTAAATAGGCATTTTATGCAGCGCAGAGTTCTGAAGACTGTTTTTTTTCTGTCTCTCTTTTAAGGGAAGAAGTTAAGAACAACTACGACCTATACCGTACAGATTACATAAAACTGTACGTCGACGTTATAAAGACCGTCGTCGAGGCTGAAGACAGGACAAGACCCTTCGTGTCGTCAACACCAAGCAACGGCAGAAAAACGGCCGAAAATGGCTGGATTAGTTCAACTCCTAATGGTGAAATTAATGGCGATCGTAAGTGCAAGTTATATGTATGAGCATTCTAGGCCATATAGACAAAAAAAAAAGAGGGGGGGGGGGATCATTGATGTCCGGCAAGGCGCACGTTGGCGTGCAGCATCACATCATCAAACAACGTCGTTACTTCGTCAGAACTATGCCGATCTCTGAGGCATTCTAAAGCTGTGTGAGGTAGAGAGAGTCCCTGGTGTGTCCGATCTTGGAGGAAATGTGAAAGCACAAAAAGTGCAAAAGCCTTTCGCCTTTGAGTCGTTTTAACACGCATCTTCAGCAAGTGCGTCGGTTACTGGGTGAGTTCATATACGCGCCAATGTGTTTTGTCCAATAGAAAAGGTTATTATTAAAGACTTCAGTAGACACAAAGGAAGTATCGCGAAGCTGACCTGAAAACAAGGTTCAAAATTCTGCTTTTTTTATTATTTCAGTTCACTTTTACAGTTACAGCAGTGAACTGTGGAAGCCGGCGAGTTTTCCCATGCCTCGGTTTGTGACCGAGATCGGCATGCAGTCCTATCCGCCAAGAGACTCGATGGAGCGTGTTATGCCTGCCTCCATGGTCACGTACCCTTTCTCCCGTTTTCTGGACCACAGGCAACACTACGCTATGGGTATGACTACATCTGTCTTTAATACATGACACCAAAAAAAAAAGAAAGAAAAGACGTACACTTGCATTCCTCAAAGGAACAATTTTCCTGAAACAAACAATAAATATACTCTCTACATATAAAAATTATTAAGGGGTTATAATCAAGTAATACACTACTAGAACATAAATAAACATTTTTATCATGTCTTTAAAAGAGCCCCGAGGGCCTGAATAGCTTGGATGTCAGCAATGTGCATTGTAGATTTAGGAATTAAAATTAACATGGGTGGGAATAGTTACCATTGCTGTATTTTTCATCAGCAGTAAATAAATGAATCAACACGAAGCAAAACAGTTAAACGCGTCGTGGTACATGTCACTGCGTGATGGTTTGTCCCATAAAAATGTCGATAGCACAAGGATATTCCTATCACATGCAATAAAAGCAGACGATGTCCTTGAAATAGAAGCATGTAATGCAGGATGAGGCATGTGATAGAAGCCTTGGTGGAAGTAGACGATATTATGGTATGCCCCACGAGAAAAAAGTAGGAATGGGACGAGAGCGGGGGGGGGGGGGAGGTGTGTATTTGTTGACATTGATCTTTCATCTTTAGGCACTCTGTATTCGTTCCTGTCAAGATATACAATGGAAAACAAGGCAATAGAAAAGTGAACAGCTGGGCTGAAACGTATACGCTCACATTGTAGGAGCGTAAGAAAGCACACCCGTTAAGTTATCTTTACGACTTGATTATTTGTGTTTAGGTATTTTCTTGGTATCTGCTTGCTCGTAGTATTAATCCTGTACTGTATAGCAATTGCTACACTAAGGCTTTTGATTGAATCAAATTATTTTCTTTGCGGAACGGAGTTCAACCGCAAAAACACACAGTGCGCTTCTTATCGCAGGTGCTCGTTTTGCCGCTCGGATTATTGACGCTTACTTCCGCGTTGCCAATACGTCCCGGACCGACAGAGCAGCAGGCTACGACATGGTCTCCTACCTCACCCAGGTTAACTTCCTTTCCTATTCTCAGCTTCTCACCTGAAAGTCGCAGGTTCGATTCCAACATTTCGATCAAGGCTAAATACGAAAGGCCCGTGTTTCGCGTGATGTCACTGCACGTTAAAAAAAAAACAAAAAAAAACAGCGGATGGTCAAAACTTCCGTAGCCCTTCACTATGGTGTACTTCATGACCATAATCATAATCATGAGGTTGGGCACGTAGTACCCCATATGCTATCATTATTAAAGGAGTACTGTCACAAAATTTTATGCATGTGGTAGCCATGCGGGATCGATCTTCGTGAACAGGCGTATACCATCTACTAAAGCTGAACAGCGAATACAGCTTGGAAGGCAATTTATAGTCGACACCGCACATCTTCCGCTTTTGCGCCAGCAGGCTATACTAATCGGTGGCTGCTAGCGGGTGTGTGCTCGCGGCAAACGTGTGGAAGCCCCAAGAAAGCATCTGCCACCAGGTGGCGATGATGACAATGACAGCAACAACACCACGCTGCAATGTCGGAAAGCAAGACACCGTGTAGGCAGCGTGCAAGTGCATCGCAGTTTTTTCTGTTTGCCGTTTCACACGCTAGAGCGCGTTAGCTGCACACGGTGACTGTCGTTCTCATTGCACTGCCGAGCGAAACTTTGAATGGTTCGTAATGAAGGTTCGTAAATAAAGTTCGTAAATAAATGGTTCGTAAATAAAGGGCTTCTCTGCAATATCGTTTCTAGTGGGCGATTATTAACTGTTTAGCGTAGCGTGGCAAACTGACAGCATTCAAAAGAAGTCGTAAACTCTAAGAAAGACTGCGGATAATTATTATTTTTCTCTGTTTCGCACAAGGTCATCCAAGCTGAAAGTGTGCGCACGGGCTGTGAAAGGTTCAGACGCCTGCGTGGCCATATCCATGATGGCCTCGGCCACAACATGGGTGTTCTCTACTGGCAGCTCAATGACATCTGGCCCGCGCCATCATGGGCCTCAATCGGTAAGTGATAGCACACGCGTAGTATGTATTTCTATCCGTCAGTGCCGACCTCCTTGATTTTTTTCTTTATTTTAATTTGCTTTTATTTCATGCTCCTTGCTTTTAGTATTATTAGTTTATTGTTATTTGTCTTCTTATTCTCCCTTTTTTTTGGAAATGGAGAGGCCGATTATTTAGAACTAAAGGCCCTTACTACATTTGTCATCCCCTCATGATTTTAGTCCAATTACAACCATATCATATACATAATTTTTTTTTATTTACCTGGATATCTTGCACTTATTAACCCTGAGCATCATACGAATTCAGTAGCTTAATTACCAGCCTTCTAGCATGTTTCATTTTCACATTTTTGATCGATAAGCTTCTGCTTCCTCGTCCGCTAGTTTATTACATTCGATTGCATAATAACGGTAGGTATCACCGCTACTGATCAATTATTCATCTGTTATCACGCTGTCATAACGTACACTGACATTTTGCATATATTTACTACGCACGTCTTTAATCCTGCAGACTGTCCTTGTAAGCACGAGTGGGCAGCACCAGACCTAGCGTGCGCTTTTTCCTCTTAAATATTTCAAGAGGTTTCCAATTCTAAATTATTAAAACATAGGCTTTCTTAGAATTAGGTTCTATTTGTTAGGCTTCAAGGTTTCTTAGTTGATCCGACGACTTCCTCTACAAACCGGCTGATTATCATATTATCGTTGCAAGGCGTTAAACCATCGTATTTACTGTGTATTTCGCAAATTTAATTCATTTAAGCTCCAAAAGTGTTGTCAGTGTGCTTGCCCAATAAAGTATTTGACAAGACACTTCCGTCATATATAGAAGTCTGTGTTTTGGCCCCGGTCTGATACTCACATTCACGCACAAAAATGCAGCACGCATAAATGAAGGAGGCTTCTCGTCACAAAACTGTCTCATTGCATGGGCAACTTTAAGAGCTTGGTTAATCTGCAGTTGGACATGCGAATGTAGCTTAAGAAGTATTTTCTTTGTCACTGTTGGAAAGAAGGTGCCGGTGAAAGTAGAGCTTCGGAAGTCCGCATGTATTTAGGGTAGCCTCCAATATTTTTTTTTTTTGCAAATGTTTTTGCTGCATTTGTAAGCGTACGCTCCGTTACACTGTACGGAACCGTTTTTTGTACCCGAATCGCTTAATTAGGCAAGCTCTAGATAGCTCGCGGTACTTATCATTATTGTCACGTATGTTGTCAATGATCATTGCAGAGTTTACAGCAGAACTGCTGAATTCGAGGTTGGCCGTATGTTGTGGATAGAAAACTCTCTTCATCATCAACAGGCACGTGTGATTTTCTTTTTCACCGGCATCCTCTTCTGCTTCGCTACCAGGAGATGCACGCCGATTCGACGGGCCAACAATATAGCGACTGATGTCTGAAACAACGAGTACAGAAAGAGATAAATAAAGATAAAGAAGACAGCAAGCATAGCCATGCTTAATATAGTTTAGCAAAAGATAGGAAAGCAAGTGCGAGGAGAAAAGTCGATAGCCAAGCCAGGAATAGCGAAGGATCCACCAGTTTTACGTTGTCCTGCCTTCCGTGACTGAGTGTGAGCTGCGCTTGATTTTTTGTCAAGATTCTAGGAAATTTGCTTACGTTAGATGAATTATATGTATCAGGTCACTAAAGCTGTTAGTTTATGCCCATACCAGAGCGTGTGGTGGAGCTTATTTGTTCATGCTGAAGAAAGGACGCAACCCACGTAGACTAAAACGAAAAGGAGACAGGATAGAGCCTCAACTTGCGAATGGCTTCATTTGAAAAAAAAAAGGCTCCTTTTTGTATATAAATCACGGTTGCGCAGAAAAATTACGAATAAACTCACGCGTATGATATCACAATATCGAAAAAAATCCGCTTCTGCTTTACATAGAGTGACAGACGTGTCACTGACGCACGCATCTCGTGGATTTTGGAGGCGTATTTTATGAATGCGAAACGGGGTGTGTGCGTTACTCTGCCAGTCACCCTGCCCAAAAAAGAATCGCTTCTTTTTTTTTTTTTGACAATGCGATGTCATAAGTGTGGAATTGTTTGTCATTGTCCTGCACAACTGTAACTGCGCAGAGGTCCTTATGTTTACAAAAAGGAGCTTTCTTTTTCAATAGCCATTTGCAAGTAGACGCCCTATATCCTGTCGACCCGCTTTTGTTTCACCTGCTTTTGTTGTGTCCTTAACTTTTCATCAAATCGACGCCCCCCTAAATGGTCACCAAATCTAGAAGCACGTGTGACAAGTTTGGGGTACGTGCTGTCTGGCCAAGGACCGCATGTAGCAGCCTATGTTAGAACTTATAACACAGCGTTAACTATAACGACAGACTTCGAACGGTCAAGCACACAATTCAAAGAACAGACTCAAAGCTTCCACAGTTGTCCGTATCCACCACCCGTAATACTATACACACAACTCGTAATACTTCACCAGTCCATGGCCGAGTCCACCAAAAAGCATGTCCACCGCCACTTTTGTAGTCGTTATGTGGGCGAGGCTCGCACACGCTACTCAAAATAAGTCAATATCGTCTGCTAGTGAGCGCGGTTCCCACAAAATATCGGCGCCAGTTTGGGTTTTACCAGCAAACAAGTAATGTTGATCGGCGTTGACAGATCAGTGTGAGTTTAGGTGTCATTCTCACATGGCTATGGCAAATTGTTTGAAATGTGCGTCATTGTTGCACTTGTGTGTAGTTTCAGTGTTCCCGTTTTAACTCAAGTTTGTTTGCGTTGTATAGTAATTTACCATGCCTAAAATGCCGTCAGGCATATATTGTCCTGCTCCGCATGCATCTGCTGCCACCATATATAAAAAAAAGCGAAACTATAGTAACTATAGAAGACAATAACTTTTTAAATAATAAAGCTAGCTGCAGGCGTCACCACAGTCATGTTTGAAATCATTTCGCACCCATTTCTTAAGGAAAGAGTTTTTACCTTGCTTATAGGGAAGTACTTCCACTACGTCATTAATTATTAAAATATACGGTCAATCGAACCCCATTCACAATCTTAAAAAACCTTCATTGACCTTTACTACGAAGCGCGAAAGACAATAGAGAGAGAAGGCTTCACTATCTGGATGAATTTTCACTAATTGTTATCACCTTTGCACTTCCTATTTAAGGCGTGCTCTGTTCTCTCCATGCATCTTTTATAGGATTCCCGAAATGGTCGCCGGTGTCAGCTTCTTTGAAAATATCCCGTAGCATTTCTCTGTCTACATGGTGTAAGCTTTTTAATATGTAGAAATGTTTTCCATAAAGAACAAAAGAAGCCTGTGTTTTCAGCTAAAGAAGCATATCTGCTCTTAGCGAGTGTACATATGTTATTACCTTGTATAGAAACACCAACATATCCCGAGCTTCAACAGCAGTTTCCCTGGTGTAATGTTTACTAAGAACTTTGGCAGCTCTAATGTTATGCTTTGAATTGTCACTCTATTCATGAAGGACCTTGCTGCTACTTGCCTCGCACACAGTTGTCGTGAGTTGCACTCACTAGTCATCGGCAAATTATATCAATCGTTAATAGTTTTGCTTTGTGTCTATCGCCAGAATACGGTGGCCGCTGGAAGATGCTTCAGTACTTTGCGAAGAAGTTCTTCAGCCCCATTATCGTATCGCCCTACTTGGAACGAGACGACGAAATCAAGTTGTTCATTGTTAATGATTTTCTCGCGCCTGTAGAAGATGCAGTCTTGGACGTCACGCTATACTCGGCTCTCTCATTCGCCCCTCTTTGGAGTTTTCAGCTGCAGCCCAAAGTGGTAAGTCATCAGCAAAAACACCTCGGCCCCGCCGTGGTGGTCCAGTGGTTAAAGTACTCGGCTGCTGATACGCAGGCCGCGGAATCAAATCCCGGCTGCGGCGGCTGAATTTTTGATGGAGGAGAAAATGCTGTAGGCTCGTGTGCGCACATTTTGGGTGCATGTAAAAGAACCCCAGGCGGCAGGAATTTTCGAAGCCCTACACTACGGCGTCTGTCGTAATCATATGGTGGTTTTGGGGATGTGAAACCCCACATATCATCGTCAGCAAAAGCACCTCTCGCGTTCTTCGTACGACATCGATGTAATCGTTAGACTGTCTGCAGCCGTAAGTTCCAAACACTGCACGAAGTCCGCACGCTGTCAAACACAAACGCGCGAACGTCTAAGGGAAGATGAACGCACACAGGTACACTTATGCTAAATTAGTTCTGCGTGTAGCTCGCAAAACATTCGTCTCAAGGAGAAAAAGTGTCTTCTGCTTCTTTGTAGCACCTAGATAAAGAAACAATCTTCATTTTACCGATATCTCAGAAGGGCGACTTTTCATGATAATAAGGGTTGCAGCGCGAGCACGAATGTGCTAGAAAAAGCAGACGAAAGTCGAGGTACGGAAGGCTAAGAGGACAACACGAGCGCTGTCCTCTTAGCCTTCCATACCTCGACTTTCGTCTGTTTCTTCTAGCACATTCGTGCTCGCGCTGCAACCCTTATTATCATGAATTCAAACCAACTAGCCCAAATCACCATTCTTCTTCAATGCAACTTTTCACTTTACAAAAGAACTTTTACTATTCTTGAAATAGAACGTGGTATGGGCGCATTTTATCGCAATGCGAGAGCGAATTAACCGACAGCATCGGAACAGATGGAGATAGATGTGGCATACTTGTTCTTCGGAGGCGCACAGCATGAAGGAAGGGATAGAACTGCATGTCAAAGCGCCTAGGTGGTCGAAATATCCGGAGCGCTCCACTACGGCGTCTCTCATAATCATACGGTGGGTGGTTTTGGGACGTTGAACCCCACATATCAGTCAATCAAGGGGTACAACTAACACTGGCAATGTTCGCCTTAGTTTAAGGCCGAGACAAACGTTACAATTTTTCATGTGATGCGATATATGATGTGGAGGTGTGGCAGTTGGAATGGAGACGTTTCATCGCATCGTACCAACGCGTTGCATGCCCGGCGTGTATTAACCCAGACAGATATTTTCCTCGCGGCGTAGTACTGCTGGACGGCCGTATAGTCAATGACAGCTTGGGAAACGTGTTTCGTCACGCCGCTCGCGGCACCCTTTCCCTGTCACCGCTCCAGTCACCGTGGCCAATATGAGTCGATAGATTGGAGCCGGTTGAGCCTCGCAGCATTTGACCACGTTCCCACTCGTGGTGATGCAATTAACATCTAGTACATTTTGCTTAAGACGTGAAAAGATTCCGCATTGAAGTGATATTTGGAGTGTGTCATTTCTGCAAGATAACACCCGTTCTGAAATGACATCGTTGCATGGCCATTTTCGCACCATGGCCATTTCGCAGGTTAACAAAGCGACACTATAGCGTCTTGGTGAGCCGGCTTGCTTCGCTTCCATCTTTGCTCTGCGCATAGCGCTAACACACGACATAAAAACGCAAGCTTTAGTCTTGTTATCAAGAGCAAGCGTTATATGACGAGTTCGCGTATTAACGCGAACGGTGTAGGTGAAGGCCTGCGCCCACCATGCTAAGTCGGAGCCATAAGTGACGGGGGGCTGTTCCGCTGTTGCGACGTGATTGTCGTTCACGAAGGCGTAGTTTTAGTCATTATAATATCATAGAACGAAGCGTGGCTGTGCAAAGTTGTACATTTTGTGCTTCACTACGAGGATGCGAAGTCTTCCGAGTGTGAATGTTGAGGCGCCGTATGTAGGTGGAGCCTGCCGCTGATTGCTCGTTTGCTGCATGCGTGCCAAGTCGTCGTGCGCCGTATGCCAGACCATCATACGCCACACGTCGCGTCGTGTAGAAAATCGTACCGTCTGCCTCGGCCTTTCAGGTGTGAAAGTAATCACCGCTGAATCGCGTCATCCATGGGTTCGGAGCATTCCTTAGTCGCACGATGTCGCGCTTCGGCTTCGACGGTGCAGTACACACCCCCACTGCGCATGCTCGCGTCTCGGGCCGGTCCAGGAATACACCCGCAAAACTGTCGCTCCAGGAGCCAATTAAGGTCAGGCGTTTAGCAAGCCGATCATGTGCAGTGGAGCTACAGACATTTGCCCTCGTACTCCGCTCCCTCGAACGCGGGCGATGTGTATATAAGCGGTGGAGTGCATTCAGAATTTTGCTTGACTTGGCCCTTTGCTTGACTGGAGTAGATGCAATGAAAGCAACAGTATCTTCAACCAGTACTGGGGCATAAACCAACATCAGTGTCCCACCACTCTTTGTAGGCAACGCTTCTCCTTCATGGAATAAATAATAATGCCACGTTCCATTTCCCAAGTTTTTGTTATCTTCCCAAAACACCACACGATTCTCAGCGCAAACCACCGCGCCTGCAGTTTTCGAGAAGGTTCCGGACTGTAGTAGATCATTTCGATAAGATCACGCCCACTGTGCGAACGGTACAGATTGTTCTGGAACCTACGCCACCGCCAGCGATAACGCTAGAACATTCGACGACAAGAGTATAAATGCCGACGCGCTTCGCCGCTTGTCAGTTGTTGTTGATCGAAGGCCGACGCTCCGTTCGCCGCTATCAGTCCGAGACTGCTATCTGTGCAAGACAGCTGCTGTAATTGGACTTTCCGTTTACCGGGCACAGGTTCGCCCAAATAAACATTTAAATCCCAACACGAAGTCTCCTGTCTTCGGCCACGTCACGACCCCGTGACAATAATAATGAATACAAAATCACAATTAAGCATTCCCAAACAATACCTAATCATGCAACCGTCACGCAATACCCCCACCACTCGGCGACGCATCTACTCGGGTTCCCCCTGCGTGAAGATGCGGGTGGCTTTTTTTTCGTTTTGTGAGCAGGGTAACTTCTTTTGTGAAACTTGTTGGAATTTCATTTAGCTTGTGACCGCGACAGCAATTTTCGGGTGGTTGGCCAACACTATCGTGTCTCAATCGTTCACAGCCAGCTGCCGTATCTGTCGACCTCGGCAGCCACCTTGTCGGCGACCAGGTACAACGTCACAGCTGCTCGAGGTTCCTGCTGTGTTTCTTTTGGTTCGCGCTGCGTGATCGGACAACAAGAAAACTGCTCGCTCCAGAGACGTACTTGCTTCCACGAGACTTCAAGGAGACTCGGCTTCACGCAACCACTGTAAAGGTAACTTCTAATTGTTTTGAACTAAGTGGTTTTGGTTAATTGTTTACAAATCCTTCAGTTATAGTAAAGTCAAAGTGGTTCGTGCGAAACTAGCTATAGCCTAGTAAGAGTAACGAGCAAAAATCAACTGAATTAGTGTAACGGTCATGTCTTACAGATAAAGCTTGAACATAGCATAGCACTTAAGGTTATTTGCTTATACATTATACTGCAGAACACTGTCTGAATAAAAGCTCTTGCCATCGCGGCTGAATATTCCTACGCCGCTACTCGGATGTATGCTGTAATCAAGTAGGCGGATGCCCGTCAAAAAAATTGCACCTTTACAACCGCGTTGAGCAGGGGCCGTCCAATTTTTGAGGCACAGGGCCGAGTTTCATGAAGCCTACATGACGGGGCCCACATGGCGAATTGGCGCGAGACGGTGAAAGGAAGAGCTTTTCAGGCAAAGAGAAAAAAAATCATTGAATTCATGATGATGCTTTACAAAACTGGCCTAGCCCTCATGTTCATTTTGAGTGCGCTGTCGCGAGGTTACAGTTTATAAACAAACGCTACAAGCGAAAGTAAAAACTATTTCAATGTGACTTTTAGTGCTTGATATTCTTAGCCAACTCGTAGGTAACTGCGAGTTGACTAAGAATGCGATATCACTGCTTTTGTAAGCAGTGATAACGTATGAAGATAGGGTCACGGGGTCGGCCGGGACGTGGCTGAAGGCAGGAGGCTGAATGGTAGGATAATAAACTGTTTATTCGGGTCTAACTTGTGGTCATGTAACAGGAAAGTCAGATTACAGCAAGACACTGGCACTGATAGCGGTGAGCAGGGCGTCGGCCATCGATCAACTGACAAGCGGCGAAGCGCGTCGGCGTTTATACACTTGCCATGGAATGTTCTAGCGTTATCGCTAGCGGCACCGTGGGTTCCAGAATATTCTGTAATATTCACGATGTGGGCGTAATCTTAACAAAACGATATACCGCAGCCTCGAAGCTTTTCGAATATTGTAGGCGCGGTTTGCGCTGAACGTAGTGTAACGGAGTGATAAAACTTGAAGAAAAGCATCGCGGCAATAGCAGGTTTTCCCACTGCATTTCTGGTATCTGCTTCTGAGAGTTTGTTAACGGGGGACGAAAAGTAGTGCGCACTGAACTAATTAGCCGTTAGCTTCACAAGGTGGAAGGAAAGGATTCGCAGTGCTTATGCTCATTCAATGTAACATAGGCATTTTTTTTTCTCAGGTGGCGATACATTAGCCAGTTTATATTTCAACATCCACAGATGTCCTAAGAAAGATGCGAGGGTAGATTATAACACAATCTTTGTCAAACACGTCAGTAAGTGTACAATAAGTCTAATACTGGGGTGGCACATAGAATACCTCGCACATGCGACAGTGTTTACATTACACCCGGAAGACTGCCGGATGTGTTATTATCAGGCTATGTGAGCGTGGTAATTCCTCCAAGGGGTCGGGCGCGGTATCTTCTTGTTTTGCCTGCCATTCCCGTAAATGCATGTGCACGTCTTCGTTTGCACAAAACCACGCACCATCACGCACCATCATGATCAACGCAGAGGCATCCCACATGGCAAAGTGGGATAGCCATTGCATGAGCCAGCCGCTGGTTTCACAATCAGAACACGAAATAATTTACGACCAGTCGTAAGCTTATGTTTGGTTTATGTTTCTTTGTATTGTCATGGGTTTGTGACGTCGACGAAGGGAGTAGACTATAGGTCCGACAATGAACTGTTTATTTGGCTGAACTTGTGGCCGATGAACGGACACTCATTTTTCAGCGATACACACGGGCACTGATTGGCTGCTACGTACTCCTCTTCAGCATTGCTGTGAGCCTTACCTGGTTTCATGTTTACGCTTACGTCCTATCACGAGAGTTCCAAAACATTATTGTTCATACACTATTTCGATAATTCGTAATTAGAGGTGTGAATTGCGTAGGGGATGCCTTGTATTCTCCCAACCACTGTTGCGAGAAAGTTCTTGATAAATATAATTTATGTTGTCTTCTCTCTTTCATTGAATTTTTCTTTTTGGCTGGTTCACAACCACTCATAACTTGTATTCTAAGGTACGATATCAAGAGACACCAAGAACAGTGCCGATTACGTAAGATATTGGAGGTTTAGAGCACTGACACAACGATAAAAAAAGTCAATTCTAGACTTACGGACTCGTGAGTGGACCCATGCGGACACGCTTAGATTCAGATCGAGCCGTGAGTCGGAGTCTGTGTGAGTCCGGGTGAGTAATATTTTAGTTAGTTTGAGTAAGTTGAAAAAAAATTTTCGTAAACGTGAATCTGAGTGAGTCAAGCTCAGAAAAATTTCAGTGAGACTCAGCCCGAGTGAGTCCTACGCGCAAAATATATTTAATGAGTTAGTCTGAGTGAGCTCCACAATTTTACCGACCTATGCTGATAGCGGTGAACGGAGCGTCAGCCGTCGATCAACTGACAAACGAGGACGAGCGTCGGCATATACATGTACCGTCAAATATTCTTGCGTTATCGCTAGCGGCCACGTAAGTTCCAGAGGAATCGGTGATCAGTAATGTTCGCGTCATGCACGCCATCTTAACAAATTTATCTAGTATAGTCCCGAAACTTCTCGAATACTGCAGGCGCGGTTTGTGCTGAGCATTGCTTACTATATTTTAGGGGTAAACTGAACACAGCAGGAGTGAAAATAACGTGCGTGACATTATATATAAATTTTTCTAATAAAACACTTTACTTGTTAGACCAGCGCTTGTCCCGCCTTCTTCTTTTGTGCCTTGTCTTCTTGTGCCCTGCCCAGTGATGCAGAGGTTTTAACTTGCCCACCTTTCTGTCCATCTAAATCAAGGTTGCTCACCGACAGACGCAGAAAGTCGTGGTTTTGGGACATTAGACACAGTATTGTGGTTTGGGTACATTAAACTAACGTTATTAAGCAGACGTTATTTAACATACCTGTATGTAAGTGTGTGATTGGTATAAGGAAAACCGAACGCGAAATTGCAATTTTGGAAAATCGTGTGACAGTTGCAGAAGAATACGAGTGACCTACAAGAGCACAGTGTAACCTAAGTAGTGCAAGAAGAGCGAAAATTTGATTCGCGCATGGCAGGTAACTCTATGGTACGATGAAGCTAGGAATTTATGTAACTTATTGATTCACGGCAAGGTAAATGGAAGGTATACCCTTCGTTCTTCAGGGGGACACGATACAGGACGATGGTGGTCCTAAATATTAACGTTGAGTGATTATTCCAATGAAAAAGCATTGTCGTGAGGCACCATAACAAGTGTCTATCATTCTTTCTAACTCTCGTATTTCTTTACATTACGCCCGTGTGGTACACTCTCAGCTGTCTGCGCGCAGCTGCAATATGGTCAATGACGCATATTCTGCCGATTGACTTCAGCACGTGTATGTGCTCCTCGTTATGGCGTTTCCACGTTACAGCAGTCCACAAAGATGGATTGTGATTTATTCAGGGAGAAAACTATGTGACTCGAAGATAAGCCTTTGTTTAGTGTGCACTTCATGGAATAACTATAAAAGGTATGATGCAGTCACGCGATAATTTTATTAACACACCTGTATACGCCGGCCGTATCTGTTCAACACAGACAAGAAAAATTGGCATTACATCGCATTGCCTGGAAACCACTTGGCTGACCCCAAACATGGCATCACCTCCGGCGCATGTACGGTGAAATCATGATGCATCAACTATGACATACATTCTAACATTGGTGTTGTAGCAACATGACCTTTTTTTTTTCGCTGCCACCCCCACTGTTGTAGATAGGCTCATCAGCCGTTAAGAATTCTTCAATGAGGTCACACTGGGTAACCTTATAGTCGTGCTTATTGATGTTACGGCGACACCATGTCATCAACAGCATCATTTTGTTGCAGGTAACCTCGGTCACGGGGCCCACAGTTGATTCTGCGCCAGAATCATGCTTCCGTACTTTCAACATCACCCTGCGTGCTGACAGTATTGCGCTCTTCGTATGGCTGACGGCTCGCCATCTGAGCGGTCGCTTCTCTGACAACGGATTCTTGCTCAAGAATCCAACTATTATTGTTCACTTTCACACGCGAGAAAAGGTAACTGCCGAAGCGCTCGAGAAAGCCGTAATGATAGAAACTCTCGCAAATTACGTGAGAACGACTCGATAGTTTCGGAACTAAATAGATCAACCCCAGTGCATCCGACGCGATACAATACTTGATAAATCTATATAGACAATGGTCTTGCTTCTGCACCTTTTGGTCAGTTTGGTCATGCGAGGTGCATGAAATACGCCTTAACTCTATGCGGTGAACCTTACACCACCTTTTCCCGTATCCTTTTTGGCTGCCCTGCTGATCCTCCCCCACAGGGACAGCCTGAATGGCATCTCAAGGTGGGAGGACTGAGAGGCCGGAGCGTGGACAGAAATTCTTTTCCAGGAAGGGTACCTCCTTGATTTCCGGAAAGGGGGAGGGGGGTTCATGGGCTTTGTGTGCTACGCTACTGCAGGGAGGTCCTGCTCTCGCCTGACGAACCGGCATTGCGGCTTGCTGCGGTGACTCCGGCTGCCGATGTTGTCGTGGCAAGATGCATGGCTGTGTAGACGTAACATGGGACCACGCAGTGGTCTAGGAACCTAGGGGTGGGGTCCAATCACTTGCTAATAAAGATTTTTGTTTGTTGGTCCTATAACGTATTTCTAAATATTCGGGTGTTATAAAGCAGATGTGGTTTCATACCTTGCTTTAACGATAATTCTAGGTTACACCTTTGTAGCCGATTTATTATTTATAACAACACATAACGCAATTCACTTTGTGGTCTTTATCAACTTCAAAATTGCGTGTCCTTAGTATACTGTTCAGCTACTCAAAAAGATCGCTGCTCTAAATGCTTTGAAATATGTTGTTACAAGGCGTTGTACATGCATGCACTGCACGTTGTTGGAGATGAAGAGAAAAGGAAGCTGGAATGCCGCTTGATACGCTGGCAGTCATTCGGTGGCACGGTCACTTGTAAATCTACCCGCCTCTGTCTCTCTCGTGTATTCGTGATTCCCCTAACATGTTTCTGTCTCTCTCGTGTATCACAAGCAACTGCGTTGTAACTTTGTCTTATAAGCCGAGTCGCCAAAGGTGGTGCGACCAAGTAAGATTATCACATAATGCAGGGTTAATACGTCGTGGTTTACAAGCTTATGGGTTCTTTCTTTGGGAGATCTCAAGCAGCCGCCGAAATGCAGGAGCGAGCGTTCAGATTGCAACAAGCCGAATCTTCCAGCGTAACATGTGAATACTCCGCACTGCATCACACCGCAACTTCTAGATATGCTCACGCGTATAACTCAAGCCGGTTCCGCACACTGTTTCTGCTTCTCGCCTTTGTGTTTTAATCACCACACAGTTTTCGAAGCTGTGGTACGGCCGCTGGATAAAAAAAGACAGCGTTTCTCCGGGGTGCATGATCGAGAGTGGCGCGAAGCTGGGTCCACAAGCCGCTGCCACGCCGCTTTAGCCTCCCGTTCTCGTACGCCGGGATCTCCAAGGCACCGCCACGCAGCTTCACGGCACGCTTCTGCCTCGCGCGCTCGCACATCGGGGTTCAGTCTTTGAGCGCGAGCCGCCGTCGCCTTGCGCGCACACCGCTCTGCAGCCTTGTCCATCCGCCGACATCTGAAGGCGCGCGCGCGCCCAAATGGCCTTTCAATGTGAAGGATTTCATAGCAAACTGGCTACTTTGAGCAAATCTATCTATCTATCTAGCCGTTTACGTTTGGGTGCTCTCATGGTCACCCCCTTAACTTGGCGTGAGCCAAAATTAGTATGGAAGGGTAATATGGTTGGACGAATATGACGCACTGGTGAAGACATGAATACTGTCACGATCCCGTTGTATAAATCGTCAAACACTTTCCGCCAGACAGTGAGTGGCACATACCCACGGGTGGGTATGTGCCGCTGGTATGCTGGTATGTGCAACAAGTTATTGACAATTTGTATCTACCCAAGAACGACGAGAACCCACATGGGCAATTTAACGCGCGAGCGTTAAATTGCCCATGTGGGTTCGGTAGTGCCCACCCGACAAATGCAAATAGTATGCCAGGGTCTCAGCCGGAATCGAACCCAATCATTCGGCGTTGCAATGAAGCATTCTACCACAGAGCTACGCCAGGTCTCGGAACTACTTTTTCAATAGACGCTAATCTTCATGAAACGTCAATAAGAGTTGCAGTGCTGCCTACCCAATTTTATAAACTATACATATGTCTTCCTTTCATACAGCTGTCACGTCGGATTAACGTCAACTGTGGTTAGGTGCCATGCACTGAAGTTGATTTATGTAGCAGTGCCCAGGGCCAGCATCCTCGCGAGCATCATCCCTTCATATCAGCTTCTGGTGTATACGCATGTTCCAGTTGGCATCATTGCGCAAGTGCAAGTAACTGGTTATATAAACATCTGCAATTCTTCAACTGTGCATGCAACATTTCTACATATATTTAGCATCATTTCATGACATGTTGTTCGATAAAAAATTGCAACACGGTTACGTTCCCTCCTCATGCTTCGCATAACATCGATTCCCAAATATGTGGTATATGTCAATCTTTTTTTTTCTTTTACTACACCGCGCCCCCTAGCGTACGGCGCTGCCGACGAACACGCGATCGCCAACATCTTAGTGTGACGTCATTCATACTTTCTCGTGAGCTCACACATCGGGTTTCCGTTTTCAAGCGCGAGCCGCTGCCGCCTTAAGCCTATCATACTTTTTATCGGCAAACCGTGAATCATTCGCTGACCACGTCTGTCCGTCGTCTGTCTGTTCTTCTGTTTGACGAATGAACGGACGAATGGACGCATGGACGAACGAACGCGCGGATGGACGGAGGACGGACGCAAGAAAGGACGGTCGCACGGACTTGCGAAAGGACAGAAGCAAAAACGAACAGACGGACGAAAGCGCTGACGGTCGCTTTGCTCCACTAAGATGCTTACTATAAGATGCTTACTACCCCTTTCACAAAGCAGCTCTACTACACTTTAGTTTATTCGCACCTACATTATTGCGTGTTAATCCGGGGCTCCACAACAAAAACAAATAAAATTAGTATTCACAGACTACAAGGGGGCCACTAGGGGGCCAGAGAGTGCGGACGCGCCGCTTCACATCGGCTCCGCAGTCTTTCGATGTCTGTGGCAGCAATTCAGATCCACGTTCAACGACACATATTTGAGATTCGCCATGGTCAGGACGCCCTGCTGGTTACAAGTTTTGGGAGGTGAGCCACTTTTCTGGTCACCACAGCAACGATATTTTGGCACCACACCGGCAAACGCACTAGGCATATCGCAGTGCTGGTCGACGCTATTGCCTCCGCCGCAAACGCGGCCGGCGTCCAAGCCTAACGCGAGCCGTGCGAGGCCCCATCGCGACTCGTTTAAGGCGTAAATCACGACCATAATGGACGTCGTAATCGTACAAGGTGAAGACATTTTGCCGAAGGAGATCCGAAATGACAAGGGGTGGCTTGAAGAACGTGCCAAGCATAAGAAAAACGTGACGCCTGTCGAGGAGACCAATCTAGTTGTGCAGGACGCAGCTTTGTTGAACACGGAAGAAACCTATAAAAAAGAGCAGCCAGAAATTTAAGAAGACTTGGCATGACGAGTAAGAAACCCAACCTGCCGGCAGACGATGTCAAGGTCATCGTGCGCCCAAAAGGCGGCTTCAGCACCGCGACACATCATGCGGCTCGAATCGGCGACGCCATACGCAACGCAGCCGGACTAAGACAAGAAGAAACAAGAGGCGATATCTTTCGTGTGATCGAAAGACAGAACATTATAGTGGTCAGCACTTCATCGGAAGAGCGGGCCCGAAGGTACTGTGAAATCACAGAGATACGCATGGGAGATAAGAGTACGAAGCGAGCGCATACGCAGCAGCACCCGAAAACACAACCAAAGGTATCATCCGCGGGATACCCAACGAGGACACCCTGGGAGACATAGAGAGACATCTCGTCAATGAGCACAACTGAACGCTGTTGCGCGCGAAGCGACTGGGTCAGGCTGCAAACGCCATCGTCGTATTTGAAGGAAGTGTAGTGCCACATTGTCTACTACAATGGAACTGAGCAACGTTGCGTGCTATACAAGAAACAGTACGAGACGTGCTACTCATGTGGCAGTCTTGGACACAGATCCGATGTTTGTCCCAACCCAGCGAGCAAATGATGCGGAGGCTGTGGCTGTGAGGATCCGCAGGAAGACCACCAATGCGAACCGAGATGTCGACTTTGCGGCAAAGGCCACCAGACCGGAGACAGAAAATGTCACGCAAAGTACAGGACTCCTTACCTTGTCAAGAAATGCCAGTGGGAACGGAGGAGACAAGAGGAGGAAGAAACATTCAAGGCTCAAAGTCACTATAGGCAAAGACAAGACTTTTCGTTGCTAGAGGGAGAGGTGCATGGGTGACCCAGGTCCCGCTCCCGTTCTCGCGCCCGCTCTCGGTCAAGGCACACTGAGCCACAGCCCACGCCTGGAGCCAGAGCAAACACCAGACCTATGTCCCGGAGCAGGTCTATTGCGAGGACGGGCCCTGCGATGATGCGAGCTCCTGCAAACGAAAACAGGAATTAGCGACCCAAAGCTTCCCAGGTGAGCTGGGCGGAAACCGCCTCTGGGGCGCACGCGCGGGTCAGGACTGCCACTAATAACAGCGAGGGGGGCCATGAAATTTTGATGCAGATCCAAAAACGGCTCGAGTAATTGGAAAATGATAACGCCAGATGCATGCATGTAATCAAGGAACTCAGGGAAGATAATGTGAAACTAAAGGCAGAGGTAGCTAAAAAGGACGCAATCGTTCAGTGCGCAGGAATGCAGAGGAAGCCCAAGTTGGGGAGGAAACAATATCCATACCGGCGAAACGCAGGGCATTTGAAGTGGATCCGGCTCAAGCCGAAAGTAACACGCAGAAGAGTGAGGACAACATCCGGAAAAGACAGGATAGATTAGAAGCTCAAGTAGAAGAAGGCATAAAGACTTTGCGAAAAGAAATAGAAGAGGGAAAGAACACGCGTGAGAACGAAATAGAGGGTATGCTGAGCGAACTCACCAACGCGATGCAGCAGATAACCTCTACAATGCAGCAAATTCAGCAGCAGCTCACAGCCCTCCAGATGCGAGTCGAAACTGTGGAGAGGAGGTTGCCACCTAGCAAGTGCGGATCCTTCAAACCCACAGGAAAACCATACAACATGCCTGGAGAGGCGGAGGCGAAGGATAACACTGGAAAACACTAATATTGGTAGGCACGATGGCTAGACACGACTATAACACTCATAAAATCTGTCAATGGAACTGCAGAGGATACTCCAGAAAGCGTGGGAATCTGCGACAGTACCTTATTAACAACGAACAACCAGACGTGATACTACTGCAAGAGACAAACACGAAGGCTAAATTATCGGATTATAGGACCTTTAACGAGACTACTCCTCGGGACAAACCGGCCGTTGCGACGTTAGTTAACGCAACCTTACAGTAACGCCACACGAGATTAAGCACGATACCATACCGCACTTGCTAGTGGAGATAGTGCCAACGAAGAAACGGGATGATAGTCTTTTCATACTTAATGTGTACAGTAGCCCTCGACGTAATCACCAATTCCTAGCGCTACTTAAGAAAGTGGTTCGCATTGCGGGTAATCGTGCCTTGCTCGTGACGGGTGATCATGCAGCGTGTGGATACAAATATGAAACTCGAAAAGGCAGGAATTTGTGGGAGGACTCACAACAGGAAGGTTTAACTCTCGTTACCGATCCTTCTGTACCTACGCGAAGAGGGAACAGCGTATGTTCCGATACATCACCCGACCTCACATTTGTTAAGAACATCAGAAACGTTCGGTGGACTAACACACAAGAGGACTTAGGCAGTGATCATACCATTATAGAGATCCAAGTCGACGCGGGACCACGCAAGCCGAAAGCCAAACAACTTACACTGGTGGAATGGGACAGGTTCAGACGGATCAGGAATGAGGGGAGTAACTCAGTGGAAAACATTAACGACATCGAAAGATGGACATAAACGCTGAGGCGGGACGTCGCGACAGCTACGCACGAAGTCCCGTCCAACGCGAACCTTGAGGTCTTGGACAGTAAGCTATTACTCATGTGGGAGGCTAAGCGTAGTCTACAAGCAAGATGGAAGACTCAACGACACAATAGGACCCTGCGCAGGCGGATAGCCAAACTATAGCCGAGATATCGAGGAATACGTGTTACAGCTTTGCCATTCACAGTGGGAGGAAACTTGTAACAGCATGCATGGAAAGTCAGCGCGGAGTTTTCGCTAAGACGTGGAATCTTCTCAGGTTCCTACTGGACCCAGAGGAAACCAAAACGGTACATAGGCAAAAAGTTAAGATAATACATGAATTCTATGGCATCAATTAAAAACTGTTGAACGAGCTCAGGGCGAGGTACACAAACCAAGACAGACCTCTAACTCACTCCGACTACGAAGGTACGGCAAACGACAATTTAGATAGATCGTTCAGCGTTGCCGGAATTCGCGCAGCGTTGCAAAAGCTGAACACTAAGTCTGCACACGGACCGGACGGGTTACTAGCAAAACGCTTAGAAATCTAGATGACGCATCCATAAGGCAACTCACTAATTTCATTAATGAATGCTGGGAAAAGGGACGGATTCCTCGGCAGTGGAAAACTGCCCGCATAGTAATGATACCCAAGCCCGGAAAGCGCCTAGAACTGGAAAATTTTAGACCGATTTCGCTGACGCCCTGCGTGGGGAAGGTCATGGAGCACGCGGTCCTCGGAAGGCTTACCAACTATCTCGAGGACCGCGACCTGATCCCTCACACCATGCTAGGCTTCAGAAGAAACCTTTCCACGCAGGACGCCATGTTACAACATTAATACCAAATAATAGATAGCACGACCAGATCCGCCAAAGCGGTCTTAGGTCTGGACCTCAAGAAGGCGTTTGACAATGTCAAACACTCTACAATACTGACGCAAATAAAGACATTGAAACTCGGTAAGTGGACGTACGCCTATGTGCGTGATTTTCTCACGGGCAGGACAACAAGGATCACGCTGGGAGAGCTCGAGTCTGGGGAGATTGAGATGGGCAACGCCGGCACCCCTCAGGGCTCGTTGATTTCGCCTATGCTCTTTAACCTCGCGCTCATAGGTTTGCCGGCTAAACTGGAGGAGATTGGCGGGCTCTGCCACAGCCTGCACGCCGACGACATCACCATGTGGGTAACGCAGGGATGCGTCGGCCAAATATAACAGACACTGCAGAAAGCCATCGACGCCATTCAAGGCTACTTAAAAGGCACAGGCCTTACCTGCTCCGCTGAGAAATCAGAGCTACTGGTCTACAAACCTACGCACAGGGGTCACAAACCGAGAGACAACGAGCAGAGTGGAGAGAAGGTGGAGGGAGAGATACGGCTGACAACCACGGTGGGCCACGTCATTCCCACAGTAGAGAGCTCTCTGCTAACGGGCACAATGGCGAAACCATTCGTAAGTTAGAAAACGGGGTAGGCGAGACCACCAGACTGCTAAAACGCATTACGAACAGGCACAGTGGCATGAAAGAAGGCAATACGATTCGTCTCGTGCACACCTTCGTCCTTAATAAAATTACGTACGTCGCTCCTTGCTTGAGGTGGCAGGTTGTCGAGAAAAAAAATTAGAACGCTTAATCAGGAAAGTTTTTATGCATGCCTTAGGATTACCAAAAAACACGAGCACGGCGAAATTGTTGGATCTAGGATTGCACAATACGCTGGACGAATTGGTAGAAGCGCACAACATAGCCAAATTCGAAGGACTTTCAAAAACGAAAATGGGCAGGTACATCCTCGAACAACTAGGCGTATGTTATCATAGGCAACACGGAGAAAAGGCAGACGTGCCTGCGAGGGTGAGGGACAGAATAGTGGTCCCTCCGTTACCGAGGAATAAGCACCCCGAGTATCACGCTGGTAGGAGAAACTGACGGGCGCAGGATTTGCCGAGGAAATTCGGCAAGTGCAAAGAAGCGGTTTTCGTTGACGCGGCTCGTTACGCACGCAAGCGCGGCTTCGTGGTTGCGGTGGTCGACCACGAAGGCAAATGCAAGACGAGCGTTACGGTTAAAACCCAATACGCAGAGACGGCCGAGGAGGTGGCCATCGCCCTTGCGGTGGCCATCACTGAGGCCGAAACAGTGATCAGCGACTTGCAGGTGGCGATACGAAACTATACAAACGGCCGGGTGTCCCGGGAGGCGCTTCGAATATTGACGATCAACGCGGAAAGAATACGAAACAAAAATGATACATTTGTCATACGGACACCTGCCCACACACACACCTGCCCTCTGGCCGGCAACGAGGCTGCAGACGCGGCGGCTCGAGAGCTCACGAACCGAGCAGCTGTGCGTGCCGATGCCGCCTCTACCAAGGTACAGGCGGAAAAGTGTGGGAGTGGAAGGAACGTATGACTAGCTACCGTGAGATTACGCAGCACTTCAAGCTCGGTAGCCGTAAATACCCACCACCCCATAGCAAATTAACTAAGAAGCAGTCAGTTGCATGGAGACAACTCCGTGCAGACACTTTTCCAAATCCAGTAATCTTTCGCCTCTGTTACCCTTGCCTGTATTCGACAGATCAATGTGTGATTCCCGGGCAACCATGGGGCATATGTTATAGGAGTGCTCGAGTCTCAATGACGCAGTCAGCAGTACAAACGAGGAAGCAGTCTCGACCCGCGGGGTGCGCTGGGAGGCAGCTCTGCACAGCTCCGCATTAGAACAACAACTATAGGCTGTCCATTGAGCCGAGGAAGCCGCCCGAGCCCAAGGGCTCGCGGCCGATGCCTTGGCCGGGGTTCAAGCCCACCCCAATTTATCATCGCCGGACTCCTAATAAATGTTGTTTCTCTCTCTCTCTCTCTCTCTCTCTCTCTCTCTCTCTCACAGACTACAAAAAGAACGGTGCGCATAATTGAAAATGTTCTGTGTAGAACGCCATCCGCCCCAATTTTTCATAAGCATGGTATGTTAATATTTGAAAATATTTTTATAAAAAACTGGCAGCAGTCATTTATAATCAAATAAAATCGATATATTTAACCATGCTTACCTCAGCAAACAACAAACGTACAGCTTTAGGAAAACCACCTATTACAGTGAGAGGATTCGGACTACCTATGGAAAACAAAAGCTAGCACACCTTATTCCTGCGTTTTTAAATTCAAACCGCATGACCGATAGCATATTCAATAAAGTCGGTCATCAGCAATTTTCAAAATAAAAATACATGATTATCTACTGACGCTTCAAGCATATTACGTCTATTTTTTTCTTTCTAATTTTGTATAAATTTGCTCATCTCATGTAGTTAATTGTAATACACGTGTCTCAACTCTTTCATGCCACGAATATTCCTGTTCGCTTATTTGCGAATTTTCACTTGGTACGCTGGTGTTCATAACATGCTAAGCATTTTTTTTTTATCTGTAGAGATTTTTTTACGAATGTTCAATAACCTCCTCTTCTTGCTATTTTTTCCCTTTTTCGCTGCAGATATGCACTTATTTTTTTCGTAGTATTCAGTTTATAAGACTACCGTATGAGTTGACGTATATGTTGTATTTTCACAGTTTTGTTCTTATACATTCATAGGTCGCATATTTGCGCTTTATATATATGTGACGCTACGATGAATGGGTGACGTGGCCTGCTCATACCCCATGTTTATTCTGTTCTCCACTTCTTCCTCCTCTACTTCTACAAACCATCGCTACCTTCATACGTCACACGATTCCCCTCCCCCCGAAAGAATGCGCGAGGTACAAACTATGAAGCATGAACAAGTGGTGTCTCATCATAGGAAAAAATATCACAAAATAGAGTAGTTCCATGTAACACGGCAGTTCCATGCACTTGCACAAAAACATTCACAGGGAAGGCAGTCCAGTGAGATCTAGGAGACCTCAGGTGGACGAGGTTGGCTGTTGCGTCCTGGAGAGCATAACCATGCATTCAACGTGGAAAATGATGACACAGCCTGGATAGTAGCGAAAAACGAACAAGGTTGGGAGTCTTTGTAGCGTTGGAAGGTTGGATGTCTAATGCGTTGGATTCTGAGTCGTGGCCGTGACAGATGCATTGTAACTAGTATGCGTGCTTTTTGAGAGATGGTGATGACTAAATGCCTGTGTGCTGGCGGCGTGCAAGAAGTTGCTCCGCGTTTTAATGGGCGTTTTCCGTGGTGTTGTCGTCTGTGCAACCGCTGGCGCAGAGAGCGTCTGTGACGATGTTCCTTCATCCGGAAACATCTTTTTTCTTGAAATGGCCCTTGTATCAAAGTTCTTAATTTTTTAAGTCGTTCAAGTTGGGAGCGTGTTTGAAGTTTTCATTCGAAGTGGAGAACAGAATAAACATGGCGTATGAGCCAAGCCACGTCACCACCAGTCATCGTAGCGTCATATATATATATATATATATATATATATATATATATATATATATATATATATATATATATATATATATATATATATATATATATATTATATAATATATTATATATATATATATATATATATATATATATATATATATATATATATATATATATATATATAATATATGCCAGAGTGTTGTGAATTATTGTGGCCAGGGCAGAGGTCGGTGCTCTCTCAGGCATTCAGTTGCCTTTTCATCAACTCTTCCCATTCAACCACTTGATAAACAATGTTCTATGTTTTCGATTATCAATAAATTATGAATTATGAATATACTCCATCATTCAGTCGATGGATATGCTTTGATCTTTTCAGTGTGACTTTAGCGCCCCAACGCGCAGCTGCTTAGCGGTTAAAATGAATCAATACTGAAACGGGGCTGTCCAAGATGAAACGCGATGCGCGCATCTCTCTCCCTGCGTGAGTGGGTGGATTGTGGCCGGGCTGCACGGGGGCGCGTGCGCAGGTTTGTTTTCCGCGGGCCCCAAAAGCTGTATTCACACGACGGACGTGATCGCGAACGGATCAGTCACTTGACACGTGACGTGATTCAGATGCCTCCGCAGCCAGTGACACGACAGGTGGAAATTACGCTTTCAATGTCACAAGCGTTGTAACCCAAAAAACTTTCGGTCACCTCATTTACCAGCTCCTAACGTGGAAACTGAAAGCACGTTTTCAAGTCTTCTTTTTTCTTTTTCAAGAGGAAATCTCTGATTGGTTTTTTCCCATAACGCGCGTTAAGTTAAAGGGAATGTTTTATAGTCTTATGCAGCTCAAAAGAACAAGTATTTTAAATATGCACACCGATGCTATTAGGGCACATCGATGGACGAAACCAGATGTCATCAAGGGCGTGTGTTTATAAACCCCCGAGGATTTTAACTGTGATTTGGGCCTCTGTCGTTTCACGAATTGCTTCATGCACGCGTGGCTACGTGAAGGCTCCGCAACCGAAGCTGGAACGTGTAAACCGCTGACGTTTGGTGACGCAGTACGCAATCCCCAGGCTCTAGTGAATGAATGAATGAATGAATGAATGAATGAATGAATGAATGAATGAATGAATGAAGAATGAATGAATGAATGAATGAATGAGTGGTTCTTGGAGGAAAGGAAGAAGGAGCTAATTTCTGTCTGCGTAATCTGGCCACACTTCTACACTCTTTCTCGGGGAGGAGAGAATGAAGGGTATAAAAATAATAGCAGAAAGATATAGAATAAAGAGCACTCGCCGCACAGGATTGACAGAAAGAAAAGATATGAAAAATGGGGGACATAGTTAAGGTGCGGGCCAAAGTACGGACGCAACCTGTCATTGCAAATGGCTAGCAGGCTGCATTAGTTTGGCTGTTACCAAACAAATAGAAAAGCAAGGTGAGGCAGCCTTCCTCGGAATGTGGCATAAACAATCTTTCTTAGTTGTCGAATGGAAATAACGAATTTCTTATACATGCCGTTTTTAAAAGCACCTAGCAAAGTAAAAAAAAGGGCGAATAATCAAACAAGTATCATATGTGCTGGCCTAAGGCAGGAACACGCGTGATCACCGCATATTTTGATCGCAAGTGTTGCACTTCTTCCCAACTGATAGGCACCTGTGTGCAAGCTTTTTTGGTTTCCTTTTTTATCATTATCAGTAACCCATGATCTGTGATAGACTCACGCCTTTGGTTTTTTGTAAACAATCAATCACTTTATGCGTCACGTAGTAAGTAGTAGTAAGTAGCAGTAAGTGATTGATTGATTGATTGATTGATTGATTGATTGATTGATTGATTTGTGGGGTTAACGTCCCAAAACCACCACATGATTATAAGAGACGCCGTAGTGAGAGGCTCCGGAAATTTCGACCACCTGGGGTTCTTAAACGTGCACCCAAATCTGAGTACACGGGCCTACAACATTTCCGCAGTAAGTGGGTCTTCAAGGTAAGGAAAAAAAAGTAGTCAATTTCTGTTTGCCTATTAAGCGACACGGCTAAGCTCCTTGTAGGGTGTGGTGTGAGGGGATAAAAAGGAATAGTAGAAGGAGAAAGATATAAAAGACAACGCTCTCGCCGCACTCGACTGAAGAAAAAGGAGAGAGTAGATAAGAAATATGTTGGATGTGGTCCGAATAGTTCGAGAACGGGCCACCACTTCGAGAGAGCTACGCGCTGCCAGGAGATAGGGGACAGTGGGCCGACCTGCGAGAGGTATACGCTGGCGTAGGAGTATCGCGGGCGACACAACCATTCAACACGGAATTCAGCAAGCGAGTGGGCTGGTGGTGGTAGTGGTTCAGTGAAGAAGGAAAAAGGCGCTTATTTCCGCCAGTGATGGAGTCCGGGATCCTTGCTAGCGTTCTCTTCTCTGACCTTTTCAATGGAAAGAGAGGGCAGGCTTGTGCAGGACTACACAGGCTGATGTTCTCGCCTAGGCGGTGCGCTTCTCGGTGAACCACGCATATTTACAACGTCTTGATTGATTAATTGATCTATGGGGTTTAACTTCCCAAAACCACCATATGGTTATGATAGACATCGTAGAGGAGGGCTCTGGAAGTTTAGACCATCTGGGGTTCTTTAACGCGCATCCAAACGGGCCTACATCACATGGGCCTACATCATTTTCGCTTCCATCGAAAATGCAGCCGCTGCAGCCGGGATTCGATCCCGGGACCTGCGGGTCAGCAGCTGAGTACCATAGCCACTAGACCACCGTGGCGGGGCTGTTTACAACGTCTCGGAGGGAGCCTTGGTTAAAAAAGAATTGCCAACGCAGTGCTAGAGCACCCGCATTTTTGTGTGCTTACGTAGCCAGCTATGTTTACGAGAAAACCACTCTCTGGGTTCCACCTCACTAGGCGCTCTCTGAAACTGAAATGGCGACTCGGTGACATAAAGCCATCTCCAAATTAACAGTCACGTGCTCCAGCCGTGGCAAGTGAGTCGTTAGATACTTAATGTAAAATAAAAGAAACACAAGATGCAATTTTTTGTGTGTCCAGTGCTCCCTTAAAAAGTACGCTTTACTGCACTCCACGCGATAGTCATCAACACTGAGGACTCTTGCTAGGTACGCGTATTCATTCCCGTTGGTTTTATCGTAAGACGCATTGGTACTAAACCCTTGACACTATACGCGTGTTGAAAACAACAACGTACTGTGTGAACAAAAAGTTCGATGCATGCCAGAACACAAAAGAACACAAACGAGGAACATGTAGCAAGAAAAAGCTACTTGACTCGAGAACAATGAAGTAAGCAAAAAAATATTTTTAATGTCATCTTTCTAACAAAGTACATGCACTTGCTTTGTCGGAAATGACTCATTTAAACAGTGAAAAAAAAAGAGGTAACAACAAACAACAAAAAAGGAAGTAACAACAAACCACTAATGTAAGTTCTCATGAACCAGCTGTCCCAAATGATGTGGTAAACCCGGTAGTAAATAGTACAGAATGTCCCCAAAAAGCATTCGCTCAACTTGTCCTGGGTGCTTGAGACAATCGTATTCCCAACTGTCATCGGTGTGCAGAAAACGAACACACACGGTACAGCGTACATCACAAGAACTTCCACTCCTTTCACGGCAATCTTCAGGACGTCGGTTCAGCGGCTTAGCTTTTGTGTAGTCGGTGAGCGAGGTCGCCTTCATTATCTCTTTCAGCTTCGCGGCGTCCACGTCAGCGGTCGTTTTGAATTCGACGACCAGGTTTCGTTGCCTCATGATGAAGCCATTTTTCTGGAAGTAGCCCTGAATGCCGGGTGCTTCCAGCCAAACGTACAGGGCAATCTTCTTGGCTCTCAAGTGTACCTTGAAGGTCTTCCTCGACTGTGCAAACGACAGGCGACCGGAACCCGAGACGGATACGATCTGCGCAAATATATACATATATTTATTTCAAACTTACTTACAGAAAAGACTGGTTGCATATATTTGGCTGACTACTATGGTGACTTTAATCTGCGTCGTGTAGTAGGTGAGAGCCCAGATGGCAATCATTCCAAATTGTTAGGCATAACCACAAAGTCCATCAACAGTATTGAATGCCTATCATATAACTAATTAAACCAGTAGACAATTAACCCGAAGAAGGCGTAACTCTAGTGCGATGAATATGACCATAACTGCAAGAATTAAATTGGATAACAATCATCATTTTCGTCGGCGAGATGTGAAACGGAAACCTCTGAATGGTGTTGGTTTGGATCCCTCCGAAGGAAAAGATTATTTTTTGCACAATTTAATTCCTCTCAAGTTAGGTCATACCCAGTACAAACAAAAACAACAAATGATGTTAGGTCATACTCAGTACAAACAAAAACGACAAACAATGTCCCCTGCGTCTTCTTATACATCAATGCTCTGTGAATCAATCACATTAATGCCCCCTATGAACACGAATGTGGTGGGTGCGCATCTTAACTGACAGAAAAGCTGATTTTTCGTCCACTTTCAATTTGTGTAATATTCATTACCCCGCTGTTTAAAGCAATTGTTACTGTCCTCGAAGGTTACCATGGCCCACTTTTCTTAGCTTAACTAGTTACGTGTGATACATAACAGCCGCTAATGTTACGAGTAACTTCCTTAGTAATCTATGTAGAACGCACAGAACTCGACGAGCAAGATGGCGCCAGTCTAGCATCAAACGAAACTCACTTCGTCCTTCTCTTTTATGCAGCCGTGTTTAGCGGCTGTTATGTATCACGTGTAACAAAAAAACGAATGTCTCGAACTATTCCCCTCCTTCCGTCATCCAAACCGGTATATACACACGTAACAGTTGCGAGCCAAAAAAAAAAAAAGCGTTAAATGCAGCACATGTGGTTGATTGATTTGTGGGGTTTAACGTCCCCAAACGACCATATGATTATGAAAGACGCCGTAGTGGAGGGCTCCGGAAATTTTGACCACCTGGGATTCTTTAACATGCACCCAAATCTGAGCACACGGGCCTACGACATTTCCGCCTCCATCGGAAATGCAGCCGCCGCAGCCGGAATTTGAACCTGCGACCTGTGGGTTAGCAGCCGAGTACCTTAGCCACTAGACCACCGCGGCGGGGCCAGCACATGTGGTTGTTTTAACTGTAGTGTGATGAGTATTACTTGAAATGCAAGGAAATGAATTGCATAAAAAATCACCCTTCCGTCGGTGAGATCCGAAACCGGAACTCCTCGAATGCTGTTTCGAATCTCACCGATGAAAAAAAAAAAAAAACGTCGTACACTAGCCTTCTTTAATGTAAATAGTGTTCACTAGATTCAAACAAAAATAGCAAATGATGCCGCAGGATAAATGAAAATTACAAATATAAGCCTGAAGGTGAACGGCATTTTCAAGGCTCCTTGAAAACTCGATAATTAAATGCAGTTTTAGCATCAGCGTGACATTCACGTGGGAACGTGTTTGAACGCACTCGATCGCAAGGGATTAAAACCACACTTAAGTTAAGAATTTTGCTGTGATGGTTTCTAAGTTTCACTGGTTAACATTCTCGGGGCTCCTCTCGTACACGCAAACCACTCACACGTGACTGTAAGGATGTCACTGCCCTTCTCCTATCAGGGTGAATATGGTTTAATTTGCGTAGATTTTCGTTTCTTACACTTCTACATACGTGTAAAGATATATCCCATGCTGTGGAAACACACCGGCACTCTACCACATCCATAAGGCGGAAGTGCCAGCGGCTGCTTTAAGAAGGATTTATACTTACTGAAGACTGCTGGGCAGCCAATACAACTTTCTATCATCTCTTTGAATGCGATGTTTTTTCTTATTTGTTTTTATTTTTATTGCTACGTTGACAATAAGTTACCGTTAAAAGGAGCATTAAATAATGCACTTTTGTTGCCTACAAACATAGACTCCCGCAAGAAATTTTCATGATCTATCATGACAATGTACTGTAGAGGAAAAAAAAGAGGCTAGCAATAAGAGAAAGAAGAGGATTTGGGGGATGCTGTGATGTGCTGATAGACTTTTACAAAGAAATTTTCTCAGCCCATTACAGAATACACAGTAGTTACGGATCATAAAGGCGCATGCAAAACAAGTGGAGGTAGGTGGGGGGCACACCTTTTGCCTGAAACTTGCCTTTCTTCTTCAGTAAATGTTCAACAGAGCTGTGTTTGTTTAAACATTGTCTGATGAAAAAACAAAAACATTTGATGTAACAATCAATGAAGTCACCACGAGGAGGAGGTGAACTACCGGCGGAAGTAATACCACAGTTACGAACGTACACGTGCTTTGGAAGCAACTGCAGTCGAAACCGCTAGCATCAGACGAACATCAACGCATTTTTCGACAATCAATACATGGGCCGTACGCAGAATTTGTTTTTCAAAGGGGGGGGGGCGGGGGGGGCCGCTACATCATTTCGGGGAGGGTACCCTCTCAAAATGGTCGTTTTCTGCTCTCTATGCCATGCTCAAAAATAAAATTTCATAGGGAGGGCGGGGGGGAAGAATGCTCATTTTCCGCTTTCTTTTCTCTACCATATGTGTGTCCTTTGTGTAACCTTCGTGTACCCTTTGTTGTGTACCCTATAGGACACGGGTCCGGTGTGCCACCCCCTGGCTACACCCCTGGTCTATAAGTAGCTTCAACTTCTCCAATATTGACAGCTGGGCAAGATATGCAGTGCCCACTGCCCGAATGGGCTCACCGTGACCGCCCCCTTTTTGTGCTTGGACAGGTATGGCGTAGAGGGCCAGACAAACGACTCGGGAGCCAGCAGGTTCCCGTTGCTGTCCCGCAGCGAGCACCACAGAAAGCAGCGCTCGTCGTCGCACATGTTCTCGTCGATCATCGGCTTGAGCTTGTTCTCGAACACTTGAATTGCCGTTCCGTTAGGCTGCGAATAAATGAAACACCATATGTACTACGAAGTGGTACACAGTAGGCAGGCAGGTCCGTACACGGGGTGGTTGTCACTGGGATCGGGACCAACGCTCCCCCACCCCAAGCCACCACCTACACCCAACGTCGTCCGCGTGAAAATATATTATTAGAAAGATTCATATCAAGACTAAAAACATATATATATAAAGTTAATTTCTCATTTGACATATTCATGCACTCTGGCAGCGTGTGGAAGGATCAGGAGATACATATACAAACCAGACAGGCGCTTGTGCTGTCTATGTTTTCCTTTTGTTTACTTCGTGTCGCCACAACATTTGAGGCTTTTAACAATGACAGTGTCTGAATAAAAGGAACCCGCCCACATTTTAGTGTTCTGAGCATTTTAGAGAAACGCTATTTAGTAAGCTGCCACATACCTGGCGGGAAAACGCTGCAGGACCCTGTGTCGTTGTCGTTAAGTAGTATTCTAACACCAGGTGTTTTCGTGCCACCTATTTACCAAGCGCAATTACGTGTGGCTTCTTTCCTGCGCTACGTTCGCGATCCATCATTCTTTTCTGACGACCTTCCCCCCGTGACTAGCTCTGCATAGCTACTGTTCACTTACCATGTATTATGGAAATGTCAAGATATATTTCAACATGAAGGCAATCACACCACGCCTGTGCGTGCATATGTGTGTGTCCCTTTTATCCATTATTTGCTCTCACGAGCACTTGCAGTGTAAGAAGGTTTTTCTTTTTTTTACATATACAAGGTCATCGTTCTTCATGATCCCAATTGATTTGCCCTCATTCTGTTTGTTTTGGACGGTCGCGGCCACCTAAGCCTGCCTACAGCACAGGCGAATCATGACCGGTTCCTGTGAAATCTAAATCAATCTATTCGACTACTGCTCGTAATGCAGATAATCGATCATAGTTGCATAATATAGCTATGCTTTTTTACTCCGGTTATGTAGTAGGGTATAACTCACCACATCGCTGATTTCGAAAGTGTCCTCCTTGACCACTTCGAACTGCGTCCATGCGTACTGCTTAATGGAGAGTTTCACTGGACCGAGATTGCGTCGCAGGTCGTTGACGACCCAAACCTTAAGCGTGGCCGTCAGATACCTCCACTCAAGGAATGCCGACAACAGCACCGGGCTGAAGAAGCTCCGAGCGAAGTAGTGCAGCATCTTCCAACGTCCACCATACTCTGAAAGAAAGTACAAAAATAAAAACCGACACGCTTATGATTAGAATGAGACAGCCCGAACAAACGTGTTAGTTGACAGCTAACCTTTGACAAGAAAAGGCGCGCTCCACCAAGCTCGTCCAATAGAAGTACGCAGTTCCTGTCGGAGCCATGCAGTTTCTATAGCGGCAATCCTTATTGGCCTTTATCGCGATAGAGGTCAGCCGGTGCGTTTCATGTCCGCTTCATCCGCGTTTGCTGGTCTATTTCACGGCAGGGTACAAACTATAGATCACAGCTACTACAGTATGGTCTACCCAATGTTCTAAACTGACCGATAACACTTTACGTGCAAATATAATTTTGAATGTACCGTTTTATGGTGTGAATACGACATCTTGGGTGTTTCTTTTTTTATGTTTGCTTTGTGCGTTCAGAACTCTGCCTTGGCTAAAATTCTTACTCCTCCGTAGTTCGCCGCTATTTTGACGTGGTGGTAGAGCAAGTCGAGCTGCAGATATTGCAGCTTTTATCCTGCCGTCCTCACCATAAATAAGACAGTTTTCTCTTCTTGTAGTAGATCTGTTATTAATGTATCAATTATGGGGGAATAAACCAAGTCTCAAATCTTCAGCGGCCCTCGCAAGCACATACATTACACGGAACGCGGGCGGAGTCATGATGTCATACTTGGAATTTACAGCCAACCTCACGGTGCCAATGGCGACGGCACAAATGCGCCTGGACTCTCCATATGATTGCTGCCGCATGATGGAATAGCTACTCTGGCTACTTTTACAACAGCATCAAGCGTATGTCAGCAAAGAATGTAGAATCACTCAAGAAATATATATCTATATATCTTGAATATATATCCTGGGCCGAACTCCATTGAACTCGCACTCCCAAACACTTTCTTCAGCCGGACTCACTCGAACTCAAACTTACCAAATTAATACTCACCCAGGTTCACTACGACTCATACTCACGGGATCACCCGAGTCTAACCGAGTTTGAGTGAGTCGACTCATGAGCTCACCGACCTATGGCATCAAAAACGACGTCCGTCTGTAGCGCGGCACTGCGACAGGCTGTGGCGCCAGCTGCAGCCACACGGCTTACCAATGGAAGACCAGCTAGGACCGGGCCACATGTCGTTGAGGTGCCAGTACATGGCACCCATAGTGTGTCCGTAATTCTTGTTATCCAAATGAGCCCTGTTCCGGCGGAAGTACTCGGTGGCTATGCGTATGGACTCGGCCTGTTGCAGCTGCAATGCATGTGCCACCAGAACAATGATCAGGACCGCGAAGGGCCAGGATTCGGCACCAAGGCGCACATATAGGCAGGAACAGTGTTGTCGTCATTAGTAGAGCAAGTCTGCCAATCAATTAACTTAATTACTCATTTACTCGCCAAAGATACTTCTATTGGATACAGAAACTTTTTTTTTAATTTTGCTTTAATATTTGCGTCATTTGTGTATGCCTACTTTCATACTTACCTTTCAAGTAACAGGTACACCGATCTGCATAGCTTTGCAATTATGAAGAATGTTCAATGGCATGAAAGTGATACGTGAATAAATAGATGACAATTAATTATGTCTGTCTAACATTACTTTAAGTAGGCTATCACAACTTCCAATTAAGCACTTCCTTGAGCGACTTTGAGAAGGCGTGACGCGCCGTGAATAAAAGTGTTCAGTTTATTGATTGAGACATTTCGCGTAAGTAGAGCATGATCATAAAATATTTGTCACCCTTAGCTGTGTGACCGAATAACTGAGTGAGACACAAAATTAATTTTCTATTAATTAGGCGTGCCGTGAGATTAAGAAAGCTTTCTTCAGTCAACTACTCAACATATTAGAAAGAGTTCTGAAAAAAAAAACATTTAATATATATCATAGTAAGGTTGATGAAATCGACATTGCTAGGAGATTGTGAGACTATTAAAAAAACAGAAAACTGATTATCCTGGAATCGACAAGAAAGCGTCGTTTCGTGGAGCTTAGGATTCTAAAACAGTGACTATAAAAAGCATTCAAGTAAAGTTTTTTTGGGATAGTTGGTGCATGTTTAACGGAAAAAATAAGGCGCAAACAATATGAACACCCGTGTTATTTTGGCCTAATACACCACGTGTCATTGATCACATTTCTATTTTTCTTCACGATACGTCCCCACGTACAACTTTTATCGCTTTTAAGAACACCATGTTATTAACGCTATCGAAATGTGAGCCTGTATGTATCCACACCCTCTTTATTTTTAAATAAGAATTTGTTGTTAGTTGGCATTAGTCCATGTCACTTCGTATGTTCGTCTTGTTTGCGCCTTATACCTTCCGTCAACCTATAAGAGAAGACAACTCGTGGAAAAGTTTGCTGCAATAAAGTACCGAACTTTACAAAAATACAGAACTGTGTGATAGGGATCGATTGAATAGCATATGCTAAATATGTGTAAGCGTGAAGCCGCTAAAGTTGTCATGTGTTTCTATTCTACCTGCCTGTAATGTTCGCAAAAAAATATTCTCTGAAGATCACTTTCTATACTCCGGGAGCTCACGGGACGCAATGCTAAAAGGTACTTAGCGCTATGTACCACTTTTCAGTAAAAATAGGGGGGGAGGGGGGGGGGGTAATCTAGAGCTCGTTTTTTTTTTTTCTATTAGACACCGCCTGAAGAAACCATGAAGTCAGCCGTAACGGCTAGTGTGAAATAGTGTGAAATTGTTTCATACTCGCCGTCATTGTTGTGAGCACCGTTGCCTAACACTATCAGAATTGTGCAAAACATAAATACCCCGTATTTGAGTAAGTGCGCTGTGCCCAGGTGTCTTCCTTTCGTGCCTCTACATTTCGCGCACATCCGTCGAGATAAGTTCCCCACGAAGATGATAGGAAAGCGACTACTAACCATCCTGCGGCTGCTTGATTTTTCATCTACATTAATTCCTTCTCACTTTCAGGAATTACTATACTAAATTAAACACATACGAGTAGTGTACTCTGTACTTTCTACGGCTTCGTTGCCTGTTAGTTTCATTAGGTTGCGTCTATGTTTTGACTGCTATGTACTACAATGACTAGCTTAATATTGAAGCTTCTCCACGTCGCAGTTACAACCCTTAGTTGTTTTTTTTTTTTGAAGCAGCATTATTTAAAGAAAAGGTCGAGTAATGGTAAATGCAACGTTTGATCAAGGTGTCCTTACCTGCGTTAGGTAAGAGACCATATCGTAGCCCTTTTCACCACTTTCCATCTGGAAGCGGAAGTGTTTGTGGAAGTTACGTGAAGCCTCTTCCTTTCCTAGAAAAAAAAAAGAAAGTGAACAATTAAAACTGCAGCACAATCGTAGGAAGAAAGAACACCAAGGTGCCAGAAAACGAAAGTTCTGCTTTTGAGCGGAAGGTGAAACAAGAGATGAATGTGGTCATATAGAAAATATGGCATGTTATAACCTAAAGGGCTCAGTTATACTAGTATTTTTGAGGACCTTGTAGCAGTGTAAAGGTGTATGCAGCAGTTACTATGCACGCTGAAAGAGTACCCAAACCTCAATAATGCAAAAAATAAACATTTCTTTTTTTCTCCGAACGCATGGAATGAGCTATGAAATCGCGGGGCTATTCATTGCACATACTCGTTCGAAGTCATTTGATCCCTGACGAAAAATGAAAATTAGGAACACCTTGTTGGTGTTTACCGCCATCGATTATCATACATTTGTACCTCGAAAATACACGTTACATCTGAGAAAACTTAGCACCAGTGATATGATTCAATATTCTTTGATATGATGTTGCATAAATGAGACTCGAAGGCAACACATCACGTTTCGATTACCTGTTTTGATTGACTTTACAGCAAAGTAAGTCATGATATCCACTATGACGGCTGAAGGCCTTCACGTTTGAGCGAACTTGACATACCTAAAAAAATTGTTACTTTTTCCTCCCACGTATGAGTACCTTATCTGCTTCTAATGTCAAAGCTCTCCTGTTCCTTTTGAAAAAGTACAAGGTTGGCAGAAATCGTTTGGGTCATGTCTATGAAAGAAGCAACCAGAACATTTATTATATTTTTTTCTTTCGACCAGAGCTTTCTCATTGCCCAATTGAACCATTCAACTCTACAGCGTTGCACCAAATAGTCAGTGCAAGAACAAAGGTTTACAAGAACAAGCCCGATTAAGAGCGTAAAATGTGACCGTAAATCGAATAGGCGAAGGGAATGCAGGGAGCTCGTTTCCTTGTTAATGGGAGATGCTACTCTAAGACACTTTTTTTATATCCACCCTAAAGCAATGAAACTTGCGCTGTTTATGAAACTTTTTATGCTGATTTCAAAGATATAATTCATTTTCTTGCAAGTTGCTTAATTTAAGCTCTGCGAAATGACAAAGTGAAAACTTTAACTCTTTTGCTTCCCCCCTCCCCTTTTTCATCGATAAATTTCGTATCTTTACCATTCATAGTTCATAATGTTTCAAATAAAGTGTAGAATACAAATAACCAATTAGGAAGCACATACAAAACACGTAATAGGCATCAAAATATTAGACGTAATGAAGTCCATATTTCACCTACCTTAAGTACGATTTACATACATTTTTGTTATAAAATAAATTCGTGAAATTCAAACTAAATAATTCTATTTGTCATACTTTGGAAAAAGCTTGGGCGAATTTTCATGCAAATCCGAGCACCAGAAGTGCCCGAAAAAGGAGGGACACATAGAAAAAAAATGGCAAAAATTGTGTTAAAAAAGAGTTTTGAGTTTAAAATTTAGTTCTTATTTATGAAAGATCTCTATAAATGCAATGAAATTTACAGATCAAAAAGAAAAATTCTTGTTGTAGTGGCCACTGCCACTAAAATACGCCAGCACCATGAGTTTCTCTTTCTCGGCTTTTTCGAGCCGACTCTTCACAGACATTCCGGTCACAGACTGAGTCATGAAACGCTTGTCAAACTTCTTCCGCTCTATCAGGCAGAGCTTTCTGCCGACTTTAAGCTAGGAAGAAGTTCGGCAGGACTGCTAAATCAAACTAAGTCCAGTGTCTAGGGACACAACAGTGCCGATGCCATTTTGCGGCCATGTTTTGCCACACACCGTCGTACATAATGGTAATGTCGTCCCCACTGAGCTTCCTCACTGTGAGCGTCTTCGATTTTGCAAGATTAGTCCTGACATCATCCATTGCCGCATCACGAACTTTCCGGTTGATGCCTGTGAATGACTTTTGATGCATTGGCTTTTGCAAGCCAACAACTGCCACTAATCGGATATGCTGCTCGTAGCCTATTCCTATAGAGCGTGGCGCCACAACGGTTTTCACGCGTGAGCAATGGCTTTTTTTTAATCATAACAGAGATAAAAAAATTAGCAGATCCCACGTACAGTGGGTATCGATGATATGCGAAGCACGAATGAGAAAGGTTGATATGTCACTTTAAAATCAGCACAGCGTTACGAGGTGCAGGTAAATCATGCCTAAATGACTTCCAGTGTCATGAGTATCATGTTTGAATGTGTCGTTTACCTTAGTCATTCATTGACGTCACGTAACACCAAATTCGGTATATGTGGAGCTAGTAAAACGGCCGCAAGCGCATCATGAAGGGCCCAATATACTCCAATGTACGGAAAAACAAATTCAACCGCAAGCTTAAACTTAGAATAGCCAAGTTGAGTAAGCAAGCGGATGAATATGCTGCACAACTGAACGAATCCAACTGGATAGAACGGTGCAATGTTGTAGCTAAAGAAATGAATACAAAGAAAGCATGGCGCCTTTTTCGAACTCGCGTGGACCCCGCCCAAACCCGAGGAGAAGCGCAAAAGCAGCTCCGTCGAGCCCTGCACAGTTTTCAGGGAACCAACTCCCAGCTGGCTGATGATTTGTGTGCTAGATACCTATGTCGCACCACGGATCCCAACAGGAACGCATATGAATACGCAGGTAGAGAAAACAGTCAGCTCGATGCCCCTTTTGAAATGTGCGGTCTGAAAGCAGCACTGAAAAAATGCGCAGCGGCACTGCCCCGGGCCCGAGACCTGATCACGGTAAACTGTTAGCAAATCTGTCAAACGATTCTTATCAGCATCTATTGCAATACATTAACGCAATCTGGGATGGCCAACCACTGCCAACTGAATAGAAAACAGCAAGTTGTCACATTCATCCCCAAACCAGGCAAGCAAATCAGCACGGACAACCTAAGACCTATACATTAACTTCATGTGCGGCAAATTGATGGAAACAATGGTTAGAGACCGTCTCGCCACGTACCTCGAGAGCAAGGGGCATTTCGCAGATTCCATGTTTGGCTTTAGGCCCCACCTGTCTGCGCAAGATATCCTCTTGCAACTAAAACGAGACATTATCCAACCCATCCCCTCGACGCACAACGAAGCAGAGCGATCCTTGCACTAGACCTTAAAGGCACATTCGACAACGTTAACATGAAAGCATCCTGAAAAACTTGAGTAGTGTTCATTGTGGTAAGAAAATATTTGCCTACATCAGAGACTTCCTCTCTGAGAGACTGGCGTTCATTCGCTTAGACGATGAGGAACATGGACCATTCAAAATGGGGACGCGGGGAACCCCGCAAGGAGCTGTCCTATCTCCGCTGCTATTCAACATTGCCATGATGAAGCTCCCGCAAGCATTGGCAATAGTGGAAGGAATACATCATGCAATATACGCCGATGATATAACAATCTGGACGAATCGGGGCAGTTTAGGAGAAATTGAAGACCGCCTGCAGCAGGCCGCCTCCGTTGTGGAGGACTATGCGGCCCAGTGTGGGTTGCAGTGCGCTCCATCCAAATCTGAATTCCTGCATATCAGAGAAAACATTAAAGATAGGACGACCCTCAACTTGATGTTATCAGGATCAACAATACGAGAGGTTTCAGAACTACGAATCCTTGGCCTTCTGATTCACAACAGAACAAAAAAAACAGCACCACGCTAGACAAGCTACGGAAAATTGGAGAACAGGTAGGGCACATGATCCGCCGCGAGTGTCAAACAAGCGTGGGGGGCTACGAGGAAGGGACGCGATTCGGCTCGCAATGCTTTTTGTAACTAGCAAGATTCTATATTCAATACCGTACTTACGAATGACTAAACCGAAGAGAACAGAGTCGATGCTATTCTTAGGAAAATAATTAAGCGCCACTTGATTACCCATCAGCACTTCAAATCAGAAACTCTTGCATTGGGAATCTTTAACTCTATACAAGAGCTCCAAGAAGCCCACCTCACAAATCATATACGCGTCTCACGCAGACGCCCCCGGGCAGCGCCTACTGGACGCCTCTTGATCCGGCACGAATGCGAAATTCGAAAACGCGGAGCGATATACTGAACTTTGGGGACGAAACTCTGGGTGTCCCCGCTTCCCCGCAATATGACCAGGGAGGCACACCTGGGTAGAAGGCAAAGCGCGCGCTGAGGCACTTGACAACGTTCTGGCTCCCGTATGGGGTCTATTACGTCGATGTGGCCGGGCCGTCACCTAGGGGATACTACACGGTGGCGGTAATACATCAAGGAACGCAGGTGGACGGCCTCACTTTCATAGCCACAAGCTCAAGTAAGGCGGAGGAGGGTGGCCATTGCACTGGCAGTATCCCATCCAAACTCAAAACAATAGTTACAGACTCTCGAAGAGCCTGCGAGAGCTATCTTGCAGGAGAAATTCTCTCCATTGGCTAATAGACTTTTCAAAATTCAGCATCAGCAACCGCGATCCTAGCCGCAAAACGTCTTATATGGACCTCCGGGACATCAGGGTCTACAGGGTAACGATGGCTGCACATGCAGCGGCCCCGCGTGCTTACTTCCCGGGAAACTCCCCGTTTCCCCTGATAGACCTGGACGTCCCACACCTTTAACACGGTTTTCGAGAAATCAAAGAATACTATACATTGAGCAACGCCCGTGTATCCCGCACCAGCGAAGGGACTCTCGAAAACGGAGGAGCGCATCCTGCGGCGCCACAGACAAATGCGCTGCTTCTGTCCAGCCATACTAAAATATTATGACCCTAAAATAAGTGGGCAGTGCCAGTCTGTGGGGAAGTGGCCAACGCTACCATATGGTCTGGGCCTGCCAAATGAACCCAAATTAACCCCCTTTCCCAACCCCACCAAAGAGGACTGGGAGACGACCCTACTCTATAGCTCCACACTAGAGGAACAGCGAACTCTAGTGCAGCGGGCTCAGGTGGCGGCCTCGACTAATGACGTCCCGGACTAGGGATGTCAACCAGCCCGGTGGGGATAAGGGCTAT